GATAGATAGATTAAGAATAAAGGCCTATTTATATATAATAAACGAAAGAGCTAGCTAGATTAAAGATCTTTTAGAAATATAAGTAAGATAGAATACTATAGCTATAAAAAAATCGAGTATTATAAGAGAGAGTATTTAAATAAGAAAGACGAAAAGAATAAGAATTATAGGGCGAAGGATTTAGATAAGCGAAATCGTAAATTAAAGAATCGATTAAAGGGTTTAAAGATATTTAAAGATAGTAGATAAGAATACTTAGATCGTATTATAGTAGTAGCGAATAAATTAGATAGCGATAGTAATATTAGCGATATAAGCGATATATATAATTAAAAGAAAGACTTATAAATAACTAGAGAAAAGCTAAAGCCTATAAATAATATACTATTAATAAAGAATTTCTTTATAATAATAGATTTTTTAGAAGATAGTAGCTAGCTAATAGACTTCGAAGCGACTCGCTATATAATATTAAATAAGAAACTATTTATCGACTTATAGTCTTATTCGAAAGAAGTAGAATTTAATAATTAAGGCGAGTTAATAGCGATAAATAAAGAAATTATCTAAATTCGTATAGATAACTATATATAGACTATAATAGATACTCTATATATCTTAGAAATGAATAATAATCTACTATCTATTATAGTACTAAATCGAAAGAGTTTTAAGATATAATTCGAGAATCTATATATTAGAATTATTAATATATCTATAGACGAGACGATAGTAAGAGGTTATATAAGAAATAGCTTATATTAATTAATTAAATCGATATCTAATAGAGTATTCGCTTTTAGAAAGTCGAGATCTTCTATTAAAAGTATATCTACAACTATAAAATAAGAATAAGTTAATTATTTTCGACTAATATATTAACGATTAAACTATATCGAAGCGTATCATCTAAAGAATCTATATCTCTATATAAGAGATATAGAGGAAATAAAACTATCGAAAGAATTTTAATATAATATATATAACTTTATAAAAATAATTTAATAGATTAATAAGAATCTTAGACTAAAGGAAATAGTATTAGAAGCTCGAATATATATCGACTTTTAGGGACTATATTCTATAGCTAGTATTATAAGAAGTAATAAGTAATTTATATTTCTTATCGATAAGGCTATTAATTAATTAAACCTCGAGCCTATTATATTAAAGAAATAGATCTATATCTTTATTCTTAGAAATATAATTATAATTAATAAAATAATTAAAATAAGAGAAGTAATATTAATTAGAATTAATAATATATTAGAATATAAGTTAATCGAGAATATATTTAAGAAATAAGATATTATTATAAAATTTATAATTATCTATATCTTATATTAGAATAATATCGTAAAACGATTTAATAGAATATTAATTAGATTTATAAGACTTATATTTAATTAGTTAAACTTATTTATAAGCTTCTAATTAGAGATCGTAATCTATATAAATTATTTAAAAAATAGATTATTATATAATAGTAGAGGAAGTAAATTACTTTACGAACTATAATTTAATAAGAAACTAAATCTAAATTACAAAAAAGTCTTCGATTATCTATACTTAATTTATTTATTAAAAGAGAAATAAGAAAGTAAGCTATATATTATAGTCTATTAGAGTATATATATTAATTATTATTTATTTACTTAATATCGAATTTATAATTCTTAAAATAATCGATTTAAATAGTCTATAAATATTTATTTTTATAAGAATTATAAGAGAGTTTAACTAATAACTCTAACTTCGTTTTTAATAATCTATAACTTTATATAAATAGATATCGCTCTTACTCGCTAAAATAATAATAATCTTAATAACGCCTTTATTTAGAATAGTATTAAGATTATATCTAGCGACGATAATAATAAAAAGAATTATAAAAGGCTTATATCGAATATTATATCGTTATTACGAATCGAAGAAATTAAAGATATATAGGATTCTTAAATAGAGGGAGAAGTTTCTATTAACTCTCTAAAAAATATAAATAATAATAGAGATTCGAGATTAAGTAGTTTAAACGTATATTAAATTAAATTAGAATCTTCGTTAGATCTTCGCGAAATTAGAGAGACTCTTAATATCTTAAATAGTAAAGAAATAATAAATTAAGAGACGATATTTAAAGTTATTATTTAATAATCTATTATATCTATATCTATCTCTAATTCTTCTAATTATATTAAATAACGTCTTATATTTTAAATCGCTATCTTTATATAATAATCTTATATTAAGAAGCTAGATTATAACTTTTATAAGTTCTATAATAACTTCGATATAAAGAATAAGACTAAGCTTATAAATATTATAATCAAATTTTTTATCTATTAGAAAGCTATTTATAAATTAAACGCCCGCGAATGAAAATAAGTTATTATTAAGAAAATTATCGCCTTAATTATTAAAGGGATTTAAAAGCTCGCTATTCTATCGGCTAATAGACGTCTAATTATCTATAAATAGATTTTTAAGATTAAATATAATAATAATAAAACTATTAATAAATTTAAGACTAGATTCGTTATTAGAGAATTTACGTAAATAGAAAATATCGACTTTTATAAGATCTTTACCCCTATTCTATAATTTAACTTTCTATATCTATTTCTATTATATATAATAATAATAAATCTTCTAATAGAATAAATAGATATTAATAATACTTATCTTAATAGCGACCTTTATAAGAAAATCTATATAATTTTATTATTAGACTATTTATTAATAATTAATATTAAAAATAAGATATTACTTCTTTAAAAAGAATTATATAATCTTAAGTAATTAGCCTATATCTAAAATAAGAAATTTAAGTATATTATTAAGAAAATAGAATTTATAGTTATTATAGCTAATATAGCTAATAGCTATATCTTTATTTAAATATTACTAGAGAGAATAGCTATTATAGTACTTTATATAAACAATATTCTTATTAAAGCTAAGTTATAAAGTACTATAAATTATATTAAGTATTAAATTTATAAAGAATTTAAGACTATCGAAGTAGATCTAGTTAATTATATTCTCGATATTTAAGTTTATTATAATTAAAAATCTTATATCTTAACTATTAAATAAGTATAATACGTCGAAAAGATATTTAAAGAATATTTAATAAACTAGACGACTTTTATTTATATCTTTATTAATAAATATAAGTTAATTTAATTAGATTAATTAGAAGAAGAATATATAAATTAGTTATAATATTAGAAGCGAATAGAAAGTCTTATATTTCTTATAACTAATATATAAATTAATATAGTCTTTATTATAGAAAAGCTTAGTTAATTCTATTATAACTCTATTATTCGCTATATAAATATCGTAAATCGAGTATTTAAATATATACGAGATATTATATCTCTAGAACTACGCTATTAAGAAATAGAAATATTAAAAGAATTCGCGAATTTAATATATAATAATAATTAGAAGAATCGTAAGTTTATTTATAAATTCGTCTTACTATATAAATAAGTAGTATATTTATAATATAGTCGAAAATAGCGAGAGATAGTTATATCTATTATAGAAGCTAAGTATATAGTCTTAATAGAAGAAGATAAGATTATTATATAAATTATATAATAGCTATAAGAAGTTCGTTTTCGAGTATTAGATAAAGATCTTATAATATTACTCGATAATAATAAGAGAGTTATTAGTCTTATAAAGAATCTCGAGTATTATTAAAGAACTAAATATATCGATATTTAATATTATTATATTTATTAATTAATTAAGAATAAGATAGTTAATATAGATTATATATCTATAGTCTAAATAGTAGTAGATATTCTTATTAAATCGCTAAATAAGAAGCTATTTAAATAGTATAGAAGGCTATTTAGAATATATAGTTATTTAACTAATTAGAAGATCGCTATCGAGAAAGTTCGATATTATATAAGGTCTAAATCTACTTTCTCGAAATAACCTTATTATATATAAGGGCTACTACGTATTCTAGAAGAATAAACTAAAGAGCCGTATTAAAAGTTTACGTTATTTCTCTACTTTCTCTACTTTCTCTATAGAGATTTTTTCGAAGAGTAATATTAACTATTTACTCTATTATCTCTACCTTCTTAATAGCTAAATAAAGAGAAAGTATTAATTTTAACGGCTTATAGCTATTAGCTACGACTTATAATTATTAGTTATAATATAGTTAAAGGCTATAGCTATATAGCTATAGATAAATATAATTATAAGTAATATAGCTATAGGCAATAGTAGTCATAGATGACATAGCTATTGATAATAGTAGTCATAGGGTGATATAGTCATTAGCAATAGTAGCCATGGGTAACATAGTCATAGGCAACAGCCATATAGCTATGGCTATGGTGTGCCAGGGTAATTAGTCTACTTGGCGTATATATGAAATTAATACGCCTAGAAGGCTAAGATATATCCCTCGAAGCGATTCGATTTACTATGAATTATAAGCCGAAATCGAATGACTCGAAGGGATGAATCTCCAGTGATTTGATAAGCGACTTTTTGCATTTATATCAGGCCCATGCCCACTGCATGAAGTTCTTTCCTTATGTTCTACCTATCTATATATGCGATCTATTTACATAGTATTCATATATAGCCCTAGCCCTAATTATATTAGATATAGCCTATCATATTGCCAACACATATCATGTGGTACGATACGCTCCTCCGGTAACGTATTTTATTGATACATTCGTTCGCATCAGCCAACTGTGTCACACGGGAACATGCGTCGCCATGCACGCCGCCGGCCTTACCTGCAGCTCATCCACTGAGAGGGTCGCAATTGATCCCTCGCAAATAAAGGCTGAGTGAACTCTCCATTCGCGCTACGATTACATGAACCATCATACAACCTCTCTAAGCCAGCTACAACACAGACCCTACATGTAACACAACATTTCCAGAGCCTCACCACCCATCATCCACACTTCTACCTATGCTACGAGTGTTCGCAGGCTCTCAACTCCCCCTCACAGTGTCACCTCCCCCACCGAACCTTGCGCCCGACCCCACTCCCACTCTTTCGCCCAGTCCCAAAGGAAAGGCGTCATCGCCATGCCAGCTTTCGCAAGCCCTTTGGAAATCGTCATCGTAACAGGGGCCGTGATCGCCGGCTGCGTAGCCGGTGCCACTGTCTTTTTGTACTGGCTTGACAGGCAGGTGCCTAGTCTTCCGTGCAGTCTACCAGTGATTCTTTCTTCCTTGCCCACTGGTCTTGATCCATCACTGATACTACTGAGGTTGACACTTAGTCCGGCAATTTTTAAGGTCCTACGGTGTCCGGGAGTCATTCGAGTGTTGGACTTGCTGCGATGGTCTCGGGCGATATCCGTCAGGGCATCGAGGTGGAGGGGCTGCAATTTTTTTTTTCGTGGATAGCTTTGACAGCGGGAGAAATTGTACAGCATGTGCTATGAAAGATGGAAACAGCCGTGGGACGGAACTAGCCCGTCTTCAGATGTTTTACTGAATTGGATGAGCAGTGTACGTGCTTCAGCCCAGAATTTTGTGTGCTTTGAAAGATGGAATGGGACGGAACTAGCCTTTGAGATGTTTTCACTGAATTGAAATGGAGCAGTGTAACGTGCTTCAAGCCCAGAAATGTGTTTGGTTCTATTTGAAACTGCACCTATCGATCGCACTTCAACAATTATCAGATGCGTTTGCAAATCCCATTCTTTGTTCAACATCCTTGATAGACTTGTTGCGATTCAAGATCCTTTCACCAGTCTTGCCATGATATTGTTCCCACGAAGAATCTATCAACTCAAATCAAGCCGACTCTTCCCTTCGTTCCCGAATAAGGAAGGCGAGGCTTGGATGGGTGGCCCAATTGATGCCCCAAGAGAAGTGCGGTCTAGCGTCTTCATTAGCTAACTTGATATCGTAATGCTTGATGATATGCGCGAAGATCATTTTGACAACCATGGACACATAGAATCTTGCTGGGCTAAAAAGCGTGTAAGCATATGCCAAGATATTTTACCAAGCAGGAATCGCATGGAGGGCACATACCATGCACGGTCTACAGCTCCCCAGAATGGAAAGAGGAGACTAGGATGTGACAGGCGAGATGTTGAAGTGGTGACCCCATCACGCTGGGTTACAAATCTGAATCCTTGGAATTCCAACGGGTTGGCATAATTTTTTGGGTCCAGCATCATAGCCTGTTGAGGAACGCAAACAGTGTTGCCTGCTGGGACATGTGTGCCATCTGAGAAGACGAAGGGTGTCATGACTTTTCTATTCATGGCGACTGCTCAACAGACAGTCGAACGATATCAGCAAGTGTATAGAGAAAGCCTATATGGGTCGTCTTACCTGTTTGAAGAGGATGGAGTCGAGCTGTCTCTTTCAAGAAGCTGTCTAGTAGCGGAGTATCCTGATTACGCGTTCTCGATAGTCCATCCTCAGCTATGCGCGACAATTCCTCTTGTAACGGTTGTAGATATTCAGGATGTCGGCACAATACATACAGTGAGGAAGCTACAAGCTAAGCAGATGTCATGCATGAGTGATGACTCAAGTAAATGGATTGGAGTGAGCGCCTACAGGGGGTATTTGATGAGCGCTAGCGAACAAGAAACCCATGGTTCTTTCCAAAACTCCGGTAACGCTCATTACGCTAGATCGGCGTAATGCGTTGATAGTCCACTGTATACAGTCCATCTGTGCTATATCAGCTCTAGGTCTCATTTATGACGGAGCTGTTTGACCCGACCTGTTCTTTATCGGCGTCTTCAGCACAATTCTGACTGCTCAATCGCTCCCGTATTTCGCAAGATATGCGTTCTTGAAGAACTCTACAAGCGCCGCTCCAGTGCATGGATACAAAAGAAACGGGACTGTTTATCGTAAGCCACTCACACATAGTGACCTGCAGCTGCGCAAACTTACGTTTGCAGGATCGAAGGAGTGAACCGCATAAGTTCGGATGTAATTGCGGCATCATGGGCGAACTGCAGCGTCGCTTGAACCAGAGAGTGATCATTTGCTAACGAAGATAAGCACTTATACATACTTGGAGAATACTGCTGCATCAAGGGAGACTCACTGAGCTGCTCGCCTAGTATAACGAAGCAATTGAGCTCGCCAGCGATTCGATAGCTGGCGGCGCTGCCAGGCATTCTGATCCAACCTGTTGCTGTTCAGCAAGTGTGGATCCTTTGAAGGGCAGATAGAGATACCATCGCAGTCTCGAGAGCCGCGTATCTCGCGCTCGCAAGCTGTGATAAGCCTTTCTTGGAGACCCTTTCTCAGCGCTGGGAGGTTGGATCGAAGTCCCTTCGTCAGAGCTAGAGTCGATAGATTACCAGCTATCTCGGGCGGAGATATGCGGGTATGCTGGGGCCAGACAATCTTGGTATCAATATAATTAGCTGCGCGTATCTTGGAAGAAGTACTAGGCGAAGCATGGTCCTACCTCTTGCAGGAATTTCTCGAATGAAAGCTGATGGTTTGGCGCATTTCTCAGCTCAGTGATCTGCTTCGCATCCGATATGCAAACGAAATAGTTCGTGAAAGTCGGTATGGCAAAGGGTTTGCCGGCAGCCTGTTCGAAAAGTTCAGGGTCAACCGTCATGAGATTCCGTTTTGCCTACCTTCCTGTAGGCCTTCATCATAATTTCTGGCCCCTGGAGCAAGCACAACACACTCGTATACCATTTTCCAAAGATTGTAGGTAGTCCGGCAACCACGTCGGAGTCCTGTAGATATTTCAGTGGGATATTGATCGTGCCGGCCATGAACACTTACGGGGCGGCGGATCCAGTACACCGACACAAGCTTCAAGAGGTGGTATACCAAGATGCATTCAATGCATATATGTAAGAAGTCGTAAGTCATGATCTGTAGTTCTCAAAGGTGGAAAGGTCTGAGAAAGTAAGCTGTGTTCGCTGTAATCCAAAGATCTGGGTATGGTGAGACTTTCTGAGGTGATGCGGCGACAGTTAAGGAAGGCATCCAAGCACCATTCCGATCCAAGGCTAAGACAAACAGGACCAAACATATGTACGAGCACAAGGTGTGGGTAGGAACGGGCAAAACGTCAGAGAAGGTAGTGATTGCCGAGCGTAAGGCGCGACCGATAGGCTGGCGGCGATGAACGACATGGCAAAGTTCAATGGGGAGTCTGACAAGGCTAAATACAATCTCGTTGCGAAAGAGATGTGACGAAGAGGGTCACTGACTGAAGCACCATCTCCTCTCGTTAGTGGTTGGATAGAAGATGTGGCAATGCCATCCAGAATTTCAAATCCTTCGACCGGGCTATGCATGTACTGTTGTATTGTAGATCTTGCACACCATCATCGGTGCAACAAGGCATGCGTGGTCTCTTCGCACTTGTGGAGGACAGCCAGTTAAATGGTAAAGAAAAATAATCGGAGGTGGAGAACAAGCATAGAGGATCAACGCTAGTGGTCAAGGATGGTTGTTTCATGCAGCTCGGGGATTACTATGCAGCGTGCGCCCGCATGCACCAAAATCCAGACGACTGTAATGCAAGCATGGTAAGCAGCGCTGAAAAGATTACTCTCCGAATTTGCTTCTTCAGGTCAATCTCGTGCCTCGAGTCTGCGGTCACTTGTACTTTTCAGGGCACAGAAGAACGCAGAGTCGGCTGTCCCTCTATACTCCATTAAGTAGTCTACGGTGGTAGTAGATATGGTGCAGCCTTTTCTCAGAGCCTCTTAATTATTCTTCATACAGGCTGAGCTATGCAAAAGGTCGAAAAAAGGAACGTGGCGGGATACATGATGAATACGAAAGTTTCGCTGAGAGATGCTGTCGCTGCCTCTTTGACAAGACACTCTTCTATGCTGCCTCTTTCTCCTCTTTATGCATACGAGAAGCCCAGTCCACGCCTGTCCGAATCTGCTCATCTCGATCGTCTAGAGGCTTGTACCCCAATCTCTCTCTCGCTTTCTCGATCGAATACGTCCGCGGCCTACAAGCGTATGTCATGATCTGCCGCCTCAAAACTTTGGGCCTCTTTAGTCCCAGGGTAAAAGCCCAAAAGAGCCATTCGACCGCACTCGCCAAACTCAACATGAACCAAGCTGGAACGACGGTTACTTCCTCCGGAGCCGTCCTATCACCCGCAGCAGACCATATCTGACGCAGGAAAGTCCAAAAAGGAACGGGATTGCCGTCTGTGATGAAGAAAGCTTCGCCATCGACCTTCCCGCTCCCATCTTCTGGTTGCCGAAGAAGAGCTTTCGCAGCGAGTAGGTGAGATTGCGCAACATTTGTCGCTGACACATAGTCGAACAAACTTTGGTTATCTCCGATCTGATACCGATGGCGACCCTCTTGGAGGGCATGAAGAGTACCCGGAATAAGCTGGCTGTCGCGTTCGCCGTACACCACTGCAAGTCGAATGCACAGTGTACGCAAACCTCCCATGCCATTTGCATCCAGTACAGCTTGGTCGGCGATAGCCTTTGTTTTTGCATAATACTCGGCTCGAGAGGTAATCGTGTACATTTGACCATCTTCTGTTAAGAAGATGTGGGACGAACCTTCCATGACCTCAACGCTGGAAGTGTAAATGAAACTTCTGACATGGTCGCTTGCGATGGCGGCCTTGAGCAGATTTTTCGTTCCTTTCACATTGATATCGTAAAAGTCGCTGTCGCTAGCGCTTCCAGAGCCAATTGGAGAGGCAGTGTGAATGATGAGGCTGGGTTGAATGTCGGCGAGCAAAGATCGTACTTGTTCGAACGAAGTGAGGCTTCCGCTATGGTAGTGAGCGCCTTCGACTTGGTTGCGGGATGGATTGCGGCTCATGACGTGGATAGAAGACCAGGCGGAGTCTTGGATGAAGGCATTGACGATGTGGTATCCCACGAATCCACATCCTCCAACGACAAGTACCGTTTTTGCAGACATGAGTTGGTGGGGACACTGTGAATGAGGAGACGCGAAAGCCTTTGGTAAATGAATCCCCAAAATGACGTGGTAGCTGCACCTTCTTACTGACGCGTCCGCGTTGTATGCGGACTTAACTTGTGTTGGGAACCGTGACGGGGTTCAACGTTAATTCTGGAGCGTCTCGTGGACAGTATAAAGAAGTGCAAACGCGTTGTCGTACCTGACTCGTCACGAGAAACGTCCTCTTCCTTCTCGAATGGGCACGGTCTCGTTTTTGGTGGTGGTCCTCTCACGGTGGGGGTTTCAAGCACACCTTACTTGTTGCGTGTCAACGAATTGCAGATCACCTCTGGCGATGGTTACCAGAATGTAGTACGATAATATAGAACGTATATCACGTTAGAGTTAGAAATCGACCTTGAATTTGTGTAGAGTTAGGCATCCAAGTGAATATGGCTGGGCTGATTTACATGAGGAAAAATAACCTCGAGTAATAATGCTAGCACTAGCTCTCGCTTTAGCGCGGGACTAAGAATCCGTCAGTGTCTACTGTAAATTTGCCTGAAGAGCCGCCTACACACATGAAATTTCGGGCGAAGGTTCAGCTCGGCGCGACATACATACTCTCTAGCCGCTAAGATGCTGTTTGTGCGTATCCTGGAACACGAATCAGAAGTTCAAGCAGTGCTCAAGCTTTTTCCTGCTTTCCTTGAATGGTCTCAGTCAAATTCTAGAACGCGCATCGAACTCCGAACGGGGAGATGCACGGATTAACCAGATAAGACCTGCGGAGGGTTTTTTACTTCATGTCAATTTAAATGCGCGAGGTGCAGGAGCTGAAAATGGATGACTCCTTAGCGCTGACGTAAAGTTGTTGTTGTTGTTGTTGTTGTTGTTGCATGAAGGCTACGCATTTTCATTTTCCGGTGTGGTGGTGGCCTGCAGATCTCCGCGTATATGCATCCGTGTTATGTACACGCACGCTAATGGCTACCTATGTTGTATTGACGCCTCACATTGCTTCGGACTCGTTGGTAGAGTACAGGCTATCACTGCCCATGAGTGCTTGGCAGCCCTACCAAAGATGGGTAAATGAATCCGCTGCAGCAGTAGCTTCAACAGTATAGGAATTCACGTTGCAGTGGCACTCAGCCGTATTACCCCCGCTTCCAAAATACTATAACATCTTTCATCCACCTTTATCGTCGAGATGGATTACTTCGTCAGATCAACGTCCCAGATACTATCAAGGATTCTCCCTCAAAACTTCTGGAACAATTTTAGTTCCAGTGCGATTCATTTCTCACTGTCTCCATACCAGAATGGCCAAACGCCAGACCCTTTCGGCTGGCGAACTGGCCCAGATTCCGCCGAATATGCTCAATAGTCTCCCAGCACTACAACCACCCGCAGGAGTCCAGCCAAATTTCGTCAATCCTGAGGATAGAGGCTATATACTCAATTCTGTTGCGACTGTTCTGTTATGCCTTATGGTATCTTTGTTTGCCAACAGAGTCTACACAAAGCTTTTCATCATTCGCAAAATGGGTTGGGATGACTGTAAGTGCCCTTCCGAACACGTAGAACAAATTGAGACCAGGCTGACAATGGTGCAAAGTATCGTGCACGATTGGATTTGTAGGTATTCCATGGCTGTCTCTACGTATGGTAGCATTGACGGTGTCACAGCTCGGTTCGATTGCAATGTATATTATCATTCTCTGGAGTAATGCACGATCAACCTCGAGCTTCCGCGTGACGCTTTCCTAACTTTGCTTCTACAGGCACCGTATTGGGTTCGGTTGGGAAACATCAATGGGATGTCAGATTAGTCGAATACTTAAGCGGCAACTTTGTTACAGTGAGTTTCTCGAACTCATGCTTCGGAGGCTCCTTTGACACTGCCCAGACTAGCGCCATCATAGTCTTTTTGGCCCCTCTAACGCTCCTTTTCACCAAACTCACGTTTTTTCTCCTATACTTTCAAGTCTTTCGGCCCTTGAGGTGGCTTCGAGTGTCCGTCTATATCGGCGCTACTTTGACATGCGCCTTCTACGGAGCCGCCTCTATCGCGCAGCTTGTTTTCTCGGTACCAAGGCCCGGCCAGACGTGGCTTGAACATGCTCTTTCCGGAGAATTCAACAAGGCCGATGTGCTTTCTGTCCCTCTGTCAGCCGTTGGCCTTGGAATTGACATTGCTCTCCTCGTCATGCCAATTGCAGCTGTAATGAGGCTACAATTGCCAACCAAGCGCAAGATAGGTGTTTTGTTCATTTTCATGTTTGGGATACTGTGAGATCTGTTGCTTATGTCGAGCCCACTCGTTTGCTAATTGCTTCCTAGCGCTTGTGTTGGGTCGCTTCTCAGTCTCTACTACCGTGTCGTGTCAAGTCGCAGCCCTGATCTCACCTGGAATATTATGGCGGTCGAGCTAGTGACGTAAGACGTCTCCAGTGATTCTTTCGATCGGCGACCTTCTGACGATTTCATGGCAGACTCGTGGAAATGTTTGTTGGCATTTCCTGCGCCTGTATGCCTGCTTTCTCCAAGATGCTTCACCACCACCATCCGACGTTAAAGAGGTTCCGCTCCGTCCTCTCTTCGCGTTTTGCTAGTTTGCGACCTAGCAAATCCGGCGATTCGACAGGTCGCTCTGGAGTCTCGCAGTCAGAGGGCCTAAGTCACCATCCAGTGGCGAAACCGGACCAGGGGCTATACAGTCAGCTCGAGGTTGAATTATCATCACCTCAAGGTGCTAGTTTTCAACCAACTTACGAGCTTGGTCAGCTCCAGAGTGTTCAGACCATCATCGGGAAAGGGTGGAGAAAGGGTGCTTCGGATGACAAGATACATCTTACCCATGAAATTCAACAACAGCAGGCGAGGATGCACTAGAGGCTTTCGCACGTATTTAAGCAGACAATCGGGTTTGTTGGCATCGAATAGCCCGGTCTCTCTTGGCGGGCTATTGTTCTACAGACTGAGCGGCAGTTAAAATTTTACTTCAAGGCCTAATGATGTAGACGGAGGCTTCAGATGCAGCCTTCTTAGAAATATGGTTCCCCGTGCACTCAACTCTACCAACAGGCTAGTCTGACGGGTCAGTCTGCTCCAAAAGAATTCAAAGTATTACATCGATCCAAGGTGGGAAGCTCGATCATGTGTCTCGTTGGATCTGTCTTTGAGGGCTAAAAACCCTCCTTGGTAGCTTTAAACACGGTTCTACGTATCTATGCTCTCTCCATTCCAGGCATGCCCGAAGGCAGGGTCTGGGCCACCAACCCGCCAGATCTAGGGCTCGCTGTGCAGCGCCAGCCGAAGAAGGTGGAGATTTCATGTGTGGTGGCTATGGCAGAACCGAGTCAGAAGGCGGTCAAAGCGTTTCTGGAACGTTGTGTTGCTGTATGGCTGAAGCGTAGGTCGCCATTGCGGAGGCGTCTCACTGCGTCCAGATAACAGTGCGGCACATACCTCCACTCCCTCGTCCGACGTCGACCGTAGCACACGGCGCAGGCGTCTTTCCCCGGATGTGGATGTAGCAAAAGCACGGGAGATCAGATCTCGCGTTGGTTGCCCAATGTAGATAGGAGTCATAGGACGGTGTTCACCCACTTAACTCCGTGTATCACCGCTCGGCATGGCAGCGTTAAGGTACCTTAAGTAGGTACCTCATCTCCATCAATGCGTTCAATTCGTAGCCTCGCCAGACTGTCCGTGTACGGAGTATAAATTATCTTCCGCAGCCACTCACTCTCCATGCTGCAAGGCTGCCTGGCACATGTATCCGAACGGCGTATGCAGATGCATGTGTGTCAGCTGTACGCCCATTGTAACCTCGTCGAATCATTCATTGTCAGTGTAAAACATGTTCAGCCCTTATTGGGATTCTGCCCACAAGGCTGCGAGAGTGGGCTGCGTGTGACCGTGCTAGAGCCGGATTTCAGTAGGATTACTAACCCCGTTGCATGCAGGGCTCGGGCGCCTCCAAACTCGCTAGTTGCATGCATCCTTTCAGCCCCGCTGCATCATTCATGCATGACCGATGGACGGTCAACTGCAGTAAGGATCCCAGTACTCCGAACCGTATAACAAACGTCTTTCGCGTCCGGTAATTTACCGGCATTTCGATACTTTTCCTTTCCTCTGTATAACCCACCCGTGAGACCAAGATCCAACCGAGATTCGCGAGATTGAGATCCTGTGATGCCACCAGAATCATTTGGTGTGGTCGTTGACTGAAAGCACAGGGGGCAAAGGTTCTTTGAATTCTGTGGCATTCCGCCTATGTTCTCACTGAGGACCAGTTCTTTCTGTGCTATTGGAAATACCGAGGAGAGGCATTGGTTGAACTTTACTAAGAGGCGAAGCTTCTCACGCTCCTTTAAATTGTAGGCAGATGAGCCTTGAAGAGGACTGCAAAATTTCCCTCTCTATCTCTGCTCTCCGTAACAGTGTTACGCGTTTGGCTCCTTCCTTGCTGTCCAAGTCGCAAGCTAAGAATCGTCTTACCATGGATGATATGCAACGCACTGTCGAATTTATCTAGCTGTCGGTCGTTGTGGCTTACGCGGCCGTCGCCTTCTAGAGTCCCACAACACCTCGTCGCTCACCGTCCAACATATCAAGACCGACTGTGCTCGCTTGCCCAACGTGTCTTGTCAGAATGCTCCCATATATTCTCCCACGAAAATGTCAAATACGTGAGCCGCTATCAGACCAATTGACGGTTAGTCAAGATCAAGGGAGCGATAGGGATCCAAACTCCGACATCGAAGTTGAGCCTCAAAACGAGCAGACAGTAGGTGAGAGGGAGGACACAGATGGTGAAGACTAACATGATGCTCCAGAGCATGTCAGTGAATAGCAGAGATACGTGGACGAGATACCCGGCATGACCCATTTGTTCGACAGCCCACCTCGTCACAAGCTCGCGCTGTATCGAAACCCTCTGTCAACAGATAACGGCGAGGACTGGGCGATGAATGACAAAAACTATGACGGGAACCAGGACTCCACTCCGCCTTCGATTATGTCCTCGAGCTTTCAATTCAGAGGATGTCGTCGAAGAGGATGCAGGTCAGGAGGAGCATACCCCTCCCGACGGAGCAACCCCATCGCAAGAAGAAGCGCCGTCTGGAGGGGCGAGCCTGGCTCAGACTATTAACTCATTACATCTTGCAGATGAGGATCGGGCGAGGCTCTTCAATATCGCTTCAGGGTCATCCTCCGAGATGGGGAAGGTCGGATTACGGTGGAGGAATATTCCTTTGCTGCGTCTCTACCCTCGCTCGTGGAAGTCACAGCGGAGTAACACGCAGGTGAAGGACGATACCTCTTCGACATAAGGCTCTGGTCATTGCATCCTTCCCAGTGCTTTTGAAGCCGCCCTCGCCCATGGCACTAATACTGTTGGAACGACTCAACACTCGCTACCACTAGTACTTATTCGGTCTATTATGGGTATATGAAGGCATTCTCTATACATAGATATCCTTCTTTCTTAGATATTATTAAGAATATTATATCTAATAATAAGTCTCATTATAGCAGTAACTATATATCTAGATATTATTAATACTAATTAGTATACTTCAATAATAGTATATAGATTAGCAAGGCCATACTCTTAAAGGAAGTTCGCCTCGATATCGCCGCGATAGCTTTATACGATTTTATGTTACTTAATCGATTTCGCTTATTATAACGATTCGATTAAATAGAACTATAATTTCTACTTCTATAACTTCTATCTAGTAGAGAAAATACTCGAAAAATACTAAATATTATTAAGCTTTATACTATATTAACATATAACATATATCTAAAATAGACTTTAAGGATAAGAAATCTAACTCTTTAGAGATATCGTCTAACACTATAACTCTATATCAACTAAAGAATATATTAAATAAGAGAGTCGAATTAATAGATATCGATAAGAGAATCGAATAATTTGTTCGTTAGAGAATATAAGACTATAATAAAAATAAATGGGAGTCTCTCTCCGATATCTTTACTAAGGAATTTCGACTATTCGCTAAGAAGGACTTTAAGACTCTTTCTAAAGAATAATAATATAACTTATAAAACTGTTTACGAAATAATAAAATTTATGTTAAGAAAGGATAAGAGGTTTTAATAGTTAAATCATTAGCGAATATGATTTAAGAAGAAACCCTATAGTTATTAGACGACGAGAATCGTTCTCTATTAAAGCATCAATACCCTTCTCAGCAGCAGCCTTATCAGCCTTATCGATCGAAGAATACTATTCCTCTCCCCCGCAATCGTTTTATCAGCAGCCTTATCGATCAAAGAATACTATTTCTTTCCCTCGCAACTATCTTCTTAATTAGAGAATACTACTTCGATTCTCTCTCTAATCTTAAACTATAATCTAAATTATCAAATCCTATACCTACTATCCTCGCCCTATTAAGTTATTTAAGACTTCGAAAATAAATAAAATTATAGCTATATTAAGAAACTCGCTATATTAATTAAATTATATACTAGTGAGGAGAAGTATAGTAAAGACTCTATCGAGAGTCTCAGTTATAAATTTATGATTTTTATAGATCTTTATAAGAGAGTTAAGATTTCTTAATAGATCCTTCAAATAGTATTTCTAATTATACTAAAATTAATGATATTAAAATATTATTACTTTAGTTATTAAGAAATTAGCCTTACTATTCATTAACTCTTCGATTAATTTTAGAGTTATTTTAAGAGAGAAGAATATTGTTATCTTATACTTTATAAGTGAAATAGTATTAGTCTAAAGGGCTTACTTCGAGCTAGTCTTAAAAAGAATAAAGGAATTATTTTTAATAAGATGATTCTATAACTTCGTCAAGTTTAAAGAGAATTAAATTACGAATTTCAGTTAGATATAGCACTTCGAAATAAGATAATTATCTCTTATAGTAATATCTTTATCTATAATATTATAATCTTATAATAAATAACTATAATTACGGGGTTAATTAATAATATCTATATTATAATCGAGAATCACGAAGAAGTTATAAAGGCTAAGAGATTCGAGTTACTTAGGCCTGTAATATACTTTACTAATCGGAAGTATTATACTAATTAACCTTTAAATTAGAGTAACTATAGTAGATTATTCCCGCAGATAAATAGCTTTTAGAAAAAGCGATACTATATCTATGAAAAGATACGCTATTAATTAATTAAGTATATTAATAAGAAACGTTAGAAGTCTCGAAATAAGTTCGCTAAGCGGTTTATCGGCTTAATTAATAAGCGATATAACTTCTATATTTAAGAGTTTAAAGGTTAGAAGAATAAGATCGAGAATCTTAAGATCTTAACTCTCGATATTTAAGATAATAACTTAAAGGAGATCGAAAACTTTATTATAATTACTTCTATAGTTACATTAGATTAAGTCTAAGTATATTACTTAAAACTTTCTAACTATTTTATATATTATAATATTATTAAGTCTAGTAATTTTCTTAGTATTAGCCGATATATCTTAAAGTAGTTTTATAATATTATATTAGATATCGAAGTCGCATATATGTCTACTATTAGATATAGTTAAGTAAAAGCCTATATAAGAGAATTTAATATATAATTAAATATTATTACTAGTAATATTATTATCTAATTCGAGATTGAAATAGTAGTATTAATTAAAAAACTTATAGTAAATTCGCTTATTAGTCGAGTCGACTTTCACGTAATATAGATTAATATCTTATTTCTACTATATATTTAAGATATAAATAGACTAGAGATCTATCTAAACAATCTTAAGAACTAAGTTATTTTTAAGAAATAGATCTATGGTTTTAATTATTCGCTTTTACGAATATCTATTCTTAATATAGAGTCTTATATTAGTTAATTATCTAATCGATATCGAGTTATATTAACTATATCGTTAATTTAATTATCTCTTAATTAATAGACTTATTTAAACTCTAAAGAAAATTAGATATAATAACTTTAAGTATCGTTATATACTTAAATAAATTATCGAGTTCTATATACTTTATTAAAAGTACTCTTAATTTCTAGACTACTTTAAATTCTTATTTAAGAATAAGAATAATATCTATTTTAACTATATAATTATTATCGATATTCTCTATATTAACTATAATCTAATTCTTTAAATTATTAATAATAAAAAATCTTTTTAAATTACTCGATAGCTAATAAATATAATTATCTCTTATATATAAGATATACTTAGACTATACTAAATAGATATATATATTAAATCTTTAAATATTATTATCCACGACGCTGAAATTAATTTTAATAATATCGAGTTTAGATAAAACGCTAGAACTCTAAGTATTTAAACGAAATGCGTATTAGTTAAAGCCGCTAATTCTATCGATCTAATAAAATAATATTATACTTTATTAAGACGAGCCTATTCGATAATTACTGCGGAATTAAAGAATTAAGATATTAAAAAGAAGATTCGCTTATAAATAGCTATTAAGACTATTAACGATATAGTTAAATATAATAATATTATTCTTATATTACTAGTTTTTAGAATTTTTCTCTATATTATAAATAACGATATATTAACTCTATCTATTATTAAGAGAATAAAAACTATTAATATAGTAATAATTAAAATTATAAAATTCTATATTAAGAGATAGATTAATAACGCTTTATATTAGCGAAACGGCCTTTAGACGATAAAAATATATAATACTTTAATTAATTTCCCGATATTAGTCTAAAGAACGTATTAAAAGAAGTAAACCGAATTATATAAATTGCTAGCTACTTCTTAAGAGATATATATCGTCGAATTATCTAATAGTTCTATAGACTTTCGAATTACTATTATTAAGTTATATTTAAAAGAAATAGATATCTTAATTAAATCTCTCGAGTTCTTTAAATAAGAATCTTTATAGTTAGATAATACTCAATACGAAAATAACGATAATAAAGATTATTAAGACTCTTTTTAGAACGCTTTACTACGTTATAACCCTTCTCGATATTAATATACTCTCGCCCGTTTTCGAAACTCTACTAATATTACGATTTATATATCTAAGTTTATATTATAGCTATCTTCACCGAACTTTCAAATATTCCGATAAAAAGAACTAAATGAATTACTTGAAAAGGGTATATTTAAGATTATAAAGACCGAAGATATTCTTATAAGAGTATGAATATTTGATAGTCGTTTTATAAATCAAATTAAGAATAAGAGTATCGAGAAAGTCTTCGAGAAGTCGCGACTAGTAGTTCAAGCATTCAATAACTCGAAGAAGTATAAAATTCTTACTTAGACTTCTATTATTTAACGGACTAGTTAACGATTTATTATCGCTCTAACGTTAGCTATTTTATAGCTATCTTTATATCTACGCGATATTACTTAGATATATATATAATCTCGATTTAAATTAATTAGAGATATCTTTATTTTAGTCTTAGCTGAAATGAAATTATCATCGAGAATAATACTTCGTATTATTCTCCTCTCTATAGAATTACTAAGTCTAATATCTACTAATTCTAGATATATTATAAGTATTATATAAAAAAGCTAAGAATAATCTTATCTATATTCGATATTTATCTACTATTTAATAACGATATAATAGCAATTATTAACTTATAAACCGATGACTCTCTTATTACTAATATTATCGAGTTTATAGATATAGAATTACGAGAATTATACGCCGCTAAACTACTAACTAAGTTATTCGAGAGACTTACTTCGAAATAACCTCTCGAATTTAATAGATTTATTATTACTCTCGAGAATAATATAAGAATTAACTAACTTAGATAAGCGAAGAAGATTTAATTATTTATAATATCGTTTACGAAAGAATAGTATATTATTTAACGAGTATAAGGAGTATATATCGCTACTATATTATAGTTATAAGCGATATTCGCTCTATTATATATCGCTTAGATTATAAAACCTATATACGAGGATACTTAGTATCTAAATCGCTATCTTTTATAGTAAATAAAAGAAAGAGATTTTATATTCGTTAAGTTAGATATAACGTCTCTAAGAATTATAGCTTTTACGAATTCGTTATTCGCTAATAATAAAGATCTCTCTTTTTAAATCGACTATATAATAGCTCTAGCTAACGCTTAGAATAAGGCTAATATTATTTATTAATAATTAATTAAATATCGTCGAGTTACTAGAAGCGTATTAGCCTCCGAACTTTACGTATTATCCCTGAAATTCGATATTATAACTACTATAAAATTCACTCTAGATTAAATCTTTCTAATACTTCTTAGGAGAAGATACCTCTTTCTATATATATAGACTCGAAATCTTTATACGAATATCTTATTAAGCTAGAAATAATATAAGAGAAAAGACTAATAATAGATATTCTATATCTAAAATAGTTATATAAACGATAAGAGATTACTGAGATTCTATAAATTAGAGAAGATAAGAATTCAGCTAATTTAATAATAAAGAATAAGGAATATAACGTACTATAACGTCTAATAAATATAAATCACCTAGAATTAGATCTAGAAGGCTAAGTGGAAAGATAAGACACTAATATTAATTAATAGAAAGTCGTCTTAGCGTAGTACTATTAGAAATACGCCCGGTATAACTAAATCTACGCCCACTACAGTAGAGAGAGTAATTACGATTATAGGGGTTACGGAGAAGAAATATAACATATAAATAGCCTTATTTTCTGTTTTTTATTAGTGTTAAAACGACTTAACACTCGCTATTACTAGTACTTATTCGGTCTAGTCATAGGTATATGAAGGCATTCTCTATACATAGATATCCTTCTTTCTTAGATATCATTAAGAATATCATATCTAGTGATAAGTCTCATTATAGCAGTAACTGCATACCCAGGTATTACCAACAAATACCATCCTTTTCTTCCCAGAAGGTTGATTATGTATTGATGAACTAGCTCGCGGTGTCGGCTGCGGCATTATGCCCCTGGTGCCATATCTTTGCGGGGGAAACAAGAAAGAGAGCAGCTAATGAAGACGTATCCAAGCATCGTCACATACAAAAGATAGCATAGGCACTGAACATGGAGCGTTAGAGTCTCAAAAGACTAATTTTCCGTGCAAACAGAAGCTCATCCACTGTGTTTCGCTATTCGAACTTACCAAGGAGCGCCTTTCTTGGCGACGTCCTCTACTAAGACTACAAAGTAGCCCATTCTTAGTTTGTCAACATGAATTGATGGAAAGTTTTCAATTATGTTCAACTCCATCGTTCACATATATGATGCCATTGCGGAATTCAAGAGACCTGCCTGAATGCCGCTTAGAATTTTGAGATCGCGTGACGCTGACCACATAAACTACTCGCTCGACTTATGAAGCGAAGGTCGTCCAAGTGAATATGGAATCCTTTGGAAAGCTTCCGTCTATCCCATAGCATAGGTACTCTAGGAAGCATACGAGATCGCCTTGACCAATCATGAACGAGTATTCCCCTTATCCGCATGATTATATCTCATTAATATCTGAAGTCGTAACTAATATAGAACATGTCTAGTCAAAGTTGGGAGTGCCCTCATACCCAAACACTTCGTTCATGAAACCGAACCCCAAAAACCCGAACGCATGGAATCTGGCGAGGAGATGTAAATCCGCTCAGTATGTGTGAGATCACTCTTCAATTGACCTATAAGGTACTCGCTCCTGTCGATTAAGGTGTTGGCTTCCCTTAAGTGTGCGCAGTTGATCCGAACCGCGGACCTTCGCCCCCAATTCACATCGAGCTCCACGTAGAGAGCTTTTTCCATGTATTTGAGCATTTTCAGTGTAGCCCCTTGAACATCGAAGACAGAAGCGGATGGCTCCGTTGTTTTGCAACGATGGCTGTAGATGGTTTTCAGGTACCGCTATTTTCAGTCCTTTGTTTGTCATGGAGAACGGCGGCCTCACCGCACCCACTGAATGGGTGTCCATGAAACTATCCCCACCTGTTGCAAAGTATCTTGGGTGAGCTGCAAACAGACCGGATCCTCCCTGGTTAGAGGTCCAGGCAGACAGTGACCCATCATCTGAGATTTTCATGATCTCGGTCTGGAGCCGATTAAAATGCCTTTTGGCGCCTTCACCATATAATAGCGGCATGTTGACATTGAGAAGCCAAGGGGAGCGTCTGAGGATTAAGGTAATACCAACGCGCTGTAAAGCAACTTCGGCTAGATCTGGCTAGCCTCTTTGCGCGGCGCTCTTCATGGAATGAGCTGCTGATCCACTCCGGAACAGGGTGCGGCTGATGCAAGCAGTGCAAAATGCGAACTTTATTGATCCTTCGAGTATCCCGCTGCTAATATTAAATTCAAAACGCCGGACTAGGGGCAGTCGAGCCGGGGCTGACGAGTACTTGCTTCCAGACGTCCTGAAGAGTTGTTTATTCCTTCAAAAATCTGTCCTGTTGATGTCTTGGAAGTTATCACTTCGCAAACTTCCTTTAAACCATGATGTTTTGGTTGGGATTTCTGCCGTTATTATCACTTCTAACATGGCCGTCTCTCGCCGCCGAGGCTCCCGAAAAGCGCCGAACAGCTGGTCAATTCCATGATCTCCTTCTCAACGGCCTCGTCGCCCGTCCTCACAAATTCGACAAATGGTTCCCCGAGTTTGGCGGAAGGATCGACGCCGTATCCGCTGGAGTCTGCCAAGTCAACTTGCAAGCATATCTAGGCAATCACACCGCCAGAGAGAGCCTGCCTGATACCGTCATCGAGTATTGCTCCAACCAAAATGATTGCATACTGGACAACCTTGTGGAAAGCATCAAATCTGATATGGGGACCGCCCAGGTCTTGCTCGGTCTCACTCCAGTGATATTGTCGAATTTTGGGCCCAGCATAGCGGAGATTTCGGTCATGTCGACGCAGCGGCCCCTGCTGACGTTGCTGCTAGCGTTCGGAGCTCCAGCCGTTTATCCAACGAGGCTACTTCGCTACGACAACCCGCTTGAGGTTTTGCGAACAAACTCACCTAAGTCGAATTTCTTCCCGTTGCAGTTGCAAAAAAGACATGCTGTTTTAATTAGTATTGCAGAGTATGTCATTGCTGCTGCTGCAATCGCCAACGTCTTCCACTGCACTATCACCCTAGGACTGTGGACGTTGTCAATCATTGGATGCGAGACCTTCGTCTTCCCGTTTCTGTGGGTCATTCTAGCCTTGGCGGTTCATATTCCTGCAGCTGTAGCCTTGAGATTCTTGAAAGGCTCCAAGCTGAAGATTTCGAGTCTTGCGGCAGAGTTCAGACGGCCGGACCTGACGTCGATCGGCAAAAGGCTCAGACACGCCTTCTGGAGGGAATTTGAACCCTGCGCGAGCGGCCCCAGCCTAGTAGTCGAGGACGACGAGACAAGTAGCTTCGCTATCAGCCTAAATTACCTGGCGGGCATTGTGGCTTATGCTCAGCTCACCTGGGGCATTTCGGTATTCTCATCGTTGCTGTACATCTCTGTCAGGGATGCGAGTTTCGTCGTCGCTAGACTGGTAGCGTCGGCTCTTGTTTGCCAGGTTATCTTATCTTTCGAGCTCAGGGGCCTGGGAGATGCTCTGGCTGGGAGTGAAAGAGAATCCGCGGAAGCGAAAGCCAAAGGCCTAGGACCACACGAGGACCCCGATGACTCGCGTTTTAGAGAACCGAATGATGCCGAAAAGAACAGATCAGGCTTGCCTCTTCTGCACTCTTCAGTTACTAGAGACGTGGAAGACTTTGGTTCCGATGTCCGTTCTGGGTTGGGATCTGTGAGCGGGAATGCGTCGGGCATCTGAGCGGTGTGGCAGTTGGACAGCGCGGAGAGGAGACGCTGATCTACGTATGCTCGGAGCCGAATGAGGGAAGCCACTGAATTCGCTATTGGAGACTATGACTTACCTTCAGAAGGAAACGTAGGGCGGGACTGGAGCCTATACCTACTTGTCATGAGGTTCGCATCAAGAGGGATTGCGGTTGCGATTATGTAAGCCTTGAGCCTTAGGTTGCGGAAATTCGCCTGACTGAAGGGGAGGTGTCACAAATGAAACGGCATTGCGAGGTTGGGGATTGATCAGCCATGGAACATGGAGAAAGTTGAGCACCAACTGGGGAATTTGTCGTTATAATCTTGCCCATAGGGGCGGGTTTTTGTACGAAGTATACTAAGCCTACCGAAGCAGTCGAAATAGACGTTAAAGCCTCCCTGTAGATGAATCTGCGCATCAACCACCACGTCAAGACAAGTAAATCGTCCATTGCATTTGCCGTCCGTTAATAATACGAAGTGATGCTGCCACTGGGACACACCTACTCACAGCACCAGTCCAGAGTTTTGCTGTGTTCATCTGCGACGGTCTTGTCGTACCACAACTGGAGCACTTGGATACCGTCATGATAAGTGACTACCTAATACAAGGCCGAAGTTCGGTACTTACAGCAAATGTCGACATTGGTGTACCGCGGTCGCCTGTAGTATCGGAACAGCATAGAGCACGTTTAAACGTATCAAAAGTGGCAGATTGCCAACGATAGTTGTAGCAAAAAGAGAATTTCTGGGTACGAGGGGTTTTTGGTGGCCCAACATGCAACACGGGAGATTATAAGGGGGACTGTTCGGATACTCCACCATCTTCCAACCGGATACTTGGCCAGAAATAGTAGTCTCTACCAGTTCTATCGGGAGGCTGACTGCCAACGACTTCTGAAAGCAAAAAGCGAAGGAATTTGTCAAGATCGGAACCTGAAAATGTGTCTCCTGAGAAGCCACGGCATGATACCTGTCCGGCAGAGGTCCGCGTGGGGAACTTCCTACTCGTGGCGGTATTACCGGCATACTCAATGGAATCGCCGGTGGGAGCAAGAGGGGGATTGAGCGAGTTGACGACCACCTGCGTCGGGCAGACATTCGAGAGGGGATGGATTTGATCAGGCCGAGGTCTGCCATAAGATGTATTGGCTGGTATGCCCAGGTGGTGATGGATGCCGTTACTAAAGCTTTCGACGGACGGCGTCACCAGACTCTGAAGCGAGTTGTTCGCCGTCCTGAGTAATGCCTAGAAATTCATATCGTGATCAGGGAGATCCAAGAGTCGGGAATACTCCTGGCTGATCAACCGCCTGAGTCTGCTCGTAGAGGTTAGCTAAATGGGCGACTGCCCGATGACATACAGGATCACTGAGAGACTTACCTGTCGTTGGTAAGTTCTGCTGGCATAAGCATCAAACCGATATCTCCAAACCGTGAAATCATAGCGGACTAAGGTCGTCACAAAGTTGCGTTTCCGTTTTCCACTCGATTGATCTAACACCATATCGGTAAACGTATTTTCACTTTGATTTTGTTCGTCTGGTTCGGTGCTGCTACTGTGGGGAGGATTTGATCGACAACTCACGGAAACTCGTCTTGTTGGTGTTGAGCTACGTGATATGCATCATTGTCTTCGGTTGGATATCGTGCTCACTATCAACATATCATGAGCAGTGCGGGTTTTGTGCTCTCAGATCCGGAAGTACTGAGAGGAGGCGGCCGCAATGGTGAATGAGAAGGGTTACTACCTGCTTCGTATCCCGACAGTACCTCAACTTCTGCTAATAACATTTCGCCTTATCCTCTGGTACCTACTGTATCTTCCCGCGAGATATCCAGCATGATAGCCTTCACCCCCGGCCCTAGCCCTCTGCGCCCGTCGAATTCCACGCTCCACATCCGTATCCAGATGCTCTACCACTACGATCACCCCATCATCCCTCCACGCATCTTCTATATCTCCCGCCAGTCGCTCCGCCATCGCTACGCTGCGATGCATACCCGCCCTGCAGTTCACCAAGACGGCCACGCAGGCACAGGGCGGGCCTGCGAGCCGGTCTCCGAGCCGGTCTTCCAATTCCCGCAACGAGTTCTGGTAGTTCGCTTCGTGTCCTGGGATCGCGAAAAAGGTGTCGGCTATCTCGGGGGAGGCGCCGGTGTAGGCTTCCAAGAGGTGGCGCGGTGGTGCTTGCGCTGCGGAGAGGTCGAAATGGAGGATCACGGGCATGGGTATGTGCGGTTGGCCGCGTGAGTCGCCGAACGTGATTAAGTGGAGACAGAGGTTGGGAGGGTCGGTCTGCCTTCTTCCACCACTTCCAAACGGGATCCTTCGAGACATGATGGTGTCGGCTTTTGTTTCGACGAGGCGGTACCCTTCTGTGTTGTAATCAGGATGCTAGATCTGTGCTCAATTTTGAAAAGAAGAATGCAACAACGCTCCAGGGGTTTGTGTGGTTCTGGGCGACTATCGTAGGGGGGTGGAAGAAAGCATGAACTGTGGCCCAGTCTGCTACTCGGTTTGCGCGAAACCTGAACGAGGGTCAGCGCCGAGTCTGCTGTTGAAGGAAGGCTTGATTACTAGCAATGTATTTAGACGGTATTGAGATGCTAATATGAGATCTTGTAGATCCGCAGTCACGGCTGGCAGAGAAATGTACGAATGAAGGGGGCACGAAGAGCGTTCACCGCGCGTTAACAACCACGTCTTCTATCGGCCATGTTAGATTTTGATAGCTATCTGGAAACTTCCTTCGCAGGGAGATGGGCAACGTAGATACTATGAGCTTAAGTTGGTGGATTTGCGCCTCGTTGGTGAGAGACAAACTCGACGGGTTAGGCCATTACGAGTTGTGGCCACCACGGAATAACATTTTTGTCTTCAACATGTCTGATCATGTACTGCTGGCGCTATCCGGAAGTGTTAAGCAGCTTTGTGAGACGAGAAACCCGCGTCACCACTTGCAGGGAAGTCAGACTGGCGGAGGAAGCCGAAGAAAAGGTCACGAGGGGAGTGCGACCGTGGACCTAATTTGCTGAAAAGAGGGACCGAGTGGCGATTCCGTCGCCCTATTCGCCTGGTAAAGAATAAAAGTGGGGCCTTTACTGCTGGCAAAGAGCATCGACGCTAAAGGTAGCCTACGAGATTGCAATAAGCGGGTTCTCAACAGGCCGGAAACGGTCCAGTCGACTAAGTAGCTGTCAGAAACATATGGAGCAGAGACGAAAGACGTGCCTCACTGCTGACGTAGAAGATCGACCGGCGCAGGAACCACAACAAATCATCACGAGCAGATAGTAACCGCGCTCTCGATAGACGGCAACGGGAAGCTGGGTTCCGACTCTGTTCCAATTCTTCTTATCATGCGCCACATAGCTCTCCGGAGGTTCAGGATGGAGGAGGCGCCTATTGCTGGAGTGAAATGAATCACAAGCTCGAGACTCCCCAGTTCTCGATAGGCTTAGGCGGTCGGATCTTGACCCGTTGGCTTCCTTTGCCGCTAATACATTCGAGTAGCCATTCAAATCCTGAGGAGAGCAGATAGTAGACGCACCTGTCTGTTGGCGAGTGCTACAATCGAACGGACGAAGCGCGGGACGAAAGAATAACATAGTGGTATTGATAGGCTGAGTCGACTTCCCATCATGACCTGATGATACGATTCGCACTGGAGGTAGTAGATCGGCTCGGGAAGTGCAAGTGTTATAAGATCATGTACGGGTGATTCGGACAATCCAGAGCCTCGCCAATATACACAATATTCGCCCCCGAGCGGGGTTCTTGGGATGGTATAAAAGGGCACGCTTTTTTCTTCTTCTCCTTTCTTCTTCCCCATGATGTCCACCATCAGAGATCAATCAAAACATTGGCAAGGTGCAAAAAGAACACAATCATCCCAATAAGGCGTATTCAGCGTCATCTTCTCCCATCGCCACTGAATCTAGTCCCAAAGCCTGGCGAGAGGTCACCAGAGGTCCCTTATGTCCATTCTAATCTTTTCTATAGCAACCTAACAGCAAAGATTGAAACCGAAGAGGCATACCGCATATTTCAGAAATAAGCAAACAATACTCAAGAAAGAAAACCCGACCATTCGACGGATCTTCTTTCGAGAAGACTCTCAAGTCTGCCATCCAAAATGCCGAGGCACAGAGTCGATGTCAACCTGAAGGGAGTTTCACACTATGTTGATGGCCAGTTCGTTGACGCTACTGGTTTTCCATTCTGGGAAAACGTGTTACCTAATGGTCTTCACCTCGAGAGACGGGTTGGACGTCCGGCTAATGATGACCGCAAATTTGTTAAAACGCCAGGATTTGGAAAAAGTGTTGAGTGGACTAGCGGTCGGGTATGATCGGCACACTCCTATGACTTGTCGAGTCGTATCTGACAATTAATCTATAGGATGCTCGGGGTGCGCATGGAGCTCAACGCCGGGCAGGACCACCGCCAAGACATCCGCCAAGAGAGCAGCAAGGAGAGCGGCGGGGAGAGCAACGAAGAGAGCAGCGAGGAGAGTGGCGGGGTGAGCAGCGAGGAGAAAACTCAGGAGAGGACTCAGGAGAGGGCCCAGCAGAGGACCCAGCAGAGGACCCAGCAAAGGACCCAGCAGAGGGCCCAGCAGAGGACCCAGCAGAGGACCCAGCAAAGGACCCAGGGGAAGACCCAGGAGAGGAAGAAAGACGGGAACCTAGACAAAACCCAGGATTGTTCGATGTTCCTGAGGGCGATAGCGACGATGCACATTCCAGGGTAAACATAATAACATCAACACTAAGGGGAGGATTCACTGACGTAGAGATCCCAGGCTCCACCACGGCGAGATGATGATGAAATTATGAACACTCGAACTAGTCGTGGGCCTCATCGTAGACAAATGCGTCGACAGGAAGGGATGGCTCATGGCCATGGTGAACATAACGACTATGCACACTCCAGAGTATGACATGAGAGCGTCAATACTAAGGCCAGGGTTCACTGACGCAAAGACCGCAGGCTCCTTCAAGGCGAGACGATTCTGAGACTGTGGATTATCAGAACCGTGACAGGCGCCCGCGAGGATATGACCGTCCTGATCGTGCCAGCAGGGAAGTGGGCCTTGGTCCCGCCGTTGGCGCGGAGAGACACGAGTCGCCGCCTCGCTGGCTTGAACTCGGAGAACTAAAACAGTGGGAACGCGAGCGCGGACTACGACCATGAGGCATGTTACTATTGGGGACTACGAACTCCAGGCACAGAGAAAGGAATAATCGAAGCAACGATACGAGCGGGGTGAGAGCGGCCTTATCGTATGTAGCACATGCGTAAAGCTTGCGAATGAAGTTGAAAAGATTGGAAGACTTTTCATGATCTGACGCTGTTTCAACAATCAGCAACTTCCATGCAAAGAACATCGAGGGGTGAGCCGAACCGAGTGCTTCTGCCTACTTTGCCCTACTCCAGCTCTCGAAAATCTCTGGAATATCCGGAATCTCACCGGTCCAGCTGGATAGAACGCTGCAAGTGTTTATTGTGAAGTGATAAAAGTCTTGTGATACCTAGCAAGTCGAGCGCTAGCATCGTTGTTCACGGGAAGGCTCGTGATCAATGACCTTCTCTCAAAGCTCATCATGCAGATTGAGATTCCTTTGTATATAAAGAAGTAAGCTAGCTACCTCTTTGGAATAAATTTCCCCACAGCTATCTCTCCCCTTAGTATCCCTAAATCGCGCTGCAAGAATTCACTTGCGCAGTATAGTGGTCGAGTGATGTTGAACAGAAGATTCAGCTGTTGAGTACTTTTTGTTGGAACCAGATTTGTACCTTCAGTATACCCAGTTTTGGAAGTCTGAACGCACAGACGAACACTCGACATTTTGGCCATCCTTGCGTTTGATAGTGGTTGCGTGTACCTGCCCTTTTTAGCGTAGTATGGAGTTCCCCGGATTTGCTAAAGCTGCAAGGTTACGTAACGTTCCTTACCCACTTCGCTCCATTTTGCTTTTGATTCGATTCTACGGTCATCACACTGTTTAATCGAGGCAGAAGGCTCTCCATGCTGCTGCCGCCATGTCTCCACCGCCGTCGGGCCTCCAGCTGGATCTTGAAGCCCTGAGCGGCATCTGCGGGTAAGTCTCCTTTGCCCCTCGGACCAGTTGGATTCTAACGATCTGCAGTTCGATTTCCATAGCCTGCTGGGTCGTCGTCTACTCCCCTCAAATCATAGAGAACTTCCGCCGCTCCTCCGCCGATGGCCTTTCTCTCCTCTTCGTCATCATCTGGACTCTCGGCGATGTCTTCAACGTTCTCGGAGCAGTGCTGCAAGGAGTCCTCCCCACGATGACGATCCTGGCAGTTTACTATACCCTTGCCGACATAGTGTTACTGGGTCAATGTTTCTACTACAAAGGCTTTACGCTCCTGGAAGCGCCGGCGGGCAAGTCTACACCAGCCATTGACGAGGAAGCGGTAGAAGAAGAGCCCCCTACAGAACAGTCTTCCCTCTTGCCGCATAAAAGGCCCTCGAACACCCCTGATCGACCTGCTATCTCAGATGCAGAGCATCTTTCCACCCGTGGCTCATTCTCTTCCCTCCACTCTGGTCTGTCGAATGGCCAGCTGGATGCTACGCATCTCTCTCCTGCCACGCCCTTTACTCCACCTAGGACCTCGACTCCTACGGAAACTCTAACGAAACCTAAGTCAGCCCTCTACGCTCTCTTTTTTAACATTGCTGCCCTTATCCTTGTCTGCGCAGCCGGTATATTGGGCTGGTGGCTGTCTTCTCGCTCGTCCCGTGCTCAATACCCAGACCGCCATGATCATCACCATCACGATTGCCACCGGTCTCCTCCTTCCACAAATGACACCTCGGAATCCCTCCACTTAGACCTCTGGGGCCAAACATTTGGCTACCTCTGCGCAGCCCTCTATCTGGGCTCCCGCATCCCGCAACTTCATCTCAATTACCGCCGGAAAAGCACCGAAGGAGTCAGCATGCTGTTTTTCCTTTTCGCATGTGTGGGGAATCTCACATACGTGATGAGCATATTCGCCTACGAGCCAGCATGTGCGAGATTTGAAAGATACAATGATGTAAGGGGTGGATGCGAGAGCGGAGAGTGGGCCAGAGGTTACGGTCAGTATATCCTTCTCAATGCGAGCTGGCTAATTGGCAGCGCTGGCACGCTGGTCTTGGATTTTATGATCTTTGGACAATTTTGGATTTACAGGGATCGGAAGCCGGAGGTGGCTTGATAAAGCGGGAGGGTTGATTCAATTGGGTACGGGGCATGGGTTATGGGTATATATATGTGGTAGGAGTGCTGGGCCGGTATGCACGGCTTTGACCAAAATGGATTGGCGAAGAATAGTAACCCATTGATGCGATGTTGCCTTTCATAAGTAAACACCTTTTTGAGGCATAAAACTGAACACTGGTTTCATAACCTTCACCACGTAGATGCTATATAATTCTTGAGGAGGTTCCATTTGAAAGTGTCGAATTACTAGTGCTGACGGTGGTTCTACTAATTCCGGGTCTACAGACTAATCCTTCACGTCAGACTCGACATTGTTTATGAAACAAAGCACACCACAACGACGACGCCTGAATTTTATTCCTTCCACCACCTAGGCGACGCGACTCATCCGATAGCAATGATCTTAGAACGATGAACGGATTATTGAGCTAAGCAACAGTAACGGTACACGCATCCTCAAGCTCGCGGCAACAAGAAGTCCGAATAAACACCGGCCATCCTCGACCTCATGGCGACCACCTCAGCTCCTGCGACACCTCAAACCCAACCCATTCAAGCCGCTGTGTCCACCCCATCACCTGGAAACTGGCGACATCCAAGATCCGACGAGATAGCCCGAAGGCAAAAAGCAAATACCTTCGACGATAGCAACCTCCGGAAGATAGTGTGGAATGGGGGGGCTCTCGCGGCACTGTTCTATGCCTCATCACAGTATGTGTATACTTGCACCGGAGTGAAAAGTCCAAACTAATAGTGGAGAGTAGCTCTTGGATTCACGAAATCTCCCAAACCTTCCAACCACTCACCACTCCCATCCTTTTCCTGATTTGCCTGCTCGGTCTCTACAACATTGCAACAGCCCTATTACCCCTCATAAGAAACACGGACGAACTCACCGACATCCCACTGACGCCTACACAACGATCGCTCTTGGGCCTAGACCCTAACGCCACGCCACCACTGACACCTGGGACACAATACATCACCCCACCACGATACCCCCACTCGCCAACACCACGAAACATTTCTCCAGCGACCAGAAGTACCAGCACGTACAGCACGCCCATTACAAGCAGTCCGTCATTCGGGAGGGAAAGAAGCGGTTCGCCTACGGCGAGTCTCGCAGCCAGTCCGTTGTGGCAGAAGAGTCTGGGCAAGTCTAGGGATACTGCGAGGAGATCGAGCTATGGCTCACCGTCACCTTTGGGGCCCGGATTTGGAGGGAGCAATAGTATACTGGGGGCGCCGAATACTCCGAGTCCTGCGGCTGGGCGAGGGGCTACGGTGGGGCTGAACAATAAGTGGCTCTATCAGAAGGGGCGAAGCGCTTCTGGAAGTAGGTACCCGAGCATATATTCTGGGACTACGCTTGTAGATTACTAGGAAATGAATGAAGGAGATTACTTGGATCGTTATGCCTGAAGTCGTGCAAGACGCCTGTGACCGCTGCGTAATTTTTGACCGTGTTCCGAGGTATACATTACATGAAGTTGAAAAGTAGTCATAAAGCACATTAAACTCTCATCACACATCATTGAAGCATGCTCGAAGAAGGAAGAGTACTCTACTCCGACGCGCCAGTCTCCAAACCATGCCACAGCCCACACGCGAGGCGTTTGCCGTAGTCCTGAACAAATCCATTATCCCTCTTCTTTGCCGTCAGGCGCCGTGTCTGACTCGCCTACAGAAGGATACGTAGTGAACCCGAGCGAAGCATGGTCCGTTCATGGATAGCTTTCCGAGCCCGGCCCCTCTTGTCATCATTTACCGTCAAGCGGTCTCGCTGACTGACCGATTCACGCTCGAGCCGTGTCTCGATTCCACGAGGCATGCATATTCTTGCTTTTGACTGCCCGTGACGTACGTCCCAGGTCCGCAAAGGCTGCAGTTTGCGAAGGCTGTCGAGCAAGTGGTGTATCATTGTGGCAGAGCGGGTGGTGCACAGAGAGACGGAGTTGTGATGCGTGTTTCGATAGGGGTGATGGGTAGTCGGTTGTGTGCCGCCGTGAAAGAGCCTGGTCTTCGTGTTCGCTGTTCTTTGCTGCGGGAAGATCTCAAGTTTAGGGGAACGCCGTGACATTGAAGGGATGTTGGAAGGAGTTTCACTTCCCCCATACCGTTGTCATAATCCGTTGCTGATGCAAAAGCTGCTCACGATGAAGCGGTCAAAGCAGTAACCCCGTGCCTCAAATTTGCGTAGATTTTGCGACGAGTCGTCGAAGTATGTCAGAAGTTCTATAAGATCCTCAGTCATATCGGCCCTTGCAGTCTTCCAAAAGGGGCGGGAGGCGACCCTTGGAACCAAAGCTGGGTTATTTACGGAAACATTCGGCGAGAGCCGCCGTAATCTTTACTGTTCCACCACGATCGAGCAAAGCTCCTGTTTTGCTCAAACACTCCTCGTTGGTCCTGGTTTCTCCCAGAACATCATGCCACAGCATTTCTTCGTGCACAATCAACTTTTTCCTTCTTATCTAGGAGAAATAAGAATACTCTCGGAGTACCACGTCCTGCCGCTTTGCACAGATCATGAATGGCTGACTCTGGAAAGGTGGCTTCCGAAAATAACAGAGCTAGAACTGCTTCCAACTGAGGTTTCTCGTCCCTTTCATTCCTAATCGAGCTTGCTAACTGGAGCGTTTCCAGCAGATTGAGAGACGACCGTTGGTCATCGAGAAGTCGACGTAGCACTGGCAAGTCTTGATTGTAGATTGCGCATTTAAGAGGTGCCAATTGGGTTGTCCATTCATCACAACTATTTTTCCATGTGCGAAGGATCAAATCGTGAAGGATCAAATCTCGGGTCTGCTCCAAGTTCCAGAAGAGTTTACACCACATCTTGATGTCCACCCCAACATGCAGCTGACTCTGAAATCGACCACAGGTTCAAAGTCATTGATCGTAAGATAATTCAAACATGCCGTTTTCGTGGAATTGTGTCCCTCCGCGTTGTGTGTACGCCATGTACTATCACGGAGAAACGAAAAGCCGTCTGCTGTGAGGAAGCCCCTCACTGACTGGTGGATAAATTGAACGACCGCATCCCTCGACCGAGCCAATGGTGCGATTTCAACAAGCCCTTTAGAATGCTCTCGAATCTGCTCGTCGCTTCTGACATACTCGCCAGACTGTGACCATTCCGCCTATGAGGCAAAGGCTCCGCAACCAAAAGCTAAGGCGTAGCGGAGCTCTGTTGGAGATAGAGGTCTTTGAGAATAGAACACCCATTGGAATAATCGTAACATGCGTTCACGGTGCTCACTTTTTTGTGTTCTGTAATTGATGCTGGTGAAGCTCGTTCAGATCCGGGGGAACCAATTGAACAATGTCGCGAAGTTCTCTGAAGCTGGCACCAGCAGTGTTAGCGTGGAGCAATTCTTGGGTAACCAAGACGACCCATAGAAATGTTCCCTTAGCTTTATTCAGTATTTCGGTCCTTAAGGCGGCATGAAGCTCAAGATCTTCGCTCATTTGCGTTGACCCGAGGTGTTTCTGAATATACCTAGCGATATCTCCCCCATTTCCCAATTCGAATCTAGCGATGAAACAATGCTGTATTCTAAACTGCGGCCAGGGTCTGCTCGATAAACGAATACTGACATTGGTACCTTCAGAAAACGATGAGCTTGCTAGATTTTTAAGTGGGTGAATCGCGGATGGTGTAGCAGCTAAGTCCTATACCCAGAAGGCCGCGATCACTGATGAAGGAGCCTGTGGACACGCTGTGACATGCGAATATACCTTCTTCATCAAAGTCGATTTGCCTGGTCCGGGGTTTCCTCAAATCCAAAAGACACCTCGGTGTTCTTGTAGCCTCTTACGTTGGATCCAATCTTCAAAAATTTGACTCTCCAATATACAGTTGCCAGTATCCCGAATTGCTGGCTCAATATTGCTCTCGCGTGCGTATATTTCTGTAGAGGATAGCGATCAAAGACAAGCTTGCTCGTCCGCATTCAAAAATGAGTGGGGGATTCTATCACAATCTTGGGGTCAGCTAAAGATTATTTGATTTGTGGGACACATAATACTGTAGAGAGAAAACGCTGTCTACCTTGACTGAGGTACCGCGAGGTTAATATCCCAGTAGCTTTGGTGGTGATCCCTCGTAACCTGGTCGGTACACGTTCGTAATCTACATCGTTTATGGCGAACTCGACAAGGTCGCTATGAGTTCGATGACAACCTTCGTCGTCTGACTCCCAGAGGCGGGGGCGGGTTGCTGAGAATTGATCCACGAGGGCCCCTTTCGGACCTGCCATCTTCCACGAGTCGTTCACCTGATATGCTAAGCAGCTGTGATTAGTCATTTGAGAAAACGCAACTCACCTTTACAGCTGTAGGCGAAGACTTTGTCTCGATAAATGAGGCGATCGGACTATCCTTGAAATGAAAAATAGAACCAAACTGACCGTCTTGCTGAAGGAGTAAGTCGGAATATGGGCCCACGGACTCCAAGAGATATCGATTTTGTCCGTCGCAGACAATAGCTTGTAGTGACTCTATGTCCATCCCTCGATTTTATACGCCAAAGAACAAGAGACCTACCGCTGACTCCATCTGCTTCTTGACTAACTCGCTTCCGTGGCCTAGCTTAGTAGTAGCCTTAAGATAGGTCAATGAGAATGTCTTGCATAGAATATCTCTTTCCATTAAAGAGTACCTGTTTTACGACAACTCCTCCAAGACTATGTGCAATGATTACAAGTGGCGTCGAGATCCGCTTGCGCTAGGTTAGCAAGTCATATCTGTCACATTTGGTTATCAGACCATGCAATTACTTCGTCTTGTGAGCGTTATTTGCTCAGATGACCCACGGATGAGTCCGCAATGACTGAAATATTTTGGCTGCTGTCGGTTCCTTCAAGTCCTGACTCATACCAAAACAGAAAAACGCGTAGGTTTGGCAGGTCTTTCGGCAGGGAATCATGGAGCCACATATACGAGGTCCCTTCGTCTTTGAAAGAACCAAAAGCATGACCTCTAAGACCGCACACGGCTACGCAGTTCACGGCTTCTTTTTTTGATCTTGGTGTATTCAATGCAGTCAGGCCGTGAAAGTGCGTGTCGAAAGTCAGGGCATTGTCCCCGTCACTTCCTAAACTACAGTATAATCTACCTCCGAAACTTTGATGGACCACTGTTTCATCGTGGACGTAGTGAAAAGTGGCGGAATTTTCTTAAGGAACATCAACGTAGCCACTTGTTTCTTGGCTTGATAGGGGTCTTCCGCTGATGATGTGATCCCCAGTCCAGAGGTTCCGGTCCTGATCTGAAGAGAGCGCTCTAGTAGACAACTGAGCTCGTCAATGTCTCGGTTAGATGGCAGACCGCGAATCCTTAGTACAGCGGAAGAAGGCAAAGCCATGACAACTTCCTATCGCTTATACGTGGCTGTAGGAAGGCAAATACGGCGTAAAAGAGAATGGATGCTGTCCGCACTTAGCTTTGTGGCAACTTTTGTGTTCAGCGTAGTCGAATCTCTACCGGAGAACGGGGGACACTTCACACATGTTAGCGTAGTGCTGCTTTCCAATACTTTCACGCATGCGACGATGAAGCGGCATTGCATCGAAGTTCAAGTTGTCTTTGATAAGGGTGTCACTAGACTGAGAGCTATACCTTCTAAGGTTTGTCTATTTCTTGATTCGGGGCAGGTCAAATGGCACGTTAGAAGGCTACTACCCTCGTGGCAGCTATACTTGTAGAAGTTGTAGAAGAAGCGAAGGCAGGGTCATACTTGGAAAAATTGAATGGTGAGAAAGGAGACTCCATAGAGAGTGTGAGTCCTCTCTTTTTATGACATAGCCATAGGTGCTCTAGAGAAAGATTAAGCGGGTGAGCTCTAGGGCCCATCAAGTTGAAGTTGTCGGTGTGAATTTTGCGCAACATTCAATCGGCGGGCCAACCGGTCACGAGGTTGCAGATTATTATGATGCTTAGAGAGATCTCCTGCACTGTCTGGCCTAAAGGCACAATGTTAATCAGGATCTGTGGTCGAAGAGGATGAGGCTGAGGCAGAGCTCTCAGGCTGCGTACGAGTAGCGCTTAGCGGCTTGGCGTTTGACGAAGAGAATACGACCAATATTCCTTCCTACCTACCTTTAGCCATGGGCTCACATGAAAGACAATGACCCTATGACGACTTATTGGAACTATTTGCAAGGCATCGAAAGATGAGAAGCATCTGTGAGCCAGGTTGAGATTCAAACCATGGGGAACTCGGACTCGAAGCTTGTCTTCAAGCAGGGCATCTTCAAGCTGTCTGAGCTAGAGAGTATCGCAGCAAATGATCCATATTGGAGAGGAGTGAGCTTGCCGGAGGGTCTAGCGTGATCTACCTTACTGAAACATACCAGTTCTGGGAGCTTCCTGAATCCACCGAAGATGTCTTTAGCCTCTTCTCCCCGGTCGACGTTCGCCGAGCGCGAGACAGCTCCCTTCCAAACATCGAGACCCTCATTCTCGCCCTCACATCTCGCCTCTTCGCACTACGGCATCACCGGTCATTCCCAGACCCTGATGTTGCTCCCGAAAAGCATGCTCTGAATTGCGTCAGAGTCCTCACGCGCATCCTACCATTCCTCTACGAGGCAGACCATTTAGAGATATGGGAAGACACATTCTTCTGGACGAAGAGGAAGAAGCGGGCAAAGGGACAGATTGCGAAGCCGGAAGTACTCTTCGACGAGTCACAGAAAGAGGAGGAGCCGCAGCCTGAGGATGAGGAGCGGTTTGAGGAAGTCAGGCCTCTCGGAGAAGAATTGGTCGATACGTTGATCGACTTGCTGTTCTGTATTGGATTCACGTTACCATACACTGAACGGTCAAAGACCCGGATTACGTATGCGATCTGGGCTAAGGGTGTGGGTTGCAATACGTCTATGAGCTCCAGCAAGGAACTGGAAAGCAATCGAATAGAGATTTTGAGGCTGCTTTTGACGCTGTCAAGCAAGTCGCTTTATATGCCTGCCCACATTCTGCCAACCAAAGGGGTCAAAGCCGTCACATACATCACCACATGTCCAGACAAACAGCTCGTACTCTCGTTGCTCTGCTCACAGCTCAACACCGCTCTGAACTACAACCCTGCTAGCTGGAGAGTACCGTACGATCATGTGGTATACAAAGATCCAAAGCAGATCCTGGTGTCATACTGTTTGCAATTTCTCCTTATCTTGATACTGTATCCAATACCAGAAGGCGGCAAAGGACCGCCGCCCAAGAACTACTTTCGACATTTTCTGGGGAGATTACACCGACCACAGGACTTCGAATTCCTGGCGGATGGGATGGCTAGGACACTGAATCAGCCGCTTCAAGTCACATCTTCTTACCTTCCAGGAAGTCAGAAATCACTGAAGTGGGCATCGGAGATGATCATGCTCTTCTGGGAAACGCTTCAGTGCAATAAGCGATTCCGATCCTTCATCATTGATACCGATCGAGGGCATGAGTTTATGACCCTGATCCTATTCTACGCCACAGAGTACAAAACGGATACATCGAAGCAAGGAGTCATTCGGATGTGCGTGTTTGTTCTGCAGACTCTGAGCACCGAGCCGAACTTTGGGAAGCTTCTGAATCAGGAATTTGAAAGTCAAGATGCTCTGCCGGCGACGATCAAGCTGAACGACTTCAGTGGCACATACGCCGATTTCCTAATCATAGTAAGACCTTAGACCGGAGACCTGTGGGATTAATGCTGATGACAAACAGTCCATCCACAATCTCATTATCTCCAGCCGAGGTAAGCTGGATGCCATATACCCATCTCTCCTTGCGACTATCAACAACATTGCCCCATATCTAGAGCACTTAGGAAATCAAGCAAGCGTCAAACTTCTTCAATTGTTCGCATCCATGTCATCGCCCAGCTTTCTCCTTGCGAATGAGACGAACTACTCGCTCCTGCAATCTCTGCTCGAGTCTATGAATGCCATCATCGAGCACCAGTATAGCAGTAAGTCTGCGCTACTTTAATAGGTACACGGCAAGAGCTAACTCAATTCAAGACAATAGGGTTTTTATACAAGGTGTCTTCAAGTCGAGAAAACGGTTCGAAGCATTACGCTCCTTCACCCTAGAAAGTGGCCAACTAGAGATCGAGCGTATGAAGCAACGCAGTAAAGAAGCAGCAGAAGCCTCGCATCCACCAGCTAGTCCTACACGAACATCTCGAAACAGCTCCATCGATAGCGTCCGAAGTCCACTAAGTGCCAGAACACCAACGTTGAGCGATGTTCCAGAGGAAGGCGGTGCTTTTGCCATTGGTGACGATGATGAATCTGAGGACGAGGAGCAAGACATGCTTCGAACTCCTTCACAGTCATCTCCTTCCGCCCATACTTCTCGAACTGCGTCAATTTCTTCATCAGCTGAAGAGCCATTGCCAACGCAATTGCGTGGCATGTCCGAAAAGGCTCGCGGCAAGATGCCAGCCAGCCAACCCTCATTCTCCCGGCAAAATAGCACCACAAGTCTGAATAACCATGCCGCAACCATCTCATCGCCTACCTCCGGCTTCGACCCCACAGCTCATTGGATTGATTCCTGGCTCCCTACCCTACCCTTGCATACCATCTTAACACTTCTATCATCCCCCTCACCGCCCAAAGAAATACCGCCAGGCCTAGACCCAAGCCCCCCGCGAGTCCACCTGTTCGAATGGACGCCGCTCTCCCTGGGTTGGTATGAGTCCCTTCTCTGGGGCTTCATCTTTGCATCAGAAATGGTCGTACAGAAGGGCACAGTAGGCGTCTGGAATGGCACAGCCATGCGGCTTTTCAAAGTGGAGACCGTGGCAGCTGCAGGTCCAAGTCTCATGAAGGTACGTGCATTTCGCAGTGACATTTCCCCCGTCTGTACCTCAATATAGGGTGCAAGAGTTGTTTCGGGCCTGAAGCCCGTGCTGCACTCATAGATGCGTCTTCAAGATGCGTTTCATACCTTCAGAGACATGCTGACTGGGATCTGCGTAGCCGATGGGAGCGGTAGATGCGGTGGGGAGCAGACTGGTGAGCGGTGTTGCGAGTTTGGGCGTTGGGTCGAGAGGAGGCGGTGAGGGAAGAGAAGAAACAGCCAGGGGGATGAGTGTGAGGGATGTCTGATATCTTGTCGGTACTCTGCTAGAAGAAGCCGTTTGTTTCGATGATGTATACGAAGGTAGACTAATGCTTATGAGGAAAAAGTTGGACGCGCTGCCAGGATAAGTGGCAGCTTCATCTGTATTAATTCTTCAAATATCTTTAAAATATGACCATATCAGCACAAAGGATAAGATAGATATTTTCCCTCTTTTTTGTATCTGAATTACTTCTACGCGTCGATTGCCAGACTTACCGGCTAGATACCCCTCTTTGCCTACACTTGGAACAATTCAGCTTCCAAGACTGCACACTTTCCGACAGCCCTGCCTTTCGAGTAAATATTATTGATCAAGTTCACTGCCCGAGAAGTCCGGAGACGTTCTGAAAGGCGGGTCCCGGGATACCGCAAGCCAACTAACACGGAATAGCTATGCGGGTGGTGAGCGTGGAGCTACCGGGCAGGATTATGACAATGGGGAAGAAGTGTGAATGTATGAGCCAGGGATACGCTAAGGAAGACCGTGAGGAGTTGGATTCAGTGAGTGCGCTGAGGGATCTCCAGTTGTGCAATGCCACTATGACATGCGTGAGTTTTGCACTTTCAAGGATTTCTCTTGAATAAATCTGCACAGCTCCATCTACCAACAGCCGTTTTGCCTCATCTGATACCCCTTGTTTACTATCGATAGTGTTTCAGCGTTTAGGACTGCCGGTTTGTTGACAGCTTGCCCGGCAATTGCCTCATGGTCTTGACCTGATTAATGTCAACGGGCTCCACCATCGACATCACCGTCCGTTACAAAAGTCATCTTGACTGGGTTCCATCGCAGATGGCTACGTATGCCAGTGTTACGACTTAAGACTTTGTGGTTCACCCCGCCTTCTCCTTGAACAAGGATACCAGCTGCGCGCTTTATTGCTCTGATCTCAGCTATACTGTTTTTTACATGCTGGTGTGCTGGTGCCAGGAAGTCCAACGTTGCTTGGCGTCTTGTGTCTTCTGTTGTCCACTTCCCGGCGGTGTAGGCTTCTCATTTGGGCCTTCAGCATTTCTATGACCTGGAAGTGAGCCTACCGAGTCCCCGCGGATATCCAAAGTGCGCGCATTTTTTTCTATTGCTTGTGCCAGAAGCCATATCTCGCCAGGGTCCAGTTCTGCGACAATTTTCTGAGTGGAATGAACGCAACGGCGCTTTCCTAGGCAATCTTGGTCTTCACGTTCGAGTATGATAGGATCAAGCTTCAACGACGGGCCCTACAGCAGTTGAGACTCGGAAAGAAACTAGCAATGCAGGGAATGGAATGTCTACCCTTCGAACTGAGGGTGTTCAGTAACTTGGCTGGTCGGCACGACCTGGGCACGGACGCCCTGTTCGAGGCTTCTGAAACCATGCAATCCCCAAGTACTAAGGCCAAAAAGGGTCTGCCAACAGCTTACGACGAAAGAGTCCACGATTTGAGATGCTGATTTCCTTCTTGGATTAAGGATGTGAGACATCAAGGCATTGTGAGCTTATGATCTGGCTCACGCATAATAACTAGCATAGCCTTCACCCACATAGTAAGCTGCAAATCAATACAGTACCTCCAGCTTGGCAGCCCCCAAGGCGTTTTGGCCTCGAGGCCCGGTCTTTCTAGTGATGGTTGCGTTTCATCACTTGAGGCTCGCGGTGAAGACGGCGACAGATCTGAGACCAGGGAGTTAAGACCCGAGGGGGGGGGAAAAGCGTACCCAGGTGGTGCAAGCGCCAGCCCTGGGCTTATCGAAACAAACCGAATACTATCCAGTTATCCATAGTTCCACGCCACCCATGCATGCGAATTGAAAGGCTGGCCTAGCCATGCAAGCTGAAGGACATTGCTCGAGGTTGATTCACGACACATACATCTTTCCAGGTCACCAATCAAGTAGCGTTTCAGTTGATGCGATGTTGATCGAGATGGGCCACACTTGTATTGTCTATCTGTGTCTAGTTTGACGATGCGCATCCTGTATGCTCGCTGCTATCGCTTTCTCTGTTTCAGCCATGACTTCATGCAGAGTCCAAGAGTGGCCAGGATTCATTCATTTCAGCCTGCGCCGATTCCACACGGATCCCATATTTTGAGTTCATCACGCTTGAACGTGGCCAGAATGCAATCACAATGTTTTTAGTATCCATTGACCAGCCAGGAAGGCCACTGCCCTGCACACAGACTGACAACAGATTTTCCAGTGAACGAAGAAGAAACAACCAACTGTTTAGTTGAGTAGATAACGCCCGACTTGTGGGGGCGAAGCGGCCGTCCGAGATTGGTAGGGCGTCGCCTGCGAAATCTCTAGTCATCCTGATCACAAGAGCACAATTGCCTGCCTCTCTCATCAGTGATGATCTTCAGTCACATCTTAGCCTTGTTGACGCAGCTTTGGACTAACCGGCTCCAGCTCCTTGAGCCAACGGCCATCCTTCGTACCCAACGGACCCGGGGCCAGAGGGGAACACCTGCCTCGAGTAGAAGTCGTAGCTATTGTAAAGTCTGCCATCGAGCTTCGAAGCGATAAGTTCAATGGTTTGCTGACAGGTACTGAAGTTGAATGCTTCCAGTGTCAGGCCCCAAGTCGGATGCTGCGTGTTATTAACGCACACAGGTGAAGGCTTGTCGAGGCTATCACCTGAGATTGTATCGAGCGTTGAATTGATCACAATTGAGCCGAGTGTTCGAGGCAGTGCAGACAATGAGTAAGATAATGCCAACAAGAGAGACAATTGCAACAAATTTGGACAGAGCATGCTTTTACTATTGGCTTGTCCCGACGTGAATTGAAGTGATACTACCATCAACGATTTGATGAAAAGTAGAGATCATGACGTAGAGGTAAGCACAAATTCTTTGAGTCAACAAAACATCGTGCTGGGCAGTTTCACCACCACAACTTTACTCTTGCCACACCTATACGCAAGCGATCTCAATATCAGACATTAGCGACAGCCGACTACAAATCGCGTCTCTACAAAGAGACATTTTGCTGACTTGCACCCTGGAGCCGCACAGCAAACATTGGGACGCGTATGCGTCTTTTGGAGAAAGAATTAGGTGTGAATTTGGTAAGGCATGGCTAATCAGAGATTTAAAACATGGCCATAATCGTTGCCACCAAGCTATTATGCAATTCCTGAAGTCGCCGACAATAGGTACCAATCTGGAGTAGACGTACGCTCCTCTTCTCACCGTCAGAAGGCAATACTCTCCGTACCCTCGCCCTTGTAGGATGTTTCTCATTGGACGAGACACATTCACGTCCAATGTTGGTCCGTAATCCATGTCACCATGCTAAATGAAGCCATGACTTCACATGTTTCCATGCGGAGCTGATCGTGGGTGGAAGGTATGTTGTAGACGTTCTTGCCGATGTCCCTGGGTATGGGACCCCTGCTCTGTGGACTAGAGAGCGCCCTTGAAAGCTACAGCTTCAAGTATAGCACGTCTGGAAGTCCACGAATACTGATATAGGTACGACGAAAGCCTTTGAAAATATGTGTCATACAACCAATGATGGTTCTTGGATGACAAAGATAATAGAAATGTAGGGAAAGTGCAAACGATCGGAAAGGGCGCTAGCGTAGATCAAGCGTAGCGTAGGGCTGATCTCCGAGTGTGAACTTCTCCTAATTCGAGCTGACACGGAATAATAGGCCACCAGAACATTTCTCTCCCCGACAACAATGGCAGCTGATCCTATCTCCATTCTCCAGCAGGTTGATTCTCAGATTGAGAACATACTCGCTGGCTGGAGCATCTACACCACCCTCATCGCCCTTGTTTTCGCCGCCTATCTGATCTCTCCCCTCTTTCTTTTCACCGAACCAGATGTTCACCCTCTTCTCCTAGCTCGCCAATCCTCCGCCTCCTATGTCCGGCAACCCAAGGAGTCAGCGGTCTTTCGGTCTTTGGAGACCCCACACGGCTATCCCCTCAAGTCTGGCTTGAATGTTAAAGACGCTGGCCAGCCAAAATGGACAAGTGGAAGAGATGGGGATCTGAGAGATGTGTGGAAGCGAGCGGTAACGGGCCCGGTGGACGCTGATGGCAAGCCTACCGGAGGAGAGGCAGGCAAAGTAATCACAACGTATGGGAAAGAAGAGGTCATCGAGTACGACTTTGCCAAACTGTCTAGCGAGATCAACGCCGTGGGGCAGCACATGAAAGCGCACGGGGGGAGCCGTGTTGCTATTCATATGCCCAATTCTGTGGAGCTACTGGTGACCTTCTTTGGTAGGCTGGTAAAGTATCCATCACAAATCAGGCAGCTGATTGAACTTTGTAGCTTCTGCCTTCTACGGCCTAACACCAATCTTGATACCTCAACAACAATCTCTCGACACGCTTGCTGGCATTCTGGTGGAGACTAAAGCAGATATCTTAGTCGCTGGTGCTGGCTCACTGCCATTGAAAGACCTGCTGCCAAAGTATCCTAACCTCAAGCAAGTCATTTGGGTCGTGGAGCGGACGAGCAGACACATGGACTGGAACGAGGTGGGAGAAGGCGAAGGCGGAAAGGCGGATATCGCGGTCTGGCACGATATTATCGACGAGAAGCAGACTTCATCAGAGCTTCCTGATGAAATTTCTGAAGGTACCCTGACCAATGTCGTGATGGTGACAGAAGACGCCTGGAGCGCGATGGACAGCTATGAACTTACAGAATTTACGCAAGCGGTACGCCACACTCATCCGTGATTATGAAGGGGCCTACCGCTGACAGCATGCTTAGAACTTCGTAGCGGCAATCGGTGCCCAGATCTCCGCTCTCCCGCGCCTCCACCGGCTCGCTCCCACAGACACCTTCACACCCCTTGCCTCTCTCGCCGAGATGTATCCCTTGATCGTCACGCTCGCTGCTCTTTTTTCCCACGCCTCTCTCGCCCTCACTTCTGTCAGTGGCCCCAAGGCTTCATACAGCGCCGCCTTCCAAGGTGCCTCTCCCACCGTCATCATAGCCAATACCGAGACTCTATCCAGCTTCTGCAAAGATAAGGAGAGGACCATGTCATCCAGCCTTCTAGGGCAATTCAACCAATGGCGGAAAGCAAGGACGCTCGAAGCTGGCACCATGCCAAAAGCTTCTGGTCTGACAAATACGCCACGTTTGATCTACACCTACGACAAAGCTGGATCTTCGACGGTCAAGTTGGACGCGGAAGAGCTGTTCAAGTTGAAGGTCTACAGCGGTGCGAGAACCATCTACGCTTTTACGGACTCGCAGGTCGCTGGTGCGATTAGCCAGACTAACATGCTGGACTACCAAAACAAAAGCGCCGATTTTGGACCGCCGCTGAGCTCGTTGGAGATCAAGCTTCGGGACGCAGAAGACGGCAAAAACATTGATGACAAACCCTTGGGTGAGCTCGTGGTCAGTGGACCTGCTGTGGTAGGGGGAGAGAAGGTCGTAAATCAAATCATGACGATGACGGATCGTAACACTTTGGCTTATGCGTCCTAGCTGTCTGGATCGTTATGGGCGTTTGAGCGATGAATCATTAGCCAGCTTGCCGGTCGTTGATAGATTTAAAAAGGGAGGTCAGACTCATGTAGTTAAATTGGACATATAACGAAGAACCCTTGTTGTTCCATCTCACCCCTAAGCACTAGCCCGCCAACCCGCAAGCACGACGCCCAGAACTTCGAGCTGATACCGTACCCATCACTAAACACCCTCGGCAAAAATAAACCCCCACTCATCCCCCTTACATCCAACCCTCTCCCGAATCCTCACCCTCACATCCGTACTCGGCGGGTGGATACTGCTCGCCACCCGATTCCCCTCCACCTTCGGAAACACCCACTTCCCACCCGCCGCCTCCATCTCGAACCGCATCAGCACCATCGCCACCGCGCCCGTGATCTCCGTCGTCGCGAAGAACCGGCCCGGGCACAGCGTCTGGCCGCCGCCCCAGGCGCGGTAGGCGCCCGGGTGGACGACCTTGGCGGCACCGCTCGCCGGGGGGGCGGCGGCGGCGGCGGACGGTGACGGTGGCGGTTTGAGGAAGCGGCGGGGGTTGTATTCGGTGCGGTCGGGGCCCCAGATGGGGTCCGCGTGGATGAGGGCGCCGGGGACCAGGAGGACGGAGTCTTTTTTCAGGAGGTATTGGGAGGCGAGGATGGTGTCGCGGATGACCCAGCGGGAGGAGGAGCTCTGGGTGCGGTGGCGGAGGAGTTCGCGGTAGGCGGAGAGGAGGAGCGGGCATTGGGTTTCGAGGACTGTGATGTCGATTTCGTGCTTTCTTTTTCTGTGCCCGGTTGCGGATGGCTCGGTTGTTGTTGTTGTTGTTGTTGTCATCGTGGCTCCGATCTCGGTGCGGATCTCCTCCAGGAGAGCGGCGTCCGAGTATATGGTCAGTAGCATCCAGAAGAATGTGGGTGTGGCGTTGACGAGCACGCCGATCAGATCGCCGATTTCGAAGCGGGCGACGTCGTCGGTCGTGCCGCCGTTGTTGGTTACGGCGTCGTGGCGGGCTTTCAAGACGCCCAGACCGTATTCATGGTCGCCGCGGTTGAAGTACCCGTTTAGGCCTTGGTGGAGCTTTCGGCGGCCTGCGTAGCCTTTTCGAGCAGTATATTTGGGGTAAAGGCCGAGAAGTATCATGGTAAAGTCCTTCTCGAAGTCCCTGGCCCATGTCTCAGTTTCGGGCTCTTTACTTCCTTTCATCTTCGAGATCGAGGAACTCACCAAAAAGCCTCGACCAGCTCCGGTTCAAGACGAATTGGGTTTCTCTTCCCATAAATGGACTCCGTACTCGCAATCGTGAACCTAGGCCTAATCCACCCAAAGAGCTCCCCTTCCCACCCCCCTTCAACCGCCCACTCATCTAAAAAGGGTGCCAAAGTTCCTAACATAGCCTCATGCATCCTATCAAGATTAGGGCCCGGAGCCATCTCCCTATGCATACCCTTATGGGTCTCATGCACCAGGCCCACCTTTCCTTCTTTACCTACAATCTTACCATCAATGTTGTACCTGATCAAATCCATAGTTCGTGAGTCCGGCGCTAGGTCAAAGAATCGTGGAGCTAGTGAGTAGACGAATGGGAAGAAGGCGATGGTTTTCTCGTTGCGTTCGACGGCCGTGACGAGGTCGGCGAAGTTGACGACGTAGGTGCGTTTGTTGAGGGTTTGGAGGGTGTAGATTGGAAGGTTGTTACGAGCGCTGTAAACATGCTTTTAGTTATGGTTTGTTGTTGGAAGATGGATGGGTGACCTCAAGATTTCGAAGTAGCGCTGGCCATAGCGTAGTAATCCGAGTATGTGCCCGACATATGGGATCAAGCTGGAGATTACCGGTGGTTCTCTTGGGTCGTATGTGGGGCTGAACAGATAGACGAGTGAAATATATACGACGACAACCAGCAGGGAAACGCCAACGAACGTCGAGAACAGGCTGAGGTCCATTTTGACAATCAAGGGTTTTGACAAGATGAAAAATCGAAACTCAGGTATACATTCGTATGTTTGCTTCCTCCAATTCACAGGAACACTCGAGAACAACAGGCATTCACGTGTCTGAGACCTCTTCTAGCGTAGCGGTACTTCGAATAAAATGGCCAACCGCATAGTCCAAGCAGACAATAGACCAAAGGAATTGTATACAAGATTAAAATCCGAGTGAGAAGACGCTTAAGGCCCCCCAATCCGTCCTGCCGTAGCTCGGGCGCTTGCGAAAGAGGCCAATCATCTTGAATTGCTAGGACCAGGGGTAAGAAAGTAGGTAGAGACACAATTGCGGTGAAGAATTCTTTTGACGCGGAAGATTTTCCTTGAGGAAGCAAGGGACGCCTCGAACTCCAGAAATGTGGACGTTGATTTGACGCTTGGCATAGATTCTTGTCATCAATTTATCATCTTAGCGTGGGGCTTTCGATTCGTAACAAAAAGAAGAAATCGTTCCAAGGATTGTTTACAAGATATCGAACAAATCCTATGATTGGCAAAAAATTGGACGCTGTGGGAATTGAACCCACGACCGTTCACATGCGAAGCGAAAATCATACCCCTAGACCAAGCGCCCTGTGATCAAGTTTTTCACCATTGTTTTATATATACAAAATGTTCTTGACATCACCACAGATGCATCAATTTAGGCGTGAGCCAGTTGACCGCATCGATAGAAGGCGAAGTTGGAGCATGCAATCTATCTCACGCTGAGCAGGAACCATGCAACAAATCCGAAGATAGTTATTCTACATGGTACCATGCTGCTTCAAGTAACGTATGGTTACTGTATGAATTGTGTATATGAAAATTTGTTTCATGAGGTGTATTTGCACATAAAAGTTAATACGGATGAAGGATTCGGCTATGAGACTACTGCTCTATTCATTAATCAATTTGGTATACTATGTCTGACACCTCCTCAACCGCCGCGCCGTCTGGAGAAGATTGCAGACACTCCAAAGATTGGTTCACAAAAAAGGTCAATTCCTTCCAGTCTTCATGATAATATTTGTGAATGACCTCCAAATTCGACCTGTTCAGCTTGAACTAAACAGTGATGTAAACCAACCCCACCTCATCCGCTCCATCCCAAACACTCGCACTACCCCATCCGTAAGAATTGTTGTCCATCCAATCCACTATCATCAGCAGGCCCAATTCCAGCTCCACCCAAGTCATATTGACCCCTGCCGTATTAGTCGCCGTAATCTTTGCGTTCGAGCCCACTGCTCCAGCGAGACTGTACACTGGTGCACTGCCAGCCGCTATGCCCGTCTCGCTTTCGTTGGCTGTCTGCGTATCCATTTGGGTTTCCACTTGTCGTATAGCAGTCCCCAGTGTGCTCTTGATTGCCGCTGCGCCTTGGGTCCCTTGTAGGACGAGCAGGATATATACTTCGGTGCCTAGGGCGCACCACTGGACTGTGTTTTGTAGCCGAGTTTCGAGACTGCGAGAGGCGGAAACCCCACTGGCACCATTGGCGAGGGTCTCGAGCGCAGGCACAGGGTTGACCAATGTTGCGACAGAGGAGGGCCAAGGTTTCGGCACGCTGAGGAAGTGTCAGAGTATGACGTCGGTCAATTTGAAATATGGGAGTCTTACGTTCCAGCAACAATAGATGGTGCGTTATCGCATGTTTGCTGGACTTGGCAGAGTTCGTTCGCGGCGTTGCATTGCACGTGATTTCGGGGTAGAGACTGAGGTCCGACAATTGGCGTGGCGAATGTGACACATCTAATGGTGGCTGTGAGGACTAGGGCCGAGAGGCTCCATAGATGCATGTTCTTGTAGGAAAATATAGAGCAGCCAGAACAAGTAGCAAATCCCAATGACCTCGTAGAACAACGAGTCGAATTGATTTTCAGTGTACTGCCTTTAATCGAAGGTCAATCTAGCTACTGCGGATGCAAATATCACAAGCGAACAATGTCAATTGTAATGACAATGAAAGAACTTCAAGTAGCATACAGAGCCCTCGCTCTAATATAGCCCCGCGGAATGTTTTCATCATGATCAGTCTCAAACTTCGTGCCAAGCCGACGACGCATATCGACGTTGAGGGGCTAGCAAGGAGGTGATAAGGTGGTCAAACCGCAACACGTGAAGATCACAAAAACTAACGCCCGTTGGGATGAAAAGCCTCAATCGAACATGCACGCAAATTCCTAATTCAGATATACAGAGGAGCGCAAGGGCCTTTTCATGATCAAGTGCCTTCCCCACATTAGGAACGGAAGCGCACAAATTCATCTTATCAAAAGCGAATATTTACAGGCGCACGGACATCATTGCGCAGACTTTTCTTGCACGGGAGACTTGAATGCCCATGAAGGGCTAGGCAGAAAGGTCAAGAATGGAGAGAGACAAAACCGCCGATGAATGGTGCGTTAGAGGCGCTGAGGGACATATGGAGTCTGCAAGCGCCTAGCGCATAGGCGCAGCAAATCAGCCGTCGTGCTAAGAGGCTGCGTGCTAGATTTGGGTTTCAAGTGCAGACGAGGAAACCCAAAATAAACCATAAATGTCGAAAAGGAAGCCGGATAAGATGGGCCGTAGGGGGTAAAACAGATCATGCAAAGCAAAGGCGATTGTGAGCGTTGGCGCCAATCCAAAACACGCACAATCGTGGATCTGGTGCACCCCACATATTCGATGACCGCTCGGGAATGAGGAGATTATCAGAGCGTTTGGCAGATCTGATGCCTTCACTTCGTTGCTCTCATCGTTTGACTTTGAGGATGTCGTACCGCCAGAATTGCCACTTATCCTGACGACAGCCAACGTATAAGAGTTCGAATCTGTGGGTTTTTTCCTCATGATGTAGAGCTTGCTTAAGGTCCGGACGTGAAAGTCTTTGCTTTTCGAGACGTTGAGCTTTGTCTGCAGGCCCGACATTGACATTCTTCAAACAGGCAAATGCAGAGACGAAGGCATTGGTCTTTGATCACGCCATAACCAAACCTTCAACCTACCTCGACACTGCCTTTGGGCACGCCAGCTCGGCTCCTCAGCTGACGAGCAAAGAAGCGCATAATGGGTAGCATCTCGTCTCTATTTCGAGGCATACCGTCTCCTGCCCTGTTCCATTTTTGATATTCGACATTTTGAAAGGCTGCTTTCAGCTTATCAAGAGCTGTCCGAGTGATCAATGTACTCGATGACCCTCCAAGTACCAAGACAGGTGTCTTGACGGCTTTTGCAGATAAATTCGAGGATGGTAGGGGACCACCTATTGAGACGATACCTCCAAGCTCTTCGGCCACGGAAGCTGCGGTAGCTAGAGCTGCCATTGCTCCTTGACCGAAGCCAAAGAGCATGATCTCTCTTGCCTTGTACCCACACTTCTTGATCAGCCCATTCTCGATTATGTCTTGCTTGATGATCTTGACAGCTTTGTTGAATCCAGTGTCGAAGTCCATCTGCCCCGAGGCCTGATCGAAGGTGATGTCGTCACCCCAATGAAAGCCACCAAGTTCAAGTGGTAGAGGCGTAGGTGCTTGTAGGGAGATGCATGTTGTTTCAGGCAGAGCAAGCTGCTTGCCTAGACTGGTAAAGGAGACTGCAGTGTCCCCAAGGCCGTGAAGAAGGATGAGGACGTTGGTAGTATGAGAAGGCAGTGCGGGGGGAGGAGTGATTGATAGGACGAGCGATGTTGGAAAGTCCGCTTGAACGACAGGATGGAGGGTGGGCATTTTGCCAAGCTCTCGGGCCTATTCTCGGAGTTTTACACCTTCAATTTGGCCAAGTAGTCGAATAACTGATTGGCAATGGTGAGCAAAGTTGTGTCTCCTCTATAAATAGATCCAGGTACCGGACACTGCGTCATTTGCGTCACAAATACGCCGTAACTAAGGGACTGGACACAGGAATTTTGCCCTCTGATATCGAACCATAGTCCATCACTTCAATTCTGCAGCGCCTTCATACTTCTCCCGGTTGCGTGTCTCAAGCGATTCAGTATTCAAAAGCACCCAACGTCACCGTGCATCTTCCCGGGTAAAGCATAGCCCCGAGAGATCTGCAGCGGCAAGCTCAGGGATACTGCCCCAGATGACTCTGCATGAGTGAAGATGAGTGGTAAATGAATCCCCTTCACATTGCCCACTGTCTCAGAGTAAGTAAGCTGCCGCCGCGGCCAAGAATCCGCCAAGAATTCGCCAAGACCCATGGAGGGGCAATAATGTGGGGCTGTACCTTGTAAGACCGATCAGTAGCTGGGTCAACATATAAACCCTTCACGTCCTCCATTCCATCTCCTTCTTTATTACACTCTTCCCTCTTCAAAAATCAACTCACAAACTTTGACCCGTACACTCTACATTCAATTGAACAACTACTCTTTCCACATACTTAGCAATCATGGTTTTTGGCTGGGGTACGTCTTATACAATGATCCTTCCCAACACCAACAGATGCTGACTGGCAGGCGATCAGGTGAATCTCAAGACGCGCACGACCAGGTCTACAACCAGGGCGGCGGCTACGACAATCCAGACAACCAAGCTAAATTCTCCCACGAGCTCGTGGCTGGCGGTGCCGCCTTCGAGGGCTTCAAGCTCTACGAGGACCACCAACGCAAAGAGGGTAAGCAGGGACTCTCCACCACATGCTGTGTCCGCGATCCCTTCGAGCTGACAACACAACAGGCAATGTCGTGAACCACGCTTTCGCCAAGGAGCTCCTCGCTGGATTCGTCGGTGGTGAAGTTGACAAGCTCGCTGAGACCAAGGGTATGTGATGCCATCGACCAAGAATGCAAAACACAAAGCTGATCTGGCACCAGGCATGAACGCTTACGACCGCGAGCGTGCTCATCATCAGGCCAAGGAGAATTCCAGCCATATGTACGACGAGCACTACGTCCGGGGCCAGAACGCTGACCAGTACGACCCAAACCAATATGACGCTCCTCAGCAGTTCCAGGGCGGCTACGGTGGCCAGGGCCGCTATTAGATGCTTTTGAGCCCGCAAAGCCCTCGAGGTTGGTTTTGACATGAAAGCTTTCCAACCAAATGTTGCGGCTTTGCAGTGGTCCTAAGTAGACGGAAAAGCCATGGGCAGAATCGATAGCATGCAAAAACAATTGAAATTATTGAAGACAAAATTACAGAGCCCAACATCAGGATCAGTGTGAATGTCGAATGCGAGCCTCCACAAATGTACAGTCTCCGCTATTGCCCAAAATATGCATCCGACCGGAGCACGATCTTCGTGCGGATTCAACAACGTAGTGTGACAAAAATGGAACATTTGGCTTCCGTATAAGTAGTTGTACGAATGAACGAGCCATACCCATGCCATTGAGAAGGGATTACCCTCTTTGTTATACAACACGCTAGTTCGTTGCGAATTACTACGTACAGCGTAATTGGAAGGCTGCTCCTTTGTCGCGTTCGAGTTCCCACTGCTCAGCCACGAAGACTATGCTCCTGGCCCGAGATGATCCCTCTCCTTCATAATCCATGACCACACCTCGCCTGCGCAAGCCTGCTATTGGCAACTGTCAGTGTGTAAAGACCCTCACTGTCTGCTCTGAGAATACACCTGGCGGGTACATGATCTTCCTGAACTTCTCAGCTCCGACATTGGGTCAACATTAGATACGGGGATGAATACAGGTCAAGCATATAACAGGTGCCTTTCTTGCTGTTCCCCACATTTCCCATCATACCTCTACACACCTCTCTGGGCGACATTCCATCCATGGCGAAGATACCTTTCCAAACGATGGGAATGCACTGGATGCCTCTTGTGCGTTGCCTTACTGGGCACGATAATTGCTCAGTCTCCTCCAAACATCCAACCCAACGCGAATGCAAGCCTCAACGTGCGATATAACTTCGGGTTTCTCACTCCTGGAGTTCAGCTGACTCCCGCCCGTACGTACCCTCAACACTGTTTGGTTAGCATGTAGAAGCTCAAGTACAGCCGAGCGTTGGCACAAGCTTAGCTCCATTCAGGGAATCACAAATCGTGATGATGATTGGCACCGACGGTGCTTCCCAGACAAACACCAGCACTACGCAGGTCCTTGAATTGGCTCAGCCAGGCCTCACCTTCCTGTCCTACAAGAACAGAACCCTCGCTTCCAACCTATCCAGCCCAGCCATAACACCATATGCAGCTCCAGCGACATCGCCAGGCACTGGGTCGCACATATGTTTTGTTTTGGTTCCAGCAAGCAGCCAACTTCACACTCCCAGTAACGTTTGTGGCGCGCGGAGTGGGGGATCGAACCAGATTTGATCTCGGGGATTCTGCGGAGCAAGCGGGTTTGGAAACGCCATTGGCGGCCGGTTACTCTGTTTCTAAGAGAATGTCGACGATGACTGGTAACGGAACTGCTACCGGAATTGAGGGGATCGGTGAAACATGGACTTCCATCGGCGCTAATGACTGGGGAGGCAGGGGATGGTTGAGGTGTCCATAGTTTCTATAGCTGTTAGAATAAGATCGTCAGCTGTCTACTGAATGGATCAATAGCAGAGAGAAGAAATGGATGATACCTGAGTTTTGGGTTGGCAGTAGTTCAAGTATTGAGTGTTCCGCAGACTTCCTTGCCCTGATGCACGTGTCTTCGGGTAGACACGGTCAAAGCGGAGAGGATGTCGCTGCGGGCTGCGGCACGTCACTGTGTTCGGGACTTCCCAGAGAAGCAAAGTGAAAAATAAGTTTGGCGTATGCGACCAAACAGCCATACAGCAGCAGCATTGGTGCAAATTGCGCTTCACAAACAGCAGGAGTACTATTATCCTTACGTACTCTATGTTCAGGGACACTATATCCACCGCCATAAGTTAAATCTCTGCACTTTTGCAACTTTTAATATTATTCTTCACCTGTACAACCGCAATGCTTCCTGCAACACGCGATCCACGCCCTTCTTCCAGCAATGAAATTTGCAAAGTGAGCTATATGCGTCGAGAGCATCCCTGTGTCTGAAATGACTGACAAAATTGGCAGGGAGCTCGAACAAGACCTGGTGCCAGAATGGCGGGCAAAATACTTCGATTACAAGGTCTGAAATTTCACCTGTCACCCCGGATCCCTCCTGGCTGACGGTCAATGTCCGCAGATTGGGAAGAAAAAAGTCAAAGCAGTCGCACGGGCTCTCAAAAGCGTCAATCAAACTCCCAGGACGCCTGGACGCCAATTACCCTCCAACCTCCTCAATAATGCCTTCCAATCCCCCATCCGCAACCATGCCGCTCGACACACCTCATCCCCACACACAACCCCAGAGCGTCGCGCCTCAGCTCTCACGTCCTATGGCTCTGCGAAAGACACGCTTCGAGGCCGATCAACCTCATCGCAAATTGGTCCTTATGAAGAAATCAGCTCGGAAGGAAGCTCGGAAGGGCGAGAGGGGTCAGCACCGTTGACTATAGCTGGCCAAGGGATTTCCCAGGGAGCAATAGATGAGTCAGTTTCATTGTGGGATAGTGGTGTGGTCACGAATTATGGCAGTATCATTGCAACACCACCACCGCGCAACATACCAATGGGCCCGCCTTCCCTGGAGCTGCCAGACCCTGCCCTCTCCCCCAGCGAAGAGGCCTTTCCTCGTCATAACCGTGCTTGGCGACAAAGCCGGTTCAATCCCAATTCGCACACTACTCCGCCACCTGTGAGAAATGAGGGCAAGCCTGGAGATGCATATGAAGTCGGTAAGACTTCCGTGCCATCCAAGCTAGGTTCTTCTCAACTTCTGCCAAAGAACAAGAATGTCTTCATGATACGAAGAACGATGTCTACGCCTGGACCACTTATCAACTCACCCCGGCCTCCCCTAATACGACGCCTGTTTTCTACTGCTGGGTTAGAGTCCCCTCAACTAGGCGATGTTCCATTGGAGGCATACAAGGAGTTCGATCTACGTCAAGCCGAATACTTCACTTTTTTGGACAAGGAGCTGGAGAAGATAGATTCGTTCTACAAGATGAAAGAAGCTCAGGCTGGCGCACGACTGCTGCTTTTGAGGGAGCAATTGCATATAATGCGTGATCGTAGAATGCAAGAGCTCCAAGCTGAGCAGATAGCTAGGGAGAGAGCAAGGCTAGAACACGAGCGGATAGCATCGAGTGGCCATGCTGGGATACCCAACAAGCTGACCCTCAATCACAGGAGTGGGCAACACAATCGAGCAGTTTCTTCTGCTCTTAAATGGATGGAGCCTATCGAAACTGCCATAGGGGTTGGGCCTTCGCGTGTCGGAAAAGTCACCAAGAGTATGCAGCAATGGGGATCCCCATCAGGGCCACAAGCCCAGAATCCTCAACAATCAAGTCGCCCTGACTCATGGAGAGACTTCTCCCGTCGGCCCACGCACCCAGACGACGTCCCATACCGAGCTGCGAAGCGGAAACTCAAACTTGCCCTTCAAGAATTCTACAGAGGTCTGGAACTCCTCAAATCATATGCACTCCTGAATAGAACGGCCTTTCGCAAGATCAACAAGAAGTACGACAAGGCGATCAAAGCTCGTCCTACCGGGCGTTATATGTCTGAGAAAGTGAACAAGTCGTGGTTTGTGCAGAGCGAAGTCTTGGAGGGGCAACTTGTAGCTGTCGAAGACCTTTATGCGAGATACTTCGAGCGTAACAATCATAAGATTGCTGTTGGCAAGCTCAGGAGTAAAAGCGCCAGAGCTGCTGACTTCAGTGGCAGCATCTTTCGCAATGGCCTTCTCCTCGCAGCTGGATTGGTTTTTGGCATTCAAGGAATCGTGTACGGAGCTGATCATTTGTCAAATTCAGACCCCGTTGTGAGCACTGATGCGAGCTATCTCTTGCAGGTGAGTAATCAGCGCCCTTTGTAACAACAGGAAACCTTAACAGAAGATACAGATTTACGCCGGCTACTTTCTCGGTTTGTTCCTTTTCCTTCTCTTCTGCTTGGATTGTAAGGTGTGGACACGAGCGAAGATCAATTACCCATTCATCTTTGAGTTCGACAGTCGGCACAATCTTGATTGGCATCAACTTGCCGAAGTAAGTGATCCAGCGGCCGATTGAAAGGATTGTGCTTATGGCGTTGATAGCTTCCATGCCTGTTGCTGTTCTTGCTAGGGCTATGCTTGTGGCTCAACTTCCAGCAGTCAGGCACGGACGCCATGTTCCTTTACTGGCCGGTGCTGTTAATTGGCCTTACCGTCCTGATTCTATTCATGCCTGCCCCAATTCTCTACCACAGGAGCCGCGAGTGGTGGGCATACTCTAATGTACGTAGAAAAAGCCTTGAGGATTCAAAAGACTAACACCATGTAGTTCAGGTTGCTCCTCGCTGGGCTCTATCCCGTCGAATTTAGAGATTTCTTTCTTGGGGACATGTATTGCTCCCAGACATACTCCATGGGGGTAGGCTTTACTCGTCTTGCTCATGAAAGGCGCAGGGCTGACTCTAGTGTAGAATCTGGAGCTCTTCTTCTGTCTCTACGCAAAGGATTGGAATAATCCTGGCCAGTGTAACTCAACACATTCACGACTTCTCGGCTTTTTCTCGACAGTTCCCGGCATTTGGCGAGCATTGCAATGTTTAAGACGTTACTATGATACCCGAAATGCGTTTCCTCATTTGGTCAACTGCGGTAAATACACATTTACAATTCTTTTCTACATGTCGCTCAGTCTATACCGGATCGACAAAAACGATTCTCTAAAAGCTCTGTTTATTACCTTTGCGACTGTTAATTCGATCTACTGCTGTAAGTTCACCCACTGCACCGTGTTCAGCTGTTGTTGTCTAACATTCCCTAGCTATTTGGGATCTTGCGATGGATTGGAGTAGGTCTATGATACCCCGTATGACGATGCAGCTCATTTACCTGCTTAGGTCTCTGCAACCCGTACTCCGAACACCCTTTTCTGCGCGATGTTCTCGGCTACAAGCGACCTTGGGTGTACTACCTCGCCATGGTCCTCGACCCTATACTCCGGTTCAATTGGATCTTCTATGCCATCTTCTCTGGCGAGCTGCAGCACTCCGCGCTCCTCAGCTTCTTCGTCGGCTTTTCAGAAGTGTGTCGCAGAGGCATCTGGACATTGTTTCGTGTTGAAAACGAACACTGTACGAACGTCGGCCGCTTCCGAGCCTCACGAGATGTGCCGTTACCTTACGAGATCACGACACCTTCATCTTCCACACCAGAAGAAGAAGAAGAGCCCCAATCGCATCCTTCGCCTGAACAACATCGCCGTACCGCCCCACTCCAAGCCTCGCCATCCTCCGTAGGCACATCATCCAATCTCGAAGCCCAACCGCAGTCCGGCTCCCTTCGCCGCCGCCAAACCGCGACCAACACCCCTATCCAACGCGGCATAGCCCGTGTCGGTACTGTCATAGCACAGGCTCACGCTCAAGACTTCGAAAAGAAGAGAAGACCCGATGTTCCTGAATCCGCGTCTCCGTACCATGGAGCCAGAACCGGCCCGGTAGAGAGCAGTGATGAGGAGGATGAGGAAGAAGAAGGGAGCGAGGCTACCGGTGGCCATGCGGAAGGAGACGGTGGCGAAGAGACACGGGCTGATGAGGAGGATGTGCAGGATGCAGGGGAGATATTGAGGCGGCATAAGAGTGCTACCGAGTGAGCACGTTGGGATTCCCTCGGTACTGAGATGATGTGTATATGTATCAAAAGTGCTCAAATTCAAAAAATTGAAATATCCCTCGCGGTGTATCCTCCCCATGCCTCGTCCCAAATCTCAACCACCTCAGCCGAACAAATTGCTAAATACCAATCCTCATTCCATCTCGTCCAAATCGTCTAATCACGATATCGCTCCGTCACTACCGTACTAATACTTTACATCTCAGACCTCTCTCCACAAGGCCCCCCTTCCCTTCCCTTCCCTTCCCTTCCCTTCCCTTCCCTTCCCTTCCCTCCCCCCCCTCCCCCCTCCCTCCCCCTCCCATGCCCGTCCGGCGCACATCATACCCGCCCACTAGCACGAAGAATCGGACGCGCGGCATGAATCCGTCGTGATCTTTCTTGACACCGTTCAGAGTGGAAGATTTAAGAATGGAAGATGTACGTGGAAATTTTAATCGCATCGTTTGATGGTAGTGCCAATCGAGGGAACGACTGCATCCATCGTCTCCGGGGAGAGATCACGGTCCGCTCTGATGTCTGATGGCGAATGCTGCTTTGGGGTATGCTTCGTGGATGGGGGAGGCTGTTTTGGAGTATGCTTCGTGGATGGGGGAGGCGGTTTTGGAGAATGCTTCGTGGATGTGGAAGGTGATTGTGGCGTGGTCGGCCCGTGTGGAGTTGATGGTTTCGGCGGGTTATTAGAATGGGTTTTTGGGAAATCGGGATGAGATGTTGGGGTGGATGTGCAGGATCGGAGAGATGATGGGAAGGGAGGTGTTGAGACGAGTCAAAGACAGTGATGCTGTGGTGCGCGCCTTGCAATTTAAGCTTTCATCGACGCTTCCATCTCAACTTCTTTATTTCCCCCAGCTCTAGCCTTTGCGCCTTTCTTCCTCTGCCTCTTGCTGATGGGCCCACCGTTCTCTTCCTTCACCTCTGCCTTGGCCGGCCATTTCCCTTGCGCCAACTCCTCATCCTCTTCACTCCATCCTCGAGGCAAGATCGCAAAGACTAGATAAGATGTATGCGTCTTGATCTCCGGCTCCGCTCTATGTATCAATCTCCCCTCCTTGTACAACTTCCTTCCTTCCAATGCATGCCGTATATTCTCCAGCCGCTGCTGCTTCGACACCTGAGCTGGACCGGGCGCTGTTGCTCGTTCTTCCCCTTCATTACCTTCGTTACGAAATATCCTCGACCGCCCCTCTACCTCTCTCAGTCTTTCAATCGCTTCGTCGACGGATGCAGGTGAATCGTTGACACCTCTAAGCCCTTCTTCAGCGAGTCCAACCCGCTCCCGCCGGACTTCTATGCGATGGGCGGCGATCTCCACCATCTCTATTTCTGTCCAGCCTTGAGTACGTAGAGTGGTGATGGTACGTTGCACTTGCTCGATGCAGGGGGAGAAGGTGCAGAGGTGGATGGCGGTTGTTGGTGAGAGGGGCGATGAGGGGGAGGCACGGGTCAGGTTTTTGAGGGCGAGCCAAGGAGCAGGCAAGTCGAGGAATATGGCGTTGGCTTTCAACTCTGATGCGGGAGTGTCATTGGGTGCAAAGCCGTCCTGGCAGACATCTCGGTATGTGAGTTCGACGATGCCATTGAGCCCGTGCTCCTCGATTTCTTCTTGCAACTTTTGTACTCGTTGCTCATGGAATTCGAAGCTCCAGACTTTCCCACAAGGCTTCGTTATCGAATTCTGCGTTGAGCAGTCTTCGGTGTTGGTGTTCTGATGGCCATTGTAGACCGCTCTTGCTGCAGCATGTGTGAAAGATCCACTGCCAGCACCTGCCTCGATCAGGACCGTGCCAGGTGTCGCTCGAAGTCGGTGGAGAATGTAGCTGTAGTCAGGCGTGTAGACAACTTGGGTCCGATGGGGTAATGAAGCCGTCCATATCTCTGGGGTAGGCGGCAACAGATGCACAAATCCAGTAGCTGCTTTCACGGCTGCTTTCGATTCTACTTCGGCCTTCTGCTTCTTCTCTACACCAGCCACATCATCTTGAGCCTGACTCTCATTGTCCCTCTTCCTTTTCTTGCCCTTTCCCTCCCAACCTTTGCGTCCTCTCGATCCAGTGTCAACGATCGAAGCTCGCACTTGTGAGCCCCATGGTACACCAATCAAGGTGCTATGTGGGAAAGAGCCGAATCGTGTATTTGAGACTTTTCCTTCCGAGTAGCCTTCGTTTAGCTCATCGTGGGAGCGGAGAACAGTAGGGATAAGGAGGTCACGCTTTAGGTGAAGTATGGCGAGGGAGTCAGTTTCGGCGTTTGGACCGCAGTGGAGGAAAGGGGAGGATTTGAATGAAGAGGAGATAGCCATAGGGGTTGATGCATTTGCTAATTGAAGATTTGATGGTGGAGTTTGAGAATTAATGATTGTGGGGTAAGGCTTAGCGTATGCGTGTGGAGCGGGACTTCCCGTACCGAGAAGTTAGACGAATTCCCTTTCTCAGGTTGCAGTCATTTGTTGACTCAGCTCACGACTCATATGTTTCTCTACCAATGCTCTTATTTATCGCCAAAAGCCCCCCGAATCTCTCATAACATATTCCACATTTTTCGCCCATTACCGGTACAAACTTACAGTCAATCTCTGAACCGACTCATGGCCACCGCTTCTCGACAGCCCCCTTGGCAGCAGCCCACGGCGCCTGATGCTGATCTACCTAGATTAGTTGTCTACAATAGCCTTACCAGATCCAAGGTTCCTTTTGTTCCCATTGACTGGAAGACAAAAAAGGTCTTGTGGTACAACTGTGGGCCAACAACGTGAGTGTTGTACTAGTCTACATAGAGGATTTTATTCTGATCGAATCAGATATGCCGATGCTCATATAGGCCACGCCAGGTAAATTGCTATTCTTCTGTTTCTCATTCACAGGTATCTTATCTACCTCCAGAAATTACATGTCCACAGATATTATTCGAAGAATATTACGCGACTATTTCAAATTCAACGTGATACTTCAGATGAATTACACTGATGTAGACGACAAGATCATAGGTATGCAAATTTCGTAGCAACTTTTTCCTACCTCATATCGCAGCCTGGAGTGCAAGATTGGTTTCGGGAGCAGAAATCACATTATGCCTCTGCGGGTTGTCTCATTACTCTGCCTGTACTGAAGGAGGAAAGCTGACTCCAAAATCTTACTAGTACGAGCTCGACAACAACATCTGCTCCGAGTTTTTAAACAGGAACGATTAGAGGCTACTTCAGATGTTACTGGAACCAGACTTGCAGCCCTAGAGGCGTATCTGACCAAGAATCTACCAAGAATATCTCAGAGTACATCTCCTGAAAATGTTGAGTCGGAGATAACAAAGCACTACTCTGCCGTGCTGTCAGGGCATCCATTGGATCCAGGGACCCTTCCAGGAGACAGAGAAGCCAAAGTCAAAATGCACATCAAAACCGCTCGTGGTGCATCAACCGCAATAGGTGGTCTCGAGCAGGGGAGAGACCTATCAGAGGACAATCTCGCAGATCTTGAGGACGTCATCATGCCGTGGCTTGATCAGAAGTTCGGGTCTTCCGTCGCTGAAAAAGCCATATTTTTGGAGTTAACGAAAAATTTCGAAGAACGCTTTGAACAGGACATGGTAAATCTGAACTGTCTTGCTCCTGATATAATTACTCGCGTTAGCGACTATGCTGCTCAAATGTGAGGCACTTTTCGAAGTTGAAGTTCTTCTCCCTCTACAGGACTGCTTTTTGAGTCATGAGACATGTTGCAGGAGTAATGTGCACCTTTTGTTACACTATTTACTATCTGGATTTCTGTTCTTCGGATCAAAATGATAATAGAAACGCTGACCCCGAAATGTACTAGTGTGAAATTTGTCCAGGTAATCCAGCAGAATGGATTCGCATATTCTTTAGGAGGCTCCGTCTACTTCGACATCGAAGCTTTCGAAGCTGCTGGAAATACCTACGCTGTGAGTTCGAGCAACTTTTCATTCTTCATCTTGAAAAAATATACTGACTCCAGAACCATTCAGCGACTCGAGCCGTGGAGTCGACAGGATGCCAAGCTCATAGCGGAGGGAGAGGGATCGTTGACAGAAGCAGCGTCGGAAAAACGATCGACTGCGTAAGGACCGTTTCTGATTTGTTTCTTTTCCCTTTGCCCTTTCTCGATTTTAAAGACCTTTTCAAGGATAGGCACTTATGTCTTGCTCCTCGAGCATACCCTCAAAGTCAAGGATTTGCCCAAGAGGAGAAATGCTGATTCCGATGTAATGTAGCGATTTCGCTTTGTGGAAAGCGTCCAAGCCTGGTGAGCCGAGCTGGGACAGTCCTTGGGGAAAAGGCAGGCCGGGGTGGGTATGTACTTCCATGCCCATCCTTCTCGGCAGATACCACGTCATCATAAGCTCATTACAGACCCTTTTAGCATATCGAGTGTTCTGCAATGGCGGTCGATAAGTTAGGTGATCGGATCGATATCCATTCCGGTGGAATTGACCTCTCATTTCCACACCATGATAATGAGATCGCGCGTGAGTCATCAGGGCCGGTTTCACAACCCAAATTTGACACCCGGAGAGGAATTCTGACCCCATAATTACTTAGAAAGCGAGGCATACTTCTGTCATGGCAAGAAAAGCCATCAACAATGGGTTCAATACTTGTACGTAGTTGCCGCATGATTCCTGTCTTCCATGGACCTCTATATTGGAGCAGCAACGCTAACTCTGCACTCTCCACCAGCTTTCATACCGGCCATTTGTAAGTTCAACCGTGCCCTGCTGAACTTTTCACAGCTGACCGATAAATACTGTCAGATCGATCAGCGGTGCTAAGATGAGCGTGAGTAATTCTAAAGTCTATCTTTCCAAAGGCCAAAGCTGACTAAAATATCTAGAAATCTCTCAAGAATTTCACGACCATAAGACAAGCACTCAACAGCGGAGATTGGACTCCTCGCGGGCTGCGAATTGTGTTTTTGATGCATAGCTGGAGCGATGGTATCGAAATAAACGAGGGGTCGAAAGACAAGGGCTCCTCTTGGGAAGAGAAGCTAAATGTGGGCCTTTCCGCCTTGGCCGTTTCTGCGCGGACTGACCTTGCTTAGAACTTCTTCATCAATGGTAAAGCCGTTTTGGAAGACCCTGATCATGTCGGTATCAAGGATAGCAAGCATGATCTTGACGGCGAGCTTGAGAGAAAGAAGCAGGAGACTTACGAAGCACTTTGCGATTCTTTCGACACGCCTACGGTAATGGACAATATCTCCAGATTGATCACAGCGTATAACACTGTGGACCCGTCGACTGTATCCCAGGCCACGACAAAGAGTATCGCGTTTTGGGTGACTGAAATGGTAAACATGTTCGGGCTTAATGGAATCGCTACTCCTGAGACCGCTACCACCATTGGCTGGTCAGGAATCGACGTACCAGAAGGTTCTAAGCCAATACTCATCAGTCTCTCGAATCGACGTGACTCTCTCAGGAGAAAAGCGAAGGCAGACGCGGTGGTCAAAGATGATTTGACCCCAATTCCCATACCAGTTTCTTCTCACACATTATCAGAGGCACAGACAAGGACTCGTGCGTCTTTTGCGGAAGTCCTCAAGAATGTCAATCAAGACATAGACGCTCTGGACGCCACCAAAAGCGCCAAGGATCTCTCCAAGGATGTCCTCCGCCTGTGCGACAGAATTAGAAATGTTGATCTTTGGGATAATGATGTATATCTTGAAGACCGCGAAGGCAACAAGCCAGCCTTGATCAGGCTGGTCACTAGGGAGCTACGAGCGACGAAGGAGCAAGAGCAAGCGCGAGAGCGGAAGAAGCAGGAGGACAAAGAGAAGCGGGAGAAAGACGCAGCTGCAAAGGTTGAGAAGGGCCGCTTGAGTCACAAGGAAATGTTTCGATCACTGGAATTCAGCGCCTGGGATGATGATGGGCTGCCAACGAAGGATAAAGAGGGAGAGGAAATCTCGAAGAGCAGGAAAAAGAAGCTGCAGAAGGACTGGGAGAGGCAGAAGAAGCTGCACGAGGTATGGACGGAGGCACAGAAGAAGTAACGGTGTGGGTGTGTAGGGAAGAGGCTTTTGGTCGTGGTGGTGGCAGCTCGAGCTGATACCCCTGAAACGCATCATTAGAATTGTGATATGAATTCTTCTGTCGGCTACCAATCGTCCTACTTCCGTGATTCAGTTGTAGTTTTTAATCGAAATATCTAATTGAGGAAGATTTGCTTGCCTTGAAAGGGTGCGGGAGGCCGGGATGCTTGCATGCAAGATGACGACCTTTGTACCAAACATTGATACTTTCCAACCCTCTGCCTTCTCTTCAACCTCGTTATTGCCCAACTAACGGTCGACCACAACAATACAGTCGTCATGGTATCGTGACAATTCTCGACGGCCATGGGGTTCGGACCGTCAACCCTCTCACACAATGATTTTCTACGCTGCGATCGCTGCTGCCCTCAGCTCAACAACCATTCGTGTTCTTGCATACGTCTTCTTTAGATGGGTAGCTACCCTTGGATCATGCTTCCGCTGCCTCTTCACCAGCTAATGTGCCATCTACAGATACCAGGACACCAGCTCCCTCCTATCATCTACGCGGCATCACTAATCTACCTCACCTCATTCCTGTTTGTCCCGATCCTTAACAGACGTCCTGCTAGAGCGAGCACGGGAATAGTGGAGGATGAGAAACGCGAGCTACAGCCGGTCCGATTGAATAGAGCAGGCAAGAAGAGCAAGTCAGAGACCACGATTGAGCTCAAAATCAATGGGAAGGTCTACAAGACCAAAGACCCGCACGTGAAATGGTTGGAGAAGGGCCTACATGTCGTACGAACACTTTTACTGGGATTGCCCAGCCCCAAGAGCACTCTATACAGCCTGGTCACGCTAAGCATTAACGTCTTGTTGGTATTGGGCGTGGTGGATGTGGTATATCGCGGACCGATGCTCTATCAGAGTCACGATCTTTCTTTCGCCAGAGTTGGCTTCGTATCTGATACCAGCGCCAAGATTCTGGTCCGTGAGCCGGATGTTGCTCAGGTGCCTATCTACTTCTCTTACAGAGGAGCACCAGGATCGGGAGTGGACGATGCGTGGAAGTCGGCAGGACAGGTTTACCGGCTATCAGAGGAGACGGACTTTACCACTACTTTCACTCTCAAGAAGCTTCGACCTTTGACCAATTACCAATATGCGGTGTCCAATAACCATACTGGCTTCCTTAAGACTGCTGCTCCTGTTGGCCAAATGACTGTCGGTCGCGGGACATTCACCTTCCTAACGTCCAGCTGCATCAAGCCACGATTTCCCTACAACCCGTTTTCTCACCCACTCAACATTCCTGGCTTGAAGCACTTGGCCAAATGGATTCCGGAACTGCACGCATCGTTCATGCTCTTTCTAGGTGACTTCATCTACATCGACGTCCCTCACCGGTTCGGTACCGATTCAGAAACCTATCGTCGGGAGTATCGCCAAGTCTACTCTTCTCCTGACTGGCCTGCTGTTTCCGACTCCCTGCCATGGCTACACGTGATTGACGACCACGAGATCGCTAACGATTGGGATAAGCAAAATGCTGATCCTTATCCAGCGGCAACGGACCCATGGAATCTTTATCACGCGTCTCTCAACCCGCCTGCTGTTCTTCCCAACGCTTCTTACTTCCAGTTCACCCAAGGGCCAGCGTCCTTTTTTCTAATGGACACTCGCCGCCATCGCTCCCCCGAATACCCAGCACTCGCTCGCTCTCCTGACAAAACTATGCTCGGCGCTGCACAGCTATCTTCGCTACTAGCCTTTCTCAAACGCGATGAACCAGCGGGAGTCAAATGGAAATTCGTCATTTCATCCATCCCATTCACACGGAATTGGCGTCTCAACTCCGCAGACACATGGGCAAACTACCTCCATGAGCGTCGAATCATCCTCGAAGCCATGTGGGATGTCGGTCTCCGCGGCGACGGCATTGGGGTCGTGGTCCTCAGCGGCGACCGTCACGAGTTTGCAGCCACCGCGTTTCCACCTCCAAAGGACGGGAAATGGCCGCTAAGTGCTACGGTGCATGAATTCAGCACGAGTCCTTTGAGTATGTTCTACTTGCCCGTGCGGAGCTATTGGGAAGTGCCGGGTGAGGACGATGTAGACGAGGTGTGTATCAAGTACGCGCCGGACGGCAACAGCAAGTTTGGAGCTGTGGAGCTGGAGGAGGTGATGGGTGGGGAGCAAGGTCTGTTGCGGTTCAGGCTCTTTGTTGATGGGGTCGAGAGTTGGGATTACGTGCTAATGACGCCGCCGGCTGTGAGAGGGGGAGGGAGAGGGAAGGATGCGATTTGGGGATGATGGATGCCGCGATCAAAAAGTGAGGAATGGGATTTGCCTTGAATGGGTTGGACGTGATAGAGAGATACCCAGCATATGGCGCTTCGAATGGCGCATTCGTAGCAGGATACTCATGTGTAGATAGCTTTCTAGTGTTAGAGAATGTAGCTTGACTTTTGACCCCGTCCTACCCAAAAATTGGACGACTTCCGTAGCTTGTAAATTGGGATCTTGCCTATCCCTTGTCCTCGCCTCGTCAATACCTCTACCCCGGGATTTCACTACCACGGCCCCGTCGCTTCGTGAAACTCCAAAATTTCGAGCTTATGATGCTCAGCTCTGGCTTTCGGTGGTGGATAACGATTCTGTAGTGCCGGTGCTTGCTTCTAACTCCAAAGATTTCAACCATTGCGAAGACCCATGCCACCGAATGCTCTATCCAGCTCGTCCCCAGCAGGATCTGCACCTGCCGTACCCCGACCCTCGTCCCGCGGCCGCTCATCCTGCCGATCCATAAGATTGGCACTCCGCACTTGCGCACCACCTTGCGCACCACCCAGCGTCGCTGCCCCAGCAACAACGCTCCCCCTCTCCGGCTCCAAGATCTTCTCCTCCCTATCCAACCATCCGGGCGCCAGCCTCCTCTTCTCGGCCAGCTCCTGCTCCTTCAAGCCCTTCTCCCACTCTCGGATCGTCTGCTCGGCGTCCTCCTGCGCTTTGTGGATGTGCGCTTGTAATGCCTGGCAGGAGGCGATGATCTCCTCGGGGGACGCGGCGTGCCCGGAGGGCGAGACGACGTATTTTTCGCGCTCGCTGCCGGAGGGGTCGGCGGTTGAGGAGGGGGGGAGCGTGGAGGGGAGAGGCTTGTAGGTGTAGGGGAGGGTGGTGGCGGTGGGGAGGGAGATGAAGGGGGAGACTGTTAGGGGGATCTGGGCGAGGATGGGGTGGGATCCTGGGACGGTGTCAGTTGGTGAATAGGTTGGTGAAGGTCCAGATTCGAACTTACTGCTGCTGTACATGTTTGCTACTTTTGTAATGTGGGGATGTCACAATGCTCGCTCAATGGTGGAACATAGCAGCAGAGATCTGGATAAAGGCTAGCCGATAGATCGGACGATTTAATGGGAAACCCGTTATTCTACAATTATGCATTATCTCGTTCCGAACTTCCACTATGAGAATCCTGTCGAGGTCGTGTGCATAAAGTAGTGGGCGTCGGAATGGGCAAGGCCTCGAACGTTAAAGCACTTTAGATCTCGATGAGGAGGGTTCCCTCGGGGGCATCTTAAGTGGTACTGCCTTGTAGGGCGTGCGCTAGCTGCCCCGCGGGTGCTTGGCGGAGTCTAAGCGCCCTCGGCTGCCTTCGAGGCCAGAGGCATGAACAAGCAGGCTCGCAAAATCCCTTTCCCACTTGCACAAACATTCTATCTTTTCAGCCTCATCCTCCAAGGAATCAGGCAAAATCTTTGCCTTGACACGTTGAAAGACTCTGACGCAGAGGTGCAACATCCGCCCTGCCTGCGCTTGACCTTTTCAATTTCCCCCCTTTCCCCGGCAATCCCCCACCTTTTGACAGCGCGTGCGCTCGTACTTTAGATTCCCCGGTTTGCCATCAGTACATCGACCGAAAGCACCAGCCACACGTGCCCCTGTTAGCAATACATACCATCCAGTGTGGAAACGAGTATGACAGCAAGGCCTTAGAAAAATCAATCCTTTTCCGTCATCGTCTTTGTTACCTGTCGCTATCCTGATTAACAAGCGGTCAAGCACCGTTCGCAGTGGCGTTCAGTGACTCCGCCGTTACCCATGACGAGTCCATCCAATAATTCACAGCCTTTAGTCTTGGCTCAACTCGAAAAGATGGACGGAAACACACCTAAGAATAACTTCGAGGTCGCCGCTCGCGCTATGGAACACAAGAAGCCCGTACCAGAGATAGATTTCACACTGCATACCATGGAAGATGGCCAACAGGTCAGCACACAAGAGCGGGTCTGTAAAGGTATGCTGAAATCACACCGGGAAATCAGCTGCCGTTACTAACGTCGTAATCCAGATGTCCAAGCCCCCGCTTTCAAGCCACCCACAGAAGAGCAATTCCGTTCTCCACATGATCGCAACAAGCCCAACCTTCAATTTCTCAAACAGCACTTTTATCGCGAGGGTCGATTGACCGAAGACCAAGCGCTATGGATCATACAAATGGGGACAGAGGTGCTGAAGAGCGAGCCTAATCTGCTGGAGATGGATGCGCCAATCACGGTCTGCGGTGATGTCCATGGACAATATTTTGATCTAATGAAACTCTTCGAAGTCGGGGGCGATCCAGCAGAGACTCGATATCTGTTCCTGGGAGACTACGTGGACAGAGGATATTTCAGTATTGAAGTAAGTGCTGCCATTTCTGTTCAGTAGCGCTGCTACCCAATTCAAGAGCACTCAGGCTGACACGTTCAACAGTGCGTCTTGTACCTATGGTCGCTCAAGATATGGTACCCAAATACTCTATGGCTGCTCCGTGGGAATCACGAGTGCAGGCATTTGACGGACTATTTCACATTCAAGCTTGAGTGCAAGCACAAGTACTCCGAGAGGATCTACGAAGCGTGCATGGATTCTTTCTGCGCGTTACCCCTTGCCGCGATCATGAACAAGCAATTTCTGTGTATACATGGAGGGTTGAGCCCAGAATTACATACCTTGGATGACCTCAAAGGGGTAAGTTGCGCCAGCATTTTTGAGATGCGCAGTCGCTGATAGATTTAGATTGATCGATTCCGCGAGCCTCCTACCCATGGCCTGATGTGTGACATTCTCTGGGCAGATCCACTTGAAGAATTTGGCCAGGAGAAGACTGGGGAATTTTTCCTCCACAACCATGTCCGAGGGTGCTCCTATTTCTTTTCATACCCTGCTGCGTGCGCCTTCTTGGAGAAGAACAACCTCCTGTCTGTCATCCGCGCCCATGAGGCTCAAGACGCTGGCTATCGGATGTACAGAAAGACTAGGACGACAGGCTTCCCAAGTGTCATGACCATCTTCAGCGCACCCAACTATCTCGACGTATACAACAACAAAGCCGCGGTTTTGAAGTACGAGAACAACGTGATGAACATCCGACAATTCAACTGCACACCACATCCCTACTGGCTTCCAAACTTCATGGATGTTTTCACCTGGTCCCTACCCTTCGTTGGCGAAAAGATTACAGATATGCTGATGGCGATCTTGAACACGTGCTCGAAAGAGGAGCTGGAAGAGGATGTTACCCCATCTACTGTCTCCGCACCGGCGTCGCCGCCTATTGAGAGAGATACCGAAACCGCTGATGCCAAACGAAGAGCAATCAAGAACAAGATCCTCGCCATCGGTCGCCTCTCTCGTGTGTTCCAGGTACTTCGTGAAGAGTCCGAGAGGGTTACCGAGCTTAAGACAGCTTCTGGCGGCAAGCTGCCTGCTGGTACACTGATGCTGGGTGCCGAGGGAATTAAGCAAGCCATCCACAACTTTGAAGACGCGAGAAAGGTGGATCTGCAGAACGAGAGACTACCTCCTAGTCATGATGAGGTCTCGAAAAAGAGTATTGAAGACCGAAAGCAGGCCTTGCAACGAGCGAACAATGAAGCGGATAATGATACAGGCTTGGCACAGGTTGCCAGAAGGATCAGCGTGTAAGTCATTTCAAACTGTTACTTCGCTACCACGATTACTGATCATGGTATCCAGTTCCTCTGGTGCGGGAAGGGGCAGGCGCCTCGGCTCATAGGTCCTCTTGCCACAAAGCGAAGCTACCGCTTCCATCCCTCCGCTTGCCACCGTGCGGTCACAAAAAGTCTTGGCACCTCCCTTCTCTAAACATCTCCTGCTCATCTAGCACGGCACGGCTTGTGTATTGATGATGGTCTACATAAAACGCTGCGTAGTAAAACGGTCTGAGGTGGCATCGTAACGGGCTCAGGACGGGGCTTGAGCAATGGACATTTCTTTCATGATTCATTTTGTAGATAGCTGGATCACGAGCACTATGATACTTCGTTAACAAAGTCCATAAGTGTTGCATTTTTTTCAGGTCGAGAGTAGTCGACAGAAGGGCACGACCTCTCCCCAACACAAAAGTCTTGCGTCTTGATCCGCAGGTGTACTGTTTCCTCAACCGTCCCGGCAACAGAAGCGCCTACAGACCAGCTTCAATGCACAAAGCTACGTGATAGCGAGAAGTTTTCCTCAGTAAACGCACACAGCAGGAGATTGATCTCTCACTTCCCTTTTCATGAGGTAATGGGGGCATATTGATGCAAAGCCCGCTAAGCGTTTAATATGACCGAACAAAAGCCGAATTTATGGAAGACCACACGCGCTTTTCCAGATGTCAACTTTAGATGCCTCCCAAATTGCCATTGATTGGCAAGGCAGTCTATTCGCTATCCCTCTCCTCATGGCCTTTCATATGTCGATCATGCCGCTACAAGCAGGCTCGTGCTCTTTGCAGTGGTGCTGCAAGGTTAAAACCCCAGGGAAACCGCAAGGCGCGTGGGACGACTCTGCAATTAAGGACAGCTTCAACGACTGCCTCCATAACAGCAGTCAACGTCAGACGGGATATACCCCCTAGATTCTTGCATCTGCATGAGTCGTTGAAGGCTCTCGAGACCGAAGCGGCAGTCTACATCAATATTAGCCAATTGCGCCTGGCTTTGAGAGGCCTCGAGTCCGAGAATGCTGTCACGCGCGTCGCTGGTAAGTCTTGTTCTAATGGCAGCAATGATTGATCTGAGTCGCTGATGCTAGAGCAGTGCTGGGTCTGAACGGGCACAATGGACCTCGAAGGCTGGCGAGAGCCCTGCTGGCGGATCCTTTAGCATCGGAGCAACGGTGGGAGAAGCAGCTCACGGCAGACGACAACGATGAAAGAGCTATACTTCTGCGGTAAGTTCTCAGTCCTTTAAACCAGAATAACCATCACCGCCCTGCTTACTATGGCTATAGCTACGGGGAACAGGCCGATGTGGACGACCGACATCCGCTCGTGAAGACACTATTCATCCCTTCTACAACATTACACATCCACAATCTCGAAATACTTGTCCAGGCTAGCTCGGCTGCGGATAAATCATATGGAGAAGCAGGAGCAGCGAATCTGCTGGTGCCCGGGTTAGAATCTCAAAGCTCAGCCAGTGGCAGGCTTTCTACGGTAACATTTCCAGTACACAAAACGGTCATATACCAGGAAGGATTGCAAGACCTGGGCAGTATACCAAAAATCAACTTGCATGACAGGAGCATTTTCAATGTTATCATTGACTGGTCCTGGAGTACTTTACAGCAACAGAGCCAAAACGCCCAATCCGTCTCCCCAATCAACCTGGCGCTCGGAGAAGCAGCCATTGAAATCTTTCGGCAATCGCTACAGCGGTCGGTTGAGTACGAGCATTTGTGGTTTGATGCCGGAATGCCCGGTATGACGGCATGGATGTTGGATGGCACCGAGTCACCGAATGGCGGCATCAAGCCGGCAATACGTGGACTTCTTCAGAATATATGCAATAATACCAAAAAAGCAATCGCTCAAGAAGATGAGTCAAGCGCCCAGCGACAGAAGGCTTCGACTATATCTGTTGCCACGAAGAACATCATCGAGCAAGGTATCTCCATCTGGGCAGAAAACGCCCACACTGAACTACGTGATCGTCTTAACAGCGCGTTTCACAGCAAAAGCTGGAGACGGATCAAGTGGTGGAAACTCTTCTGGCGCGTTGACGATGTAGAATATATAGCCTCAGACATCCTCCACAAGGCCTGGCTGGTAGAGGCGGAAAAGGAGATGATTTGGATATCTGGCCGCATCCACCAGTCAGGACTACTTGGGCCGCTTAAGCTCAGGCCAACGGCAGTGCTCGACCCGGATGACGAGCAGACGCTCGGCGGCCATCCCCCCGCACCTCGAGTGTCTGATCTTGTCGAAAGGGTTCCGAACTACGAGGTTGTCGAGGACCAAGTCTTCCAACACCCATGGTTGCAAAACATCTACCGCGCTCGTTCTGCTCTTTCCCAATTCACCGTTCCTCCTCTTCAATCGCTTTCACAGTCCCTTCTACTCCAGACCATATCCACCAATGCCCTCACCTCCTCCCTTTCCGCGCTTCTCTACTTCTCAATCTCTACGACATCTCCGTACGAAGCAGGTGCTATCGCAGCCGTTGGTCTAGTCTGGTCATTGCGAAGATTGCAAACGAGATGGGAAAATGCTAGGAGTACGTGGGAGGCGCAGATCAGAGAAGATGGAAGGAGAGTCCTGAGGCACGTGGAAGAGGTCGCTCGGGAGACTGTTCGTGAGGGTGGTATGGGAGAGGCTGATGAGCTTAGTAGGGAAGCAAGAAGGGTGGCGAGAAATGCTGTTGCCAGAACAGAGAGAGCCTTGGAGGAAATAAGTTCATGAGTTGACTCATCATTGCACGCACGTAGATACCCTTAGAAGTCAGGATTAGGCAGACGCTGTCCCACTCCAGACCCAAGGTTGGAGTCTCAGATCCCGTGAATGGTGCGAAAAGGGGTCGGCCACCATTAGAGCCGGTCTTTGCTTGACCTTGTCTCGATTACTAGCGATGGCGAAGCGTCGACAATCGAGCTTCTTAGACATCAATAAGATTTGGGAATAAAGACAACTATTTACGACTTGGCGTCGTCATCAAAAAGCGATACTTTTGTATTCATGGACTTTGATTATAATACTACACGAGCGGCCCATCGCAGATTCCGTCGACGCCTACGGCACCGAAGTTGGATGTTTCTTTCCTACCGGATCACCTTCTCGTTCGTTTGTCCAGGGATAAGGAAGGGGTAAGTTGCAATTCACCATGCCGACGCCCAAGAGTGTCGAGATTGGAACGCGAGGTGAACGCACGGATGAAAGCGGTGATGATGTCTTCAGCGCTCAGTGAGGGCGGAGAACATAGATAGAGGCATCCGCCTTCTCTCTATCGAACTTGTTCTGGCCTGCATGAAACGATGCTGGAGCTTTCAAGCTTATGTGTGGGCCTCGCTCGAATCATTGATGTAAACCCTTCGGTTCCAATACGAGAGGGTCATCTAGACGGTGTCCTTGGCGATGGGAACGTCTTCGACGCTTGTGGAAGCGAAAGGGTCGGAGGGGGTCAGGGATCTCTGACGGGATATACTGAGAAGGCCGATCTAAAGACTGAAGTTCCATTTGACGCAGTGGCTTGATAAGAAGGGGATAGGTTTCGAAAACTCGACGAGCGCTGTTCGTCAACGTCTTTGTGCTTGAGAGTCACTGACCGTCGTAGCTCGGAAATGGAGCGGTTGGGGAACGCCATGTAAGTAGATTTAGCGTTATCAGACCTTGGGGATTCGGTTCAGGGCTGAGCCATGCGGCCACTTCCCTGAGGATGGCTCACCATGTGAAGGCCACTGTCAGTGAAAATTGGGGATGGCAATGGTGAGGGTGGAAGCCGGAAGCGGAGCAAATGTTCCGCCATCCTAGCGCAGTATGGCGTACTGCCCGTAACGTCAGACTGCCGGAGTGTGAGGGATGGAGCAGCAAGGCAGCCTTTCAAATCTTGGTGTGAGAGCCACAGCCGAGAACCGCAGCGGGCGTGTTTCTGACATCCTCTCTGCCTTTGCGGCTGTTGCTGTGCGCATGAACCTTGTCAGGCCTGCTCTCCTGAGACAGATCTCGGGCCGGAGACGGCGGGCTGACGGACGACATCGAGTACAGGTACTGCTTGTCCAAAAATGTTCATCTGTCGGTCGGTTCCGGGACGGAGAATCTTCTGTTGCGCAGCAGATGAACCATGGGACCTTGGTGATGTACCTGAAGCCTGGTGCAGTAACGCGAATTGTGGCAGGCAATATCATGGGGTTGGGGATGGACTCCATCGATTCCGCGCTTAACGGCGAGTAGGCGCCGGAAGAGTCGTTGGTCAGCAACGTCCGCCCCCTCTGGTGCCTGATCCACAAGTCGCCAGCCTCCTCGTTCCAATATTCATTTGCTCGCTCAAGGTTGACCTGTTCGATGGAAAGACTCCTTCATATGACTGAGCAGCAAGTCGCGATAGGCGTTCTCCAATCCTGCCCAATCAAAAGAGTCTTGCTTGGCATTTAAAGACTCTTAAAGTAAGCACCTGTGGGGGCTGGGATACTTTAGTACCACAGTCTAATTCGAATGTTCCGATCGATGATACAACATAACTACTACACTTACACACGAGAATAGGTGTCGTGAGCCCGTCAGTGAACAATTGCGATTATCGAGTCTTGTTACGAAACATGAATCGCACGGTCGGCTTCTGCGGTCCAGTCGATTCTCACCCCTGCCCTACGATGAAACAGCCAATCACATTGCTCAAATCCCGCCCATACCGCGTATCTCCAAACGCTTCGTTCAGTGCACACTTTGGTATCGCCTCCGCAGAGACATGATGTCTCACGTCTTAAATTTCTCGTTCTTCAAAAATTCTTCGTTATCGTCGTCGCAAATCTCCACGACATACGGGTAACCCTGAGCAAAAAAATTTGGAGATGAAGTTTTCCCTTCGCTCCTTTCTCGAAGCTATGCTTATCTCATACACACCCACAAACTCCTCATATCAAGTAGGACACCTCGCTGCTAACCCACTGGACGCGCGATCCGACCGAATCGTGCCTGGATTCATATTACCGGCTGCCGCGAAATCGACAGAGCCAAGTCCGAGTCCGAGTCCACCTCCACCTCCTGCTACCGTTACAATCACGAGCATCAGCATCAGCACCAGCCTGATCACCACTACCATCGATGTCACTGTGAACACAACCTACTACGTCACCGACACTGAGACTTTCACCACGGCGGTTCCGACCACATCATTGACAACAAGCGTTACGAATAGTACCGTGACCATTACCCCCACACGAGCAGGACCAACACACGCATCTAGTATGTCAGCGGTACCAGATGCGAAGAAGCCTGTGTCAGCGTCAGGAGTGCTGGCGATCATCTCCGGGGTCACGAATCTCGCGCTGCTACTGGCGATGTTTTTCCTCGTACGGAGGTTCTACAGGATGTACCGCCAGGAGCGGGTCCTGCGCAAGCAGATTCAGACCGAGGGAGTAGAGCTGAAGCAGGCGGGGGCGAAAGATGATGAGTGGTGGGTGACGGCGAAGCAGTAATGGGATGTATGGAGATAGGATCGCTTTGGCTGGACCAAGGCGGGGACAGGAGGGAGACATGATAGAGGTAATTTTTTAGAACGCCGTGAGCATGGACTCAGAGCCATGAAGAGGAGGTTTTATGTAACTTGGCGATAAGGTATGACAGATAGGCGCGATCTTGGAACTTACCATGCATCCTCTTTCAACATTCCATCTGTTGATCCTTTGCCACAGTCCTCTCCAAACCCAATCTCAAAGGTAGGGCTCGCTGCACCTCTTCCGCAGCCTTGATAATTATTTCAAACTTCGAAGTAGGCATAGCTTGACCGGGCTCACCTATATATACTATTGGATCATGGCATCAGTACTCTCCGTTCAGGATCGTGAATGGAAAATGCCACATCCGTCAGGTGTTAGCGATGCATTGCTGGTGAAGTTTGTCCTTTTGTAGTTGAAATCCCATCATCAATGATTACCTTCAGGCGTGCGGTCGGAGGAACGAGGCCAACTGCTCGCCAGCGGAACACCATTCATAATGTCGCATCCACCGTCGAAAGGAGTGGTTCCAACCCGGACATTGATGGCTCTCGGCCATTATTTCTTGTATTCAATTTTGTACGAACCGCGTGGAATACCTTGATCCGGACGTATCTCGGTCCGGCCGTGGCGTGGCTCAGGATGCAGAATGGATAGTGGCCGAATAATGGTAATACAGAGTCGAAGCTATGGTACTGTGCCCTTTCGAGTGCAAGCTGGTCCCGTGAGTCCTTAAGCAACGGATCAAGCCTCTTTTGCCAGCATCAGGTCCACTAAAACCTAGTTGCCTTCCTCAGCTGTGGATTTAGGGGGTGTCATATGGCTAGAATATATCTCTTGCTTGTAGTATCTGAACAGGCTTGGCACATGCCGTGTTCTATCGGTACTGCTTTATTCTGGATGAAGGCCGAGGAGTAAGGCTCTAGCTATTCACAATCGATGTCTGAAGGAAGCGTCATCAGTAACATGCAAGTCGACTCTAACTCGAGCTACGCAGATTTTGGCAATACTGAGAGATGCGATGGCGCCGATGCTGGCATCAGCACAGATACTCGGAGCCCAGATGATCCAAACCTCTCCACTCCACAATCCTTTTCAAGAGGCAGCATTCATGCTGAGACTTCAGCAGACCTGGTCATGAGGCTCGACATTGAAGCGATCAGTTCTGTTAGGAGTGATGCTTTTTTGGGAATCAAGTTTGCTCGACGATGGTCTATCCACCTACCTACCCTCATTGTCGCCTTCTCCGCCTTTACCGACTGATTCTTGGGACTTCGATGTCCGCATTGGGCTGAACCATGTGCGTGACTTTTCTAAGAATCACAAGTTTCTAATAGTATCCCAAGCTTGTGGCTTGATAAGACTCTGAATTCAACAAGTTAACAATTGCATCTATCTATTCAAATCGCAGGACGTCAATAGAGGAAAGCCCCTATTGAACCAGCTCTGTCTAGTCTGTAATACTGAACCCGTCACTCGAATGTTGAAGAGAGCTTTTCGCGGCTTGATCTTGACGTTAGCACAAAGCTACACTGCCACCTCCCCAAGTTGGTTAGGGAGACTTCAGGTCACGAGAATGGTGTTACAGTCATTTGTAAGTAGCTCCAGAAAGATGACGACACTCGCAACACTTCCAAAATGGCGTTATCTTGCATGCACAATTCGATGGTCGTAGCTCAGCCCCCCATAGCATTTGGTACTGAACGGTCAATCATCGCGCTCTTGCGAAGAGATGAAGCACTCGATGCTGCCGCTTACAAGGCGAGCAGACTGATCGCTTCCAACAAGACCACTTTCAAGGCCGAATTAACAGAAGTCCGAGACGCAGCGAAGGAGCTCCAGGCTGGCGCAGGTGTACATGGACAACGGAAATTTCGAACCGGTCAAGGACCCGCATGTCGAGATTGGGTAGAGCTGTAGCAACGGATGGCCTGATAGGTCACGAGTATCAGGACAGTCGCCCCATATGGGCCTTGGAAGACCTAGCCAAGATCGAGGAGTTACTTGGCGCGTTGGATCGTAGCGCGGTCTGGCTACCACATGCAGCTGACCTTGCGAAGGTTGTAAGGGAGCCTTCTATTGCTTTGACACACATTTTTGATAAGTTGGAAAGATCGTTGAGGCTTTGCGGTAAAGATGATAACACTCAAATTGCGAATCGGCATTACGCACGCTACCCTCGGGCAGAACACATGGACGTCATGGAAAATTGACGCCGCAAAATTGAGTCAGAATCCACGAGCGGCCTTGCGTTGCACTGTTCTCCTGCGGCGACATTCCATGGCTGTTTTCGCAAAGGATTTCGCACTGCACTCTCATCGCACGGATTGGTGGGCGATTAGTTCACTGAAGCGTCGTGAAGAGCTGCCGGAAGGGAAGCGTGGGCCTCGAGCTCATTTCGTAGAGTAGGTTTCAAGGATGGGAATACAATACATCTGGACGACGTCTCTAAGTACCACCCCTAGCTGCCTGTCCATCGTGAACCTGCTTGCCTTACCATGTGTTGCATGTGGAAGGTGCTTGGGAAGGTTTCTACGTTGTGTTTTGGATCACTTCAGGTAGGTAAGGCGGCTGCTTGTTGTGATTGAGAGTAGCTCTCGGCTGACGAGTAGACAAGGTGTACACGTTAAGTTAGCAGCCTTCGGAAAGCAAGACAACCCTTTGAACGGCGACTTGTCAAATCACACAGAAAGGACGGGAATCAGATCTTTCACGTTGTCTCGCGACTGCTTGCCCCTTGAATCAGCCAGGTCGTACCTGCCGAGGCAACAAGGCATCAACTTTCTTGGGTCTTGGCAACGGATTTGAACTTACTCTGTTTTTCTGACCTCCCGGGTCCTTTGTGTCACTTCTTGCAAATTCTAGTAAATGGCATAACAATAACACAAGTCTACATTCACTCATACAGTTTAAAGTATTGAAGGTTTAAACAACATTCATTCATCACTACAACATAAAGGCGACAATCCTCTTCCATAGTGACCTCAGTCACTGCAGGTCACCATTAGAGTACAATCATTTGGCATCTCACAATGGGCTGCCATACCGACTTGGCGGGGAACTCCTCCTGTGGCTTTCACTACTCCGGGCTACCGTAAGTACCACACACATACCAGCTATTTAGAGAATTAATCCTCGGTAGATGCCCGCTAGAATCATCAAGAAAACGGCATAACGCCCCTTATGCTGTCGCTTTCGACACCACTCTCTTTGCATCATTAACTCTCATCGACCAACCCTCTCGCCCATTCATACGTCAAGTGCCGCCAGATTGCCCATTCCTCGCCTTGCCAGGAGAGATCCGAAATCGCATCTATCGCTTCGCTTTGGTGGCAATCAGACCTTTCACTGTGCAGCTTCAATGGAATAGACCTCGAGATACGGCGCTGCTTCGGGTCAATAAGCAGATATTTGATGAGGCGTCGAGTATTTTCTACGCTGAGAATGTATTCAGATTCCCAGAAGCATTGTTCGTGGGAGCGCCGATTCTTCCGCAATTGCAGACGCTCTACCGTGTCTCGAGGGCGAAGTTGAAGATGATGAGGCATATTGTCCTCGAGGTACCGGTGCGTTCCTCCTTGAAAGGCCCTGACCTGCTATTTAGTAACGGGCGATTGCCCATCGTTTAGGTGTACGGCCTCAACTCCAACTTTCGCTTTCGCATCCAGACTGCATTCAACCTTCGACATCTGACCGAATTCCTGGCTTGTTCCCCAAACGTGAAAGTGCAACTGCGGTTTGGATATGTGTGGGGAGAGAACGGCCGCGATCTCGGACCAAGTGAGTACCACTATACTTTAGCCACCGCTGTTGAAAGCCTGCGATTGAATGAGGTGGAGATGGATGTGCATATCAGGACGCATCCGAAGTTTATGGACGAGTGGGTTGACCTTCTGGTAAGGACCTTTTTCTGTGTCAAATTCTCGCGTCTCGTGTCCGGTTTTGCGCCTGTTGAGGGCATGAGCCCTTTGATGTTGCTATTTCAATCGATCAGCTCTCTTTCGGAATGGTCCACGTGATGATCAAAGAGCTATCTTGTGCATCATCTGGTATGCCATCGCCTTTATCCCGGCGCCCATGGCAGGCGAGACTCCTTGGACATCGACGTTCCAATGACAGCTAAGATCAGGGTGCTTTTTTCTCAATCTCGCACACCGTTAGTGCTCTAGATCCGTCGGTCCCCAAAAAGCGTTTTCATAGATGTAACCCTCACATACATCTCACTAACAACCACCCTGACAGAGCCGAGAGTTCCAAGATAGATGGTCGCTCGAAGCAATCTTCCAACTGGGATCAGTCTCACAACGACGTATTACATTCGATGCTATCAACGGATTCAGCGACAGATATCAAATGCCTGGGTTGGTGGAATTCTATGAGGAGGCCTGGAGCATGTCTTCGTACACCTTCAAGCCGCGCCGCATTCCATCCGCAGGCGTGTGTGCCAAAGTGATAGCTCGAGACTTGTGTATCAGCGGTTCCAGATCTTGACTAAGCTTTTCATCAAGTCTTCCCCCAAGCGGTGATCCAGCTCCTACAACCTGCCGTGCCATTTTCATACCATGCCAGACCGGCGCCCACATCATCAGCTTGTAGTTCGCATCTGACCAATCCTGTGCATCAATCACCATTTCTCCCCTGGAATTCTCCCACCTCTCGAGCATGACTTCCGCATACTTCGCAACTATTCCCCCTTCGTCTTTCCCTCCCCCAAGCTTGACCGCCTTGACAGCGTGCATCAGGACCACCACCCCAACAATCTCTGGCCTTCCTCTCAGATCCGTCCCAACCTTCTTCTGCTCCTCCACATGCCTCGGATCCCACATCAAGTCCCAAATCTTTTCCGCATACTTCAACCCCCTCTCCACACCCTCATCACTCCACCCACTCTGCGTAGCCTTTAGTACAGCCCCCCTCATCACCTCCCTACAAACCTTCACATCCCAAAGCCCCACCCCAGTCTTTTTGACCTTGTTTAGAATATCCATCACCACCCCCTGGTTCCCCACCTCATTCGCCCTCCTCACCATCTTCTCAACCTGCCACCCCGCCAACTTCCTCCTCGCAACCTTCAGCCCCTCCAGAAACGCAGCCATATTCCCCCAGTCCCCAGTCTCCTCCATCAACTGCACCACTTTCGCAAACGAACTCCGTGTCGGCGGCTCATCGCGCCGCTTGTCCAGCGGCAGCAGCTGCAGCACTTCATCGCCTAGACGCACCGTGGCGGGCTCGTCGGATGTGAGGAGGGCGTGGTTGGATTTTTTGTAGACGAGGTCCTGTTGTAGGACGAGGAGGTGTGAGGGGAAGAAGATGTTGGTGCGGAATGTGTTGAGGAGGGCGTCGAGGTCTGGGGAGGGCGTTGGGTGGAAGACGGGGAGTGGCCCTGGGGGTTGTTCGTCAGCAGCCGGGTGGAGGAAGAGGGATCGGAGGAGGCAGTACCTTTTACTCGCCGCGTGGGAGTGGTTGTGAAGGAGCGGGTTTGGGAGATGAGGCGCCGGAGACAGGGGCGGCAGTAGTGGGTCAGGTCGATGGAGAGGGTTGCCATTGTGGATGTGTAGAAGTAGGAACGTTTTAGATTTCAATCATGTGTGGCGTTGGCTTGGAAGAGGGAAAATTGGTGAGCCCGAAGCTGGGAATGGTGATTTGTATCGAAGCTCGAAGTCAGTGACGGGTAACTTTTTTTTAGCGCGCTTTCCGAAGCTCTCCGTCAATTGGCGGCGACGACATCTCTCCATTCACGTTACATACGCAAGACCAGCCATGGCCTCTACAGCGCCTACATTACGGCTTTCGAGATGCTGGAAACGACTGCTGCGACCATCGCGCCAACAAAAAACCTGTGTGCGCTGCCTCCACACCGCCCTCGCAACCACACCCTCACAATTTTTACCTCCTCCGCCTCCACGCTTGCGCTCGCCATTCAGGATCCTCAATGACACTACGCACACCTGTAAATTACCCATTAAGAGTTTTCACTCTCGGAGCTCCTGCTAATAGCACGATTTTAGTATCCAAAAAGATAAAAACCTACCCCCCTCCGCCCTCCCACCGCGCCAAACACCCCTTCGCGGTCGCCGACTGGCAAGCCTACCACCAGAAAGAGCTCGACCCCACCGGCTCCCGCACCCGTCTATTCGACCGCAATAACCCCGACGTCCCCCGCGTCGGCGACATCTTACTCGTGGCGTTCAAAACCGGCGATCCGTTCGCGGGCGTGTGTCTGAGCATCAAGATGAGAGGGGTCGACACGGGTATCTTGTTGCGGAACAAACTGCACATGGTGGGGGTGGAGATGTGGGTGAAGATTTACAGTCCGAATGTCATGGCGATTGAGGTGGTGAAGAGGGCGGAGAAGAGGGCAAGGAGGGGCAAGTTGTATTATATGCGGTATGTTGCTCTGTTCCCCCCAGGGGTTTCCCTCCTGTTGGGGCGTTCGGTGGGAATTCGGGGCTGATGAGGGGCGGGTGTAGGAAACCGAAACATGATAAGGGTAGTGTGGAGAAGGAGGTTGAGGCGTACTTGAAGAGGAGGAGATTGATCAGGAGTGGGGCGTTGGGGGTTAAGGATTCGTCGTTGTCGGTGAAGAATCCGGCGTCGGCGAGGAGTGGCGTTGGAGCGAGGTAGGAGGAGGGTTTTTTGGCGTTGAAGCAGCATCCGGGCGTCTGGGAGAATGGATTTTGTATACTTGTCATATAGATCTTGAGCAAGAGGCAGAGTCTAAATAGCAAATAAATTGGCTCTGCAGTGTCAACCTCAGCTTGTAGTATACGAAATGGTCTGTGCAACAATTGACCGGATATAAACACTAGCAACATTGTAGCCAAGATAAACAAGATCTGCGTCGAACGTCACCATCATTCACAATTAGACTGTTTCTTCAATCTCTTTCTCTATTATATTTCATAGCTCTCTCACTCGTGCCAATATCTATACTGTCTCCCGCAAGCGTTGATCGAGAGCTAAAGTATTCCGCATCGTAGACCGTAGAACCCAATCAGTAAGTCATCTCCATCAGGAGACGCAACGATATCCACGTCGCCCTTGCAAGCGACAATTTCTTTTCGCTCTAACAAAAGCATCCTTGGTATTCCCGATTGCCATCTAATCGAGCATCTCTCTCAGATCGCTCGCCGAACCATTAAGTGTGCTGGTCGAGTGGACCGTTTCTGTCCCTGCGTCCGTTGTCGTACCTTTCTTACTAAAATGCTCACTTAAGGGGGAGAGGTGGGTCAATTTTCTTCTTCGGCGCTGGCACAGGGCACCGGCCTCCCACTTTTATTCGTGTGGTGTGTCGAAATCAGTGGTTACGGGTGCGATTATGAGAGCGTCCAGTTTTAGCGGTCGGTCCTCAACACTGGATCCCTAGCTGAGGGCCATGGATGGCTTCCGCGAGCGGTGTCGTTCTCTTGCAATAGTATGTTGGGATGGGCTCAGAGGCTAAGAACTGAGTTGCAGTGGTTTAAGAAACAGAAGATATCAAGACCGGAAAAGATTTTGTGGGGCTGTGGCAGGACAGCGTCTTGTGGTTGGTCAACGATCGGAGTCTTGCCCGGTGCTGTACTGACTGACAGGTTTCCAAGGCCGGCCAAAAAGCTGATTCAAGCGTTTTTCGGTCTCTCAGAATTCCCATGGTCTGCATGCGAAGGATGGTGCCACTCGAAGAATGACGTTGACGTTGTGCGAGGTGTATCCTGGAGCGAAGGTAATCACGCCGAGAGCAAGAGCCTCTGGTGGAGAAAGCTTTCCTGGGGTTTACCTTATTGATGAAGTTGCAACTTGGGGGCGACAGCGTACACGAGATCTCTTACTAGGTCGCACTGGTGTTCAATGTTGCCACATCGGCAACACATGGCAATACACTCCGATGCAGGAGACAGAGCTGGACGGTTCGGTGGCTGCAAAATTGGACGACATGGCCATATGGAAAGTGCTCGAATTATCGCATGTAATAGTTCAAGCATAGCGATCACACCAAGGTAGAACGGGGATCTGCGGAGCTTCCACAATGATCGCAAGGGGAATGATAGATGTCTTGAAGAGTGAGTCCAACAAGACTATAGCCTTTGAAGTGTGCTGTCTTTCGGCTCTGACTTTACACTCACTGGTCATAAGCTTGAACCCAGGCGGGGATTGGTCCGTGTGATTCTGATTTCCCACGGGCGCCATCCTCCGCGTGCCTGTTCTCCAAGGCTTACTAGTCGGCTCCTCTCCATTGAAGCGGTCGTCCGGAATATGTTACGGAGAAGGCGACGACGATGCGGAAGATTTTTCTGGCGCCACGTGGGTCCATCTACCCACGATAAAGACATTATCTCTTGCCTCCTCCGCAATGGTACGACTTTCAACCTCCCGTCTGAAGATCCAACTGACCTGGGTATATCTTCGTCTGGCCTCTCGAGCCGGAGTCGCGGCTTGCGTGACTCAGTCTCATTCGAGTCGGAGATTTTGTAGAGGAAGAGACATCATTTCAAGTCTATGTCTATGCTAATGAGTGACTAAACAGGCTTCGCGACTAGTTTCTCCGACAGTAGTCGGCTGCCTTGTAAGGAAATTGCACGTATCTACGGTCCCGTGCTTGACCGTCCTGCCCCTCCCACAATCAGTCTTTCACCTGTGGGACGTCGCAATGGAATTCACAGTTCTTGTTATCCCCCCTCCCGCATACGATCCAGTCGTCTCTGTCTTTGTTCTTATTATCGAGCCTACAATAGTCAAAAAACTGCAAACCACGAGCGGCGAGATTTTCGACGCGGAGAGCAATCTTGTCAAGTCTAGTGAACACTCTTAGCAGCGTCCTAAGTCAGTGAGAACCCTACATACGCCTTTTTCCCGTCGAGCTCCTCTTGGCATCGGTAGGCTTCCTTATGGACCGGGAAGTCGAACACCAAGAAACCGGCTTTTTTCTCCTCGGGGTTTAAGAAAGTATAATCATGTGCCTTCTCGTTGGCTGTTCCATCCTTTCGCTATCTCATGTTATCAGCTATGCATGGTGCCGCCAATCTGTCGATCGAGGAGAGAATCTTACCGCTGTGCAGCCATATTCTTTCATGATATATTCCTTGACCTGCTCCCGGTCGCCATCATTGCGTCCTTCGGGCTCATATCTGTTGACGCCTCAACTGATCAGCTTTGCCAATCATAAGCTTGTTACGTAGGGGGTGAGAGAATTGGCTGCGAGTTTGGGTAGCGCAGCGCTGATATTGAAATGCACGTACCTAACGACGACCACAGTGCCGGCCTCTGCTACTTTGAAGCGTACCGATTTTGGATCGAAGTCGTCGAAATGGATTGCATACGCCTTCAACATGTTTGGATCGAAGTTGTGTTGAGCGGGTCCTGTGTCTATCCTGAAGGATGATGCAGAGAAAGGTAGGAAGCTTGGGAGTGTGGATGATGTGTATGATAAAAGAAGTCATGGTAGAGGAGGGAACATGAAGCTCTTATATGGATTTCTGCCCACACTGCCTGGGAAGTCTGAAACTTTCACGGTAGCGGAACAAGCTCTCTCCTACCAATACCTTTCACGTTTCCAGGGTTGCCCACGACAATCGTCCCCTCTTGTCCGTTTCTCAAACCTGCCCGACTCAAGCAGGCTTAGATGACGGCCTGCCCGCTTCTCCCAAGTCTGCGGCAGACAATTATGTGGGCTGACATGGGGTGTGGCTCGCTCCTGGCACCGTCTGCCCAAGTTCTGAAGCAGGCAATCCTCCTTTTCAAGCCGGATGTAACTTGCTCTTATGCGCGTGATACTCTTCAAACACGGCGACACGCTAAATGTGATGCAGGGGAAGGTGGGGAGAAGTCTGAGGTAATTGGCAGGCGTGCTTTTCTCAGGGGAGGCGATTGTTCCGGAAACACGTAAGCCTCAGCTTGTGCTGAAAGCAGCTCGGATTCCAAAGGTCCCTTCCACCAGATGACTTCGTCTCAGCGCCGGCATCACGGATCTAACCCGCACTGACTGCCTTTTTGTCTACGAGGACGACTCCAAAACGATGCTTAGAAGCAGCTTACCGCCGCTCGGGCTGCTTACCCTCTCTGTTTTTTCCCTATGTCGCGGATCTAAATTGAATGACTGCCTTTTTTCTCTACCAGCACGACTCCAAAACGAGGCTTAAAAGCAGCTGACCGTCGCTATGATTGCTTACACGGTTACCCTCTCTCTTTTTCCAGATACCGCGGATCTAAATGCAATGGCTGCCTTTTCGTCTACCAAGGCGACTCCCAAACGAAGCTTGAGAGCAGTAATTTGCCACTCGCCTCGACCGACCCCTGTCTTTTCCCACATGCCGGCGCTGCTACCATCTCCGATGCCGACACTTTGGCATCCACACAAAGCGGCTGGGGGCTTCACAAGGCGGTGTCTCGAGTCGTGACTGGCGTCGAGACTCGAATGAATGACGGTCGATCGTAGGGTTTGGGAAATGCGTTGGGGTTTCAAAATCGACATAGGTTAAGGGTGGTGCGTTAGAACAGATGTGGCCTACAACTTAGTGCCCGGTCCGATTCTCGCGGGCTTTCCATCTCTCCTGTAGAGTATGCTACCGTTTCTTGGCAGCAGAAGGCGGCAAAAATCTGCCCCCAGCTCACTCAGGGCTCGCCCGAGCCCTGCCGCTTTAGCGAGCGCGCCGGGTGAGCAGGGGTGATGCGGCACCCGACCTAGGTGATGCATCACCTAGGCTCGGCGATGTATACAGCCAGACATCAACGACGACGAGTGTCTTCTGTTTCGGTTGCGTTTGTCCCCCTTGTAGCTACTTTTGCACAGGATTGAAGATTACATACGGGAGATTGTGAAGCGTGCGCAAAAGGCAGCGGTTATCCGGAGATCCTTACAGAAGTTGGTTTTGGGTCAGGCGTGCCAGGATCCTCAACATGTCCGTGAGTATAAAGCCGTCGCTGTTGTAGCCGCTGCTGTCGCCACCACTACCGCCTCCTTAGCGGCATTGACAGCGCCGCCTTCCGGGTGATCATCGTCTAGTACTGTCGCCTGCACTGTCAGTCTTCGTTTCAGCGACACGTGGAGTTGATAGGCCCAAACAAATCCTCACAAGATAAATAAGATAACGGAAAAAACAGGAGATTGATATTGGAAATTAATAACAAAAGCTATATTAAAAAAGCAGTTTTTGTATATGATATAAATAAAAACTTTATTGGTTCATCTCGACTTGGGAAAGGTGAACTCATAGGGGTTTCTCCTATGATCTGGGTGTCTTGGCCTTTGACTCATTTGCGCGCTATGCGGGGAAATCTTTTCGAATTTTTCCTTCTCATATTACCTTGTCAAATCTCCATGTGACAGAATCAGTATCGCGAGTCACCTTTGATGCAATTACATCCCCCAGTTTTCTTTCTCCCTACTTTATTTTTCACGTTACCTCGTGGACTCTCCGTACGACAGAATCGATACCTCGTTCCTGATAACAACTACATTCCCCGGCTTTCTTTCTTTCTTTCTCCCTACCTTTGACCAACTCTCCCATACTCTCAATCCATTCGCGTACGACATCAATGCCACCAATTTTCGCACCACTTCCACCGAACAACACCATGTCTGGCCCATCCCAGTACAGTTTCAACGATAATGAAGACCCCAACGATGCAGGTGCCTTACGCAAAGCGCTTTCCGGAATGGAGATTGGCCAACCTAGCACTTCCGGTGGTAGGTACATTTTCGTAGCGAGTGCTTTCTTTTCCGGCTTTTTTCTAGAATTGCGAGGCATTTCTCGCAAGCGAAAAGTCTTTCAATGCCCTTCTAGCCTTCTCGATGGCCGCAGTTCTGTCTGCTTCGTCCTAGCGCTTTCTAGAGTTACAAGGCATCTTCCGGGAGCAAAGTTCTCATAGTACAGCTTCATTGTGTTTGAAAGCTAAAGTCTTTTCCATTAAGAAAGAATACTGACTCTGAAACCATGACAGGGCAATTCTATACTGCAGGCAACGAGAACAAGCAGTACGAACAATTCAACCTCCACACTCCCCCAGATATCACCAGTAAAACTCGAATTATTGCTGTTCTCGGAATTCATCAAAACGCAACCCCTCAGAAAGATGGCTGGTTCGTGAGCGATTTCTTTGCCTTCTGGAACATCTTTCAGGGTATCACGGAAAATCAAAAATGGTACCATTGTCTGGATCTGGATGACCTGGTGACGAAGCATGAGCGATACTTGCACGGCAACCCCTATGGGCAGAGGAAGGTCGTGCTAGATTCTGGGATTCTAGCACAATCCAAATTGTCTCGACACCCTCTTCAGCGCATCAGGCCTGATCATCTCAAACCTAAAACCAAGCAGTTGATCGGGGATGAATGCAAGGCTGCCGAGACTGCCCACGAGAATGTTCTGATACTATTGTTCGGACATGGAGACGTTAATAATTATGGCATCGAATTAGGCACAGGTGACCGAGCTACCCTCCAGATTGATGAGTTCAGAAGTGCTATAAAGGCTATTAAGGTCAGTATCACCATGATCGCAACTTCTTGCTACTCAGGAGGTTGGACTTGTAATCCTCAGCTCAATCTTTCCACGATGGCCGCTGCCGGGTCCGAAAGAGTGAGCCTATCGTGGCGATTCTCAGGTTCAACAGGCCGTGCATGCGGGTCCATGTTCACCACAGCCCTAGTCCAGAAATTGACAAGAGTAGGCGCTACTAATAAGCCTCTCATCGACGAAGATGAAGATTGCGAACTTACTGAGGATCAAGAGGAGACCTATGCGGAATTTACGAGAACTGTTCATGAGCACCTACTCAAGGATCTTGATCGTAGAGGTTATGAACACGAACTCGCTTTCGGAGCGCAGGATGATGCGTGGACCATGTGCTGGAGAGAGAGGACTGGGATACCCTTGGGCCAATTCAAGGAGCGCTGGGAGAACCTGGAAGACTGGGCAAAGGATGCGACATTGCATCCAGGAGATCCTCTGAACCGGGATCCTGCGGTGACTGACGAACAACTTGCTGAATACTTGCAATTGAGGGCCGAGGCAAGAGGCAAAGCAGGTCGCCTTGGCGTCTGGCTCAGGGGCATCCGAGGGCACGGGTAGCGTTCTGGAGCAAGCGAAAAACCAGCGGACTGTATGGAGGCACCAACGCAGGCCTAATCAGCATGGTTTCCAACCTAGGGGCCGAGTATTTGAATAGCTACCAAGGGTTCGACGATAGCGGTCAAGATGGAGCGCTACACAACACGCTGAGAAGGATCCAGTCAGGCGAGGTTACGGACATAGACGACATCGAATCGGCGCACAGAGCCGTTGAATATCGAATGACTCAAATGTCTACGGCGGACCGATACCTACAGATGATGGACATGGCTCCGCCAAAGGGGCAACTGTGCTGTGAGTACAGGACGAACAAAATCAGGCAAGAGGTTGGAGGTGACAAGCATCACATTATCAGAAGGCTCATATTTGATCGTAAAATTTTATTCCCGCGTCCAGTTCAGGGTCAAGGTCGACAGTTCCTTAAGGGCATGGACTACTTGGTTGCAGCTTTCCACTATGCCAACACACCGAAGGAGGTCGTCGTCAAGAAACTTGATGCTTTGACTACCACGCTGGATCAAGCTTTGGAGCGGGAGATGGAAGTGGTGAAGCGAGATCCTGAGGTGAAATCCAAGAGACGCAAGCTGTTCCAGTCCTTTGGAGTAGCTTTTGGGAATATTTCCCCTAGTAAGCGGCGGTCTCGAGGTCTTTCATTGACAGGAGCTGCTTGATTGCGATTTTGGGCAAGGATTGAAACTAAAGAGCTCCATCCGTGATGAGAGTGTATGCCTCATCCTCATAATAGAACACCACAGCTAGGATTCCACTCATATTAGTTTCTACAGTATTCCAGTATGCGTCCAATCCCTGATAGTAAGGCGACTATTTGCGATGTGACTACTTGATTTGAATAATTTTGCGGAGAGATGTCTATGCTACAGTACGAATTTGGGTGTGTGGTGTGAAAGATCTCCGGTGCCAAGCATTCCAGAGGGTTTTGAATACGCTAATTGGCATTCGGTCCTACTCGTACCACACAGCACAATCAACCCAAATTATCAGCTCCATGAGGTTATATCGAAGTATGGAGCTCTATACACGAATCAATGTTCTCAGCGCTACCATCGCCGTCAAGATATAGAGACTTCTTGTTGCATGAGAAAATATAACTAAAAACCATCACCTCTTGTCTTGCCCAGAAATCGAACTCCATTCGAGGCATTTCACTCCCACCTCTCTCACAATGGAAATCATCCACCAATCCCCTACCTCCTCTTCCTTCACCCCTCTTGCGGTCCACCAATCCCAAACCCCCGACTCCTTCTACTCAGGCCCTCCGGTCCTCTACCACCATTCCCCCTCCGCGTCCCTCTTGCTCCATGCTTCAGACCTTGCGGCCGCCCCAGCGCTCGCGGCTCTGGCCAATGGCGCACACAGGAGTGCCAATGGTACGGCAACAGTAGCTGTCAACGGCCACGGTGCGGCAGAAGACGAGGACGAGGACGAGGAGTTTGAGATAGCTGGCGTGGATGTTTGGGTGACTTCTGAGTGCGTGTTTCCTCTGCCCTTTACCCCCCCCCATCCTCCTCTCCCTTCGTATCCCTGAATTCGCACAGGTGTAGCTAACCCATTACCCCATCCACACAGGCGTTTCATACTCTACTCCCCCACCCTCTCCACCGGCCTCTCGATCCCCTACCCCTCCATCTCCCTCCACGCCGTCCAGCGCCCCTCGCACGGGAACCCGGCCTCCCTGTTCCTACAACTCCTCACCGAGGCCCCGACGTTCGATGACCACGACCCCGATTCCACAATCTCGATGACCGTCGTTCCGGCTGCGGCTGCCGCTGCAACGACGTCGGAGGATGCGCCGGAGCAGGTGGGAGGCGATGCGCCGGAGTCGGAATCGCAGGCCCGGCGGCTCTATGCTGCGCTTTCTGCTTGCGCGAATCTGCACCCGGATCCGGCGAGTGGCTCTGAGGGTGATGGGGAGGATGGAGAAGGAGGAGGAGGAGGGCAACGTCCGGCTATTATGTTCGAGGGAGATCAGGACGTTGGTGGTGTATATCCTTTGAGCAGTGGAGAGGGAGGAGGGGCGGGATTGCCGCCGCCGATGCCGGGGAGTGGGGGTTGGATCACGGCGGAAAATGTGGGGGAGTTCTTTGATGAAGAGGGGAATTGGAGGGGAAATGGGGGCGCGGGGCAGGAAGTAGGCGTGAGTGGGGGTGGTAGTGGTGGTTTGGGGGAGGGCGCAGGGACTGTGCGGACGAGGGAGGAAGATGTTGATGGTGAGGATGCAGAGGGAGAGGGAGAGGGTTCAGAAGAGACGAAGTGGAGGAGAACGGATTGAACACTACAGGAGCGCCAATGCCATGCAGGTCATGGCATAGCTGGTGTCATGCTCGAGGTGAGCTTGGTGAAAACTCAAAAGTTGTTGTTGTCACCGCATGCAGTCTGATGAGCCACGAGAGACACGGTCAATTATTATGATTATAGATATCACTAAATGTCAAATAGATAGATCGAAGCGAACGTTCGATTCAGCGCAGCCAGGCATCCAGCTCTTTCAAAAAGCCATCTCGATCGTACACGCTTCCGGTCGGGCTCTTCCCCAACCTGTCGGTGTCATCGCTCGGCGGGCCGAGCTTCGTCATGCCACCGAAGATCCGCATGTCCCTCGGCCCCCTGACGTTCTCCTTGCCATTCCCCCCCAGCCCGTCATCGTCCCCTCCAGCCTTCTCCGCCTGCGAAAAGAGGATCCGACTCCCCGGCCGACCGACCGAGTCCTCGTCGAAAACCGCACCGCTACCGCTCCCGCTCTCCCCGATGCTCAGATACCGCTTGTGCTCCCTCGACTTCCGGCCCCCGCCGCCGACGACTTCGCTGTTCATCCGCCGCAGCGCGGCGACGCTCCGCCGGAGATCTTTGACCGGACTGGCGCTCCTTTTGCCGACGCCGCTCCGGATCGGGGAGCGGCGCCGGTCGGGCGAGACGTAGCGGAACGGGGGAGGGCGGGGACCGCCGATGCGGCGGATGGGCGTTTTGGGACCCCGCCAGTTGGCGGCGGCGGCGGTTTTGGGCGGCTGTGGCCATGGGAAGTTGAGGAGGGAGGATGGGGGGCGCGAGTCCGGGTTGGAGTCTTGGTCGGTGGATTGGATGCTCAGGCGGGAGGTGGTGTTGTTTGGTTTCTCTGGATCCGGATGGGTCTCCGTGGGCGGGGCGGGCAGTGGCCATGCTGTTGGTTTGGGGTTGTCGAAGATTGTCTTGCGGCGGTTTGGATGGGTGCTGGAATGTTTCCGTGCGCTGGGCTTCCGAGTGGGCGTGTCGACTTCTATGTCCGGGCTGTTGTCGTCTTCCCGGTAGAGATTCATCATGAATTGGGTGGGGGAGAATGGGCTGTTGTTGTCCATCACGCGGGAATTTTCTCTGTGAAGGCCGAGAGTTGTCAGTGGGGCGAAATCGAAATCTTGTCGCGATGGGGGACGGAAGGTTGTTTGCTTTGGTCTTGTCCCGCGTACCGAGTTCTGCGTCGTCGAATCTCCATGTAGTAGTTCCTCTTGCTCTTCGAGGGCTGGTGGTTTTGGCGGAGAAGGGACGACGAGGGGTATCTTGGAGATGCGGATGCACTTTTGACGTTGATTTCCACTCGTTCTGTCTTTTGGAGCAGCAGCTTTGGCTACTGGCAGGGATTCAATGTCCCATTCTACCGGATTGCTGGTCGCGATAGAACACGGCCGCTTTTCCCATGGATCCGAGATTGGACTACCTTCATTACCGGAAACCGCGTGCAAAATTGATGTGGATGCCCGCTTGCTTTTTGTGTCGTCGTGGATGGTGAAGTCGGTGGCGCGACAAAGAGGCGATGATGGAGAAATGCCGCGTCCAGGTCTTCTAGATTCGGCACTTCTGGGAATCGCGACTCTCGACTTTGAGTGAGTGCTTGATGGTTCTTTGGCCAAAGAGGCTCTCGACTCGGCTCGTGATGGCCCATGCAGGGACATTGATAGAGATAGACCGCTGCTTTTGCTTCGGGGCAAACTCTCCTGGATGCTAGCGCGAAATGATCGTTGTGTGTTCAGTTGTGGTCGGAACGCCATCTGTTTCGCAGCTCCTATTGGACTGGCTCTGCCTTCCTCGTGAGATGAGTCCCACACAACGTGGTTTATTTCGTATTGTCCGAGTCCTTTACGTGTCGAAGCGGGACTGGGAGGGGACGCAAGAGTGATGGATGTGAAATCCGTGCCAGCTTGAGCAAGAACCTTGGGCCAATTGTCATCGAGTATGGAGGTTTGCTCGCTGAACAAACTCCCGCCAGATGCTCGCCTTGTACTCTGCTCTGGGCTCTTGACTCTCGGCAATCTCTTTGACGTGATCTCGAATGGCAATGGCGGCAATGGTTGCGGAGGAGCGAGGCCGGGCTCTTGACTGTACATGCTCTTCGACCGTGGAAACTGCGACGTTCTCCTTGAGGCTCTTGGCTCGGTCTTGCTTCCGTCTGCTATTTCAGCGATCATGCCGTATGAACTACTGCGTTGTTGTCCGTGAAATAGCGGTTTTGGTGTGAGATCTGTAGCAAATAACGTTTTTGTGGCATCACTGTCTTTCCCATTGAGATTCAGATTGCCAATCGAACTCATCTCATCTTTTCGCGGTGTTCCATCGGTGTTTCTCGCGTCCTTGGGAGGCGAAGGGAGGACTTTCTTCGACCTCTCAGTGAACGGAGTCAGTGTCGATGATGGCATCTTGACCAAAGGTGTGCCATCCGCACGCGTCATTCGACGAGGTAGCGGCCAAGATTGTTGCGGTGCAGCTGGCTCGTGATCATCTCGATCGTTCGAACGTGCTTTGGGAATATACGCACGCGGTGGTAGGCTTTCGCGCGATGCCATTGGCGTGTATAAAATGTTGCGATTGTGAGGCGTGTGCTGAGACCGGTGTACCGAGGCTCGCGTGCCGGGCATGCGCGCAACGTCTTCGTCTGTGATGCTCATGATTGCGTTGGGACTGGTGGGGAAGCCGCTAAGGCGTCGCTCGCTGGGTGAGTTGATTTGGGAGAGGAGGCGCCGGTGCTTGTGCCGTAGGCCGAGGACTATGAGGATGACAGTAAGGGATGTCAGGCCAACCGCGCCGGCGATGATTCCAACGAGTAAATATAGGCTTATCGCCATGACGCGTCAAGGTCCTCGTGCGGGGACCTACGAGGAGAGCGCAGAATCCACGGGAGTTGGTGAGTATCTGACAGTTCTTAGCACTGCGAGAGCGCCCTGACATCACTTACAAGAGTGCATTCAGCGTGAGGTAGGATGACAACCACAAAGACTGTATGATGAAAGTCCAAACTCAAGTGAGAAAGTTGGAAGTAGAAAACTCTTAAACATCGAGCAAGGGACGTGGGGAATGCGGAATGTCAACAACGCGTTCAACGGCTGTAGACACAAATACCATTGTCACACCATTAAGTTGATTTGCAGTTAAAGGCGAAAAGGTTCAATATATTGGTTCGATTGTTGTCGCACTGATTACCTGTTCCCTGGCATCCGCCGTCAAGCATACGACTTTAGCGAAATCTGCTGCAGTAAGGGGGGCATCTTTTGTCCCGTCTTATACAACAAAAAAATGAAGGGTAAACCCTCATTCTCAATTGTTGCAGTGTGGGTTGTCAAGAAAACCACATAGACAAAGAGGACAGTAGACCTCTGCCGTCTGTCGGGCAATTGGGGAAATTTTGGAACTCAGATGGAGACCATCGGTGCAGCTGGACCATATGGCTAGTAAAAGCTGGGATTTAATTGTACTGCTCCGAAACTTTAAACGAGCATTAATCCCAATGTGTGGAACGCAGTGAGGTTGGAGGCCAGAGGTAAAACAACGGACCAACGATGTGTTTCTAATCATAGCTTCAATCTTGAGTCAGGTATGGTGGAGCCAGTTGACGAGAACCCGGAGAAGTCAGTCCTTCCAGGGATACTTCTGGGCTCAGTTACGGAGACAATGAGCGTTCCCTTTACGTTCCAGACCAGCAGATCGTTCCAGACCAGCAGATAATGTGTCTATAATCATGCAGTTATCGCATCTTCCGACACATTGGTGGTAGAGCCAGTGACTCCCGAATTTTCAATCACGTAGCATCCGCCTTCGTTGTGATTGGTTTGGCCAACGGAACAGAGAACATGTCACATCCCGCACATAAAAGGCGCAACTTCACTCAATACTTCCACATACTGAACATCTTGTATGAATGAGTCAAGAAAGACACACCCCAAAGAGCTTCAGAAGACACTAACCTGGCGTTTGGTCATCTTCCCAGCGATGTCTCTCGCGGTCACTTACAAAGATCAACCTCCCACAATGATCGATGATGACTTGCAAGCCTATGGGGAGGCGCAAGAGATGAGGGAGCCAGACGCCGAAGGCGAAGACGAAGACGAAGAAGCCGAGGATTCAGAGTCTTCAAGTGACGATGATGCCCAGGAAGACGACGAGAATGATGACTTTGACGAAAATGCCGGCTGGAGCGATGAGGAAGAGGGAGAGTACGACATCGTCAGAAAGTACAACCTTGTGTGGTGCAAGTCCTGGGAGGGAGAGCAGAAAGCTTACGAGGGTGGAGCCTTCAAGGGGAGTTTCCTCAATATCCGTGGTTCAGCGGAGCAGGATCAAGGGGTAGAGCCCTTCCGATGCACTGCTGATTTCTTATGGCGCGGTTTCGTTGCGCAATTCACCTGCACCTACCGCCCTGAGACTCAGTCCTTCACGGACTTTAAGGCGAAGACGAAGACTTTGGCTGGAGGTATGGAAGATCTCCGAGGCGTCAAGGTCCGTTTGTGGGAAGAGACTTTGAGCAAGGAAATGGGCGAACTGGTTCGAGGGAGAAAGGAGGTCAGAGATGATAGAGACCATCTGTTCCTCTTCGTGCAGATGTACACCTGGAAGTTGGGAATCGAAGAAGTGGTATATTTTTTGTATGGGAAGCAGGTGGTCGAGGATGGAGGCCAAGACAATACCGCCTTGACAGAAGGAGAAAAGGAGAGGTTGGGTTTGCCAAAGAACGAGTAAGAGGACAATCCGAGGAGAGGGCAGGAACATAGACTTGTGTCAGAGATCTGGCCCAGGGTAGGAGAAGACATACGATAGATATAAATCCTGTATGATCTAGCAGCTCACCTTCGTGCCAGCTTTAGTATGTTTTTCTTGCCCGTGGAACATCGCCTAGAAAGACATGATTGTGTTGTTTCTGTTGCATTGAAAATACGCCCAAATCTCTGGACAGCTCAATGATAAATTTGCCCTACTCCTCCTGGGCTACAAAAAGTAAAGGAGTTCGTGTAGACGTTTATGTCATCAACCGAGGTCAAAAAGTGGCCAATCAGAAAAGCATTAAAGTAAGCGGGGTTCCTGTTGGGGAGTGGAGAGCACTTGCTTTGAAATGCGCCGGGACCTTTCGATTTCTTAGCTCTGTTCACCCGCATCGAATATACCGTATGCATGTCAATGATTCTTCCGATTCATACTAGATCAAAAGGGTTGTTGTGAAAGACTTGCTTGATCTTGGATCCCACTGAACGAGTTACTTGTAGTGGATGAAATTCGAGAAGCTTACCACAACGTCTCTTCTGGCTTACATCTTCTTCTCGACCACTTTGGTTCTTGCTATTTACTTAAGTTTGAATCAGCACCGTCTTTCGCGTCTCTTAGTACCAACACCGATACATAGTAATTCGATCATCATGGGAGGAGAGAAATTGCCTGCCATGGACGGTGGGAACTTCAACCATCACAATACGGTGGCCCCGAAAGAAGAAAAGGTCTTCCCTCTCTTCAACAACACAGGCAAGACGGCCATTGTTTCAGGAGCCGGTGCAGGAATTGGATTAGCTGTTGCTCAGGCTTTGGCCGAGTCTGGAGCAAACGTGGCGATATGGTATCATGGTAACAAGAAAGCTCTGGATCGTGCCAAAGATATTGAAAATGAATATGGTGTCAAATGTGTGAAAGCATAGTGGCGATGCAGAGACTTCTACTAACGCTGTTGCTTAGGCCGAGCATATCAGGTAGATGTCCGAAGCCAGACGCACGTCAAAGAAGTGATTGATGAGATTGTGAATGAGTTCAATGGCCGCCTCGACATTTTCGTTGCCAATGCCGGCATCCCATGGTCTCAAGGCAGCTTTCTCGACGGTGAGATCGAACATTACAAGAACGTCATGTCTACCGATATGGACAGCGTGTATTACTGTGCATATGCCGCTGGGCTCCATTGGAGACGCCAAAAGATGGAGGGGACGGATTTGAATGGAAAGAAGCTCGAGAATTTCAGGTTGGGAAGTTTCATTGCCACCGCGAGTATGAGCGGGCATATCGTCAACATCCCTCAGCTGCAGGCGGCGTACAATGGAGCCAAAGCCGCAGTCATCCAATTCGGTATGTCTTGATCCCTCAAGAAGCCGCGCGATAGAGGTGCTAAACTCTGCGGATAGTCAAGTCGATAGCCATTGACATGGTACAATTCGCCCGCGCCAATACTGTCTCCCCTGGTTACATGGCCACAGAGATATCGGATTTCGTGCCGATAGAGACGAAGAATATATGGAGAGATAAGATACCCATGGGGTAAGTACCTTCGTTCTCGGTCTCCTTTTCAGAGACTGATATCTTCTGTAGACGCGAGGGTGAAGCGCATGAGCTCAAGGGAGCGTTCCTGTATCTGGCTTCTGATATTTCAAGCTACACGACTGGCAGCGACATCATGGTTGACGGCGGCTACTCGATAGTATAGTGCTCAGTTCATATAACTAATAGGATGCCATGTTATTCGCGGACCCTCGATCCTACGCCTGTTCGTCAAATGCAGATATGTACTAGTCCAGCAAGTGCCTCAAGATTCCATCGACGAGAGTTTTTGTTTTGTTCGAAGACATGACAGCGGCTTCATCCCCGGACGATCGCAGTCTTGCATCTGGATCGAAGTATTAAGTAGATAATTGACAAGTAAGGAAATTGCATTGTTATTAGTGTCTTCCGTATCGTGAGGGTCCTGTTACCTCATGCATGGAGAGCTTGGATGATTCATTACTTTTGCTCTTCCTTGAATACTTGCCCCTGCTCCCGGAGCTTTGTCCGGAGGCTTCGCAGAGAATGTCTAGGATGTGCCAGGTAGAGAGGGCTGAGACCGTTCCAGAACGTTAAACAGCTACATCATAATTGCGAGTCGAGTCCACCTGATCCATTGCCGTAAATCGATAGCCTTGTGGGAAGGGAAGCAGATAAGTTATCTCCAGACTTTTCCCACTATTGCTGGACCAAGCTGTGCATCGTGGTATATACCAATTTTTGGTTGGTAGAATTGGAGTAGTACGTACTGGCTGCAGTAGATAGGTCGACCCTGCATGAAGACCCAGAACGCCGGAGACCTCGAGCTTTGACCCTAAGCTTCGAATCGTAAGGTAGATCTCACAAGCTTTCCTCCAATGCTATGAGGATAATATGTATATACGGCCTGCCCGTATCGAACAATTCTTTTTACCAGCATACCTGCCCAAAAAGAGGATATCTCCACTTTCGGGCCCAGCGTCTGACATCAGCCGGCGGTAGAATACTGACCTTTGCGGTTTAGACTGTTGCTATTGTTGAAAGGAAGCCGCCCAATCAAATTCTCCTTATTACCGCAGTAGAGCTCTCGCTTGCCACCAAGGTCGACAGAACAGAAGCACTCCTTAGTCATTGTTGTTGACAAAGACGAGCAAAGGTGTTGGCTGAAGATTTGGTGAAGCTTGAGCAGGGCTCGCTTCCTGGGGACGGAATATATAGGTTGGAGAAGGCTTTCATCCCTGACATTTATCGCACTTGCATTGCATCACGTTTCATACTTGATTGAAGGAACACCAAATTTTAAAAAAATCATCACACCCTTACGTCGTTGAAAGGAAGCAGACCCAACAATCGACCCCCCCCCCTCCCCCCCAGCCATCCTTGTTCACCACACTAGCGAAACCAGCGCCTTGACCCTCCTCCAACTCGACCCCTCAGACAGCTCCTCATTACTCCATACACCTCACTGAGATGACCATGGTAGATTTTCGACGACCAGACCCGTATCAACTGCCTCACAGGAAACCTTTACCTCCAGTTCCAGACATCTCCAAGCGGACAGATCTCCGACCATTGAGCAAAATCATTCCTGACATCGGCTTGCCTCCTTCTCGGCAGTCACCTCCGACTTCGACATTCTCCTCATACACCCGCAATGGCCCCAAACCGCCGCCCACCTCCTCTCCCTCACCACAACAGTATCCCAACGCGATAGCCAAAGCACGGCGCACTCCCTCCCAATCGACTACATCTACGTCACATTCCAATACGGGCTATCCGCCATCCCGAACTCCGTCCAATGTCTCTGTCCTCAGCCGGAATGCTTCAACACGCTCTGGCGCCTCGACTACACCTGGCAGCTATGTGGCGCTGATGCGAAAGCAGAAAGCCACCGTTTGGTGCGATCGGTCTCAACATGAAGATCCGCGGATAGCGGCACAACACAAAGCAGCAAAGATACGGGCAGCGAGGGAAATAACTGGGCAGGCGGAGGGTCGGACGAGTACAAGTGGCAGCATGGGCAGTAGCAGCTTGGGCGTCAGGAGCAAAATCAGGCATCATGGCCTGCCGAAAGCTACGGGATACAGTGGTGCTAACATGGTGGGAGGAGGTGTTCCCATGAGACTGAGCGCTAATGAGGTCGGCGATGATGGGAATCACTACGATGATGCGGATAGTGGCAGACGCATCAGTGGAAGGAGCTCGGGCGATAACAGGTGGCTGAGCGTCGACCAGCAACAACGCGGGAACAGGTACAGTCAAGGCAGCACGCCCACCGGAAGCGGGCAAGGAAGCAGTCCAAACGATGATATACCGGAGATGGCAGAGACGGAGGAGACTCCTGTGCCTGGAAACCAACAGCAACAGGGTGCGGACTATTTCGCGCATGATTCTGGCAAGGGCGGCAGTGGGGGATCGAGCGAACGTGAGAACAGTTTTGGGAACGTGGGACAGATGCAGGCGCCCAAGGTAGAGAAGGAGAGCAAGACGATCGACGATTTGAGGAGGAGGGGAAGTGTGGATGAGAGGGCCAATACAATGGGCTACATGGGCGGAGGAAGGCTGTTTGTTGCTAATCCTGATTTGAGTGATTGATGGGCGTTTGAGGATTTCATTGGCATGGGATGGGGAAGCATTGTTGTTGGCTGTTGCATCGATGCGGTTAATCGCCCATCTCTCGATCCCCTGGAAAGGCATGACAGGACATGCTCGCAGTCCGTTCGAGCTAATGGATCATGTTTGAGTACTTACCCTCTAGCTATTTGGACTGATGTCTCTAATCAAAAATCTTGTTTACTTCCGTCAAGAGTACTATGTACATACTATTGCGATTGTAGCATCTATATCAAGCCCCATGGCGCTAGCGGCGCACTTCGTATTGACAAATTCGCTCGCGGATCCTGTTTTACCGAGGTCATGACCGACCAATTCCCTCTCAAAATGTTATAAATATGGGACCCAAACCTCGTGCAGGTCAATCTTTGCGCCTCTGCTGGACCAAAGATGGCAAAGACGACGCAGACGGTCTTGAATGGCAACCCAAGCGGCGACACGAGACACCAGAACCGCACGACGGTAGCCTCAATTAGTAAACAGGAAACTACCGACATCCAGCGATGGCGGCTCCTGGACGAAGCCGGCCGGCAGACATGGCATTACCTGGAGACTGACGAAGAGGTCAAAGCTTGGCCGCAAAGCACAGCCGATAGGTACCACCTTGGTCTGCCTCTGGTCTGCCTCATCCCAGCTCCTCGCTTTCCGCAATGCCATTGACAAGTCAATCTAGGTTCTACCGGACCTCAAGATACCCCACACCCCGCTCGCATCCGTCCAAAATGCCCTCTCCTTTTTCTCCCGCCTGCAGCTGCCCCCCGGCAACTGGGCTTGTGAATACGGCGGTCCCATGTTCCTCCTGCCAGGCATGGTTATCGCCTGGTACGTCACACAGACACCTGTGCCAGCACCCGTTGCCATAGAGATGAAACGGTACCTCTTTGCCCGACAGAATCCAGATGATGGGGGGTGGGGGCTACATATTGAAGGGGAGAGCACGGCGTATGGGACTACGATGACTTATGTTGTGCTGAGGCTACTGGGGGCGAATGAAGAGGATAAGAGGATGGTAAAGGCGAGGGGGATGCTACACCAGTTGGGGGGGGCGGTGATGGCACCGCATTGGGCCAAGTTCTGGTTGGCGGTGTTGGGGGTAATGGAGTGGGAGGGGGTGAACCCTGTGCCTCCGGAGCTGTGGTAGGTCAAGACATGGGCCGGTGGGTTGGTGATGAGGTTGGCTGATGAGTGATTGCAGGCTTCTCCCAGACTGGGTACCCATCGCTCCTTGGCGTTGGTGGATACACATGCGCATGGTCTTCCTGCCCATGTCCTACATTTACTCCAGGAGATTTGTCACCCCTCAGACTCCTCTGATCCGCCAGATTCGGGAAGAAATCTACACCCAAAGCCATTCCTCTATTAATTTCTCGTCACATCGTAATAGCATATCTCCCCGAGATAATTACCACCCGAAATCATGGATTCTTACCCTCATAAATTGGATGCTGGTCTACATCTGGAATCCATTCCTTCGGACAGATTATATCAAAAAGCGAGCAGAAGCTTGGTCGTTCGACTTGATTCATCGCGAAGACGAGAACACTGACTACGCTAATCTTGCTCCTGTCAGTGCTCCCATGAATATGGTGGCCTGCTACCTCCACGACGGCCCCGATAGCTATTCTGTAAAGCGCCATCGCGAGCGTTTACCAGAGTTCTTCTGGATGAAAGATGAAGGCATGCTCGTCAACGGCACAAACGGTGTTCAAACATGGGATACGTCGTGGCTCATCCAAGCAGTTCATGAAGCCGGGCTGGCGGAGGACCCGACATGGAGGCCGATGCTAACGAAAGCTCTCGAGTTTTTGGACGATCAGCAAATCAGAGCAAATTGTAGGGAACAGGATATCTGTTATCGACAGCAGCGAAAAGGTGCCTGGGCCTTCAGTAATAAAATACAGGGCTACACAGTCAGCGATACTACAAGTGAAGCAATGAAAGCCGTCATGATGCTCCAGCACACGTCTGGATATCCAGTCTTAGTATCCAGTGACCGCCTCCAAGACGCGATTGACACGCTCCTGACCATGCAGAATGCGTCCGGAGGATTCGCCTCTTATGAGCCAACGCGCGGCTCAGAGCATTTGGAATATCTAAACGCAGCCGAGGTTTTCGGTAGGATCATGGTCGAGTACGATTACCCCGAATGCAGCACCGCCGTCGTCACAGCTCTACGCCTCTTCTCGAAACACCATCCCCAGTACCGAAAAGCAGACATATCGAAAGCTTTGGATGGCGCACTAAAGTACATCCGTAAAGCGCAACGGAAGGACGGATCCTGGTATGGCAGCTGGGGCATCTGTTTCACCTACGCCGGCATGTTCGCGCTTGAATCCCTCGCCTCCGTCGGAGAAACTTACGCCAACAGCAGCCGCGTGAAGAAGGCTTGCGAATTCTTCCTCAGCAAGCAACGGGACGATGGCGGCTGGGGAGAAAGCTACCGAGGCTGCGAAACCGGCGTCTACGCACAGCGCGAGAGTCAGATCGTCATGACGAGCTGGGCCATCATCGGACTCTTGGTCGCGGAGTATCCGGACCAGGAGCCCATCGAGAGAGCCGTCAGGCTGATCATGGCACGGCAGCAGAGAAACGGAGAGTGGAAGCAGGAAGGCATCGAAGGCGTCTTCAACAAGAGCGTCATGATCTCGTACCCGAACTACAAGTTCATTTTCCCGATCAAGGCGCTGGGCATGTTCGCGAGGAAATACGGGAACCCGGAAATCCGGTGATCGGGGCGCGGGACCGTGCCATCTTTCTTTCCCGGCGAGTTGTCGAACGATAATAGGAAGAGTCTTGCGTGCGTGCGTATAGATGATCACACGGTAGCGCTTTGCAGGAGTAAGAGAATGTAGCAAAAGTCATAAAAGGTACACAGAGGGCGAAAAAAAGGTTGATGACATTGTAGAAGTCCTACACGGCGCCAAAGGAAAATGACACTGTCCACGAAGTTTCGCTCATAATTGTCCTTTGTAGAGGGCGGAAGCCCTTGATGCAATCGTGTAAGTTTCAGGCGCGATGCCCGACAATAGGGATATCTTTGAAGAATTTTTTGCTACATCCTCATACCACTCTCGCCTCTAGCGGCAGAAGTACTCTTCTCCGTCTTTCTTTGCTAGAGCCTTTTGTCCTGATGGTCTTTTTCAATGCACCATCTCCTCTACCTACCTCTGTTTACATGATGCCACATATAGATCGATCGATCTCAGGCATCGAGTAAAGTGGTAGTGAGCGGTCTCCCCGATCTCACGAGGTCGCATTGCCGGGCCGACTTCCTCACCATCCGATTTCCCCGAGAGAGGAAGAAAAGGGACTGATACGTGTACTATACCCCGCCTCGTCCTCCCCTGTCGTTTTCTCACATATCCCGAACCCCGACCCCGCCCTCGAAGAAATACTTCCCCAAGCCCAGCGGACTCAATCCCGGACTCTCCGATCCCGTTCGCCTTTCTTCAGCAACCCCGCTCTCGCTTCCACTCCTGTCTCGACGCGAGTCTCCGGTCCCGAACCGCCATCGCCATGGATCCCGCCACGTTATTGGCGCCGTTGCGGAGGTTTCCGGGTGGAGGATCCCGCTGCTCTGGCTCATGCAGTCCATTGCGGATGAAGACGTTGGGGAAGAAGAAGAAGTCGTTGTGGGGCTGGAGTCGAAGGGGTTGTGATAGGCAGGTTGTGCGATGCGTTCGAGGTCTCCTTGTTGGGAGGATAGATTGAGAGGTAGAGGTGTAGGCGGTGGGGTGGGCTTGAGGTTCCAGCGTCGTTGATGGAAAAGGGCGTTGAAAGATAAGAGACCCGGCCCCAGTCCAGGACGTCGGAAAATGTAGATGGTGATGAGGTAGAGGAGGAAGAGGAGGCAGGAGAGTGCAAAGAGGATTTGCAGGGTGAGGATGGCGGCGAGGGCGGGCATGGGGGTGGTTGATGGTGGTGGGTGCGGACGCTGGTGATCTTCGGGCTTTGCGCAGAGTTTGAGCGGAAAGCTGAAGGATTTGGCGGGTTTGGCACAAGACAGGCTCAAATGTAGCGTTAAGCTGAGCACATTAATCCCTATCTCGAGTTGGCATTGTTACCTGCAAAAGAGCTTCGATGTCCGCATGCGGAGCGATCCCCACATTCCTCAACACCGGAATGAATTCATGATAATAGGATTGTTTTGTCCGATTTATCAAACGTCTCAAGGGAATCTATAGGTTACCATCCTAGAAAATCGGTAAATCGTTCAACGGCGATTGAAATTCAGATACCTGCTCCCTAAGAATAGCAAGATCAGGTTGCTGCCAATGAAAGCGGCAAAGATACCCAAATCCCTCCACCTATGATCGAAATTGTAACCCAACGGCTCATAGAATTGATCTCCGACCTTGTAGGCGCAGTATTGGCAGACATCCGTTGCGTTGTTGACAAGATAGCCTGCTCCGCCGCTCGAGAAGAAAGCATCCATGTATTGGCCGCATGTTTGACCCGTTGGGGGAGTAAAGGTGTTGAGCTGAGAGGGGGAGCAAATCACTGGACGGTCGTGAAGTTCGGTCACCACCTGTACTTTTGTTAGTCATAATTGGGCGAGGGGAGTGAGATTGACTTGCCATGCCTCCAATCAGCCTCGTAAACGGGTCCAGCTGGTACAGCCAGGCTCTCCAGAACTTTGGTATTTGTGGCTGGGGGATTGTGACACCGCAGAAGAGAGCGAACGTGATGATAAGGAAAGGATTGAGGAGCATGGCGATGAAGCTGCTAGGCGTGCAAGCGGAAATCATCTGGCCCAGGGTCACCGAGAAGAGCTCCGTGATAAGGATGATGAGGAATTGATAGCCTGCACGACTAGATGCGGACTGAAATCCAGGCATGTAGTAAAGGGGAAAGAAAAAGCCCACTGCGCAAAGAATGCTGTAGGGCATCTCCGCAAGGACCATAGAGAGCGCGAAGGGAAACTGCTTGTATGCCTTTGCAGCGGATTCTCGGTAGAAGATTAAGCGTGAGAGGTCGTATTTTGGCTCGACCTGTGCTACAATGATGGCGGGGAGGACGACAGTCTGAAAGATTACGAATATTCGCTCTTGTAGTGATGAGCGAGAGTCGTCCAATTGCAAGAATGTAAGTCCAGTCAGTATGGCAATGGCGACGTGATTGAAGAACCGTGTAAAGCCATAATTTGGAGATCGCCAGAACGAAAGATGAGTGCGGCGGTTGACGATCTTGATTTGATGCCAGAGTGGTGTAGCATATTCATTCTCGTCGGTCTTGCGGTTGGATCCAACCTCGGAAATACGCTCAGTCTTGATACGGCGGATGGTTTCTTTGGTGTCTGCTAGCTCGGAGGAGGTTCGCCAAATGTCGCCCCAGTCCCTTGCACCGATCCTGGGTGCTTGTCCAGCCCCAATGGCATCAAGCATCCATTCGGCTGGGTTAGCGTTTGGAGGGCAAATCGCACCGTTCTTGCGAAAATATTCTAGGAGCACCATAGCATCTTTCCCTATGTCCCCAAAGTACACACACTCGCCTCCGCGTTGTAGCAAAAGTAGACGATCGAAGTTTTCGAAGAGCGCCGAGTTGGGTTGATGAATCGTACAAAGGATGCATTGCCCAGCGGCCGCGAGCTTCTTAAGAAAGCGGACAATGTTGAAAGCCGACTGTGAATCGAGTCCAGATGTAGGCTCATCCAGGAAGAGAAGCAGTTCAGGCTTAGCTGCCAGCTCCACGCCGATTGTCACACGTTTCCGTTGTTCAACTGCCAGCCCGCTCTCGGGTTCGCCAATGATAGCATCTGCAATTTCTTCCATCTCGAGCAAGGATATGACTTCCTCGACATAGGCGTACTTCTCTTCTTGAGAGACCTCGTACGGTTGCCGGAGATCGGCACTGAACCTCAGAGCTTCTCTCACTGTCTGAGTCGACTCATGAACGTCAAGCTGTTCAGCATATGACGTTCCTCTTTGAAACGCGGTTCCAGGAGCTATGCCATCAACCAGAACATCACCTGATATGATTCCAATGTTCTTTCGAGAAGCCAGGACATCAAGCAAGGTCGTCTTACCAGCACCAGAAGCACCCATCAGGGCAGTCAGCCTGCCAGGTTGCACGTATCCAGAGACATCCTTCAGCAAGCGCAATTGCCCTGAGGGTACTGGAACGTCATAACACAGACTTTCCCACGTAAGGACAGCTTTGGAAGTAATGTTCAGCTCTGAGCCTTGCATCTCTTGTTTTAGTTGGCGCTTCTGTCTTCTTTGCATAAGCCCGTCGTTGAGCTTCTTCTTTTCTATATCTTCTTTGGCGAAAAAGGTGACGGTTTTGCCACCGGCACCAAAGTTGAGGGCTTCGCCTAGAGTAGCATTCAAAAAGAGGAATCCGACGATGAGGACGATGATGATCCCAAAATTCCTCCATAGGTCGCCAACGTCAAAGTCAAATGCAAGCCTTATGTAATCGCTTCCTTGAATTCGAGTCGATCCAGCGGAACCCCCGGGGAGGGTGCAAACTTGGTTGGCTATATTCCCATAGGAAGATCCAGAGGGTACGAGAGAAGTTGAAGTGCAAGTCAGAGTGAGGCGCCCGAATTCATTCATCATCAGATCAGAGAAACCAAGACCCAGTGCATTGATCCAGAAGATCCATCGTAGCCACTTCTTCTCGTTTTGATATGGGATCAAGTACCCAGACGTCAACACGAAGAGAGTAATGACGATAGCAGCGAACTTCATCGCATAATCAAAGTCGGGACAAAGACAGCCCAGTGTTCGGAAGAAGAGGGTCATTGCCAGATATCCACTGACAACGACTAGGTAGAATGTGAAGAATGCACCAGGCTCCCTAACGAGATGGCACATAAAGTATACCATGACGCTGAAGACGAAGATCTGAACCGCGGCGAAAGCTAGGTCGACAATGATCTGGGCAATCCACAAAGCGGAAGGCCTGTGAAAGGTATATGCACGGTGCTTGTTGACGATCGGCCGGCCAAGCATTGTTGAAGCTAGCTCGCCGAAGGCTTGGAAGGCATTGAAAAGGAGAGAGACGAACAAGACCCCTCCTCGCGTGAAGGCACCCGCTGAGGTGTCAGGCAAATTGAGCCACACAGTGCCAAGTATGATAGCGACGACTATCATAGTGATCCAGGAAACAACGAGCGAGAACTTGTCTTGCCATTTGATGAGAAACTGGCGTTGCATCAAAGCCCAGATCTGCAGGTAGAACGGCGCAGCATAGACACTGGACTTCATCGTATGCTTCTGCTTGCCTTGTTGATGCGCGGTCTCAAATTCGGTGTAGACTTCCTTTTCGTTCTCGAGCTTTTCACGGTAGTCAACCATCTCTTCTGACAGCTTGGTCGCGAATATGGATTCATCGAAGGCTTTCGCAAGGGAGTCAGGGTCGTGCGGGGCATTGGATTCGGACATTCCAGATGCATATTCACGTTCAAATGAATCAGTGCAGCCGGTAAGATAGTCCGGGGTGGTCTGTCTGGGCTTTTCCTTGAAGCCGAGCCCTTCAAAGTATGCCCGGGCTTCCGTCGCAGGACCAAAGAACACTTGGCGGCCCTCGTCTATGACCATCACTTTGTCAAATTGGTTGTAGATGTTCTCACTAGCTTGGTATAGCGAGACAAAGGTGGTTGTTTTGTAGATGTTGGTCATAATTCTCAAGGACTTGGCATAGTCCAACGCCGTTGAAGCATCCAATCCTCGCGTCGTATTGTCCCAAGCGCATATGCACGCTGACGTTACCATCATCTCCGCAATGGAAACTCGTTTTCTTTCACCTCCGGACACACCTCGCATGTAAGGATTGCCAACGATGGTGTTGATGGTGTGTTCAATGTTGAACATCTTGAGGAGCAGGTTCACCACCTTTTTCTTGAACTCCCCTTTGGACATTCCACCAGGCCGTTTGCCAGGGGTCTTGACGTCTAGAGCAAAACCCAGCGTCTGGCCAACTGTGAGTGTAGGATTGTGTATATCATCCTCCCCATTGTAGACAGCTTCTCCTCGGTAGTATTTAGCGAAGGTCTTGGAATCGTATGGCCCGTACAGCACTTCTCCGTCAATGCCCGTGTATCCAAAACGTTGATTGGCTATGACTTTCAAGAACGTCGTGCATCCTGAGCCTGGCCTCCCCAACACCAAAACCATCTCGCCGGGTAGGACCACCCCTCGAAAGTTTCTCAAAATGTCGAGATCTCTTCCTTTCTTGCCATATCCAAAGATATGCATCGCCGTCCCAACAACGTTGAAGAAAGATACAAAGGCCTCAGGGAAAGTCTTGACGATGTTCTTGACACCCCCAACACCTCGGACCGTAAGACCCTCCCATACGAGGCCAATGTGCTTTGACTTGATCCCGGCAGCAACGTCCTCATCTTTGGTGCCTCTCAATGTCTGCTCCAGATCCCATGAATCTACCTCAGACTCCGTTGAGCTCGTTGGCTCCTTCTCGATGTCCTTCTCTTTCAATCCACTGCCTCGGCTCAAGATACTTCCGTGGCTTGGTCTCCTTGATATTGTCTTGCTTTTTTCCGATATGCCGGAGAGCTGACGACTCAATTCTGCGAACTCGGCTTCTGCGCGGCCAACGGAGACGCGATTCTCAACCGGTTCATTGGGTTGTGGAGGGGGAGGGTGGTGTGCCTTGAGATCTTCGACCTCGGCGATGGTATCAGGCGTCGAGGCGTCAACCTCCTTACTTGCTTCTGGATCTGCTTCAGCAACGGCATTTGGTGGTTTGGAAACGCCGTGCTGGTGCGATCCTTGGATCAATTCGCCAAGAGCTTGCATCATGGGCAATCCTTGGCTTCCAACGGATTATGCGGGCAATGTCAGACGGGTATGCAGGTCAGGTCAGACATCAGCTGAACCTATGAGAATGCCACTTGCGCAGCATGAGATGTCGACAATTCAAGCAAAAGAAGGCGAGTAGGAAGGATGAGAAGGAAGAAGAGAAATTGGCCACAAGCGAATGAGCAATTGATTGGGTTGAGAATAAGCAGCCCATGCCCTGGAAGATTTTAAGATTCGGACTTAGTAAACATCTGCATGAGTCATGCAGCATTATCGCATGACTCGTTATCCAGATCTGATTACGTAAATCACAGAGCACTAAGATATGTCTTGGCACGATAAACATCCAAGCTTCTGTTAGAGTACTTTAAGGAGTTGGTTCTGGATGGCAGCACTACATATACTTCAGCTTCGTACGTACTCATTGAACGCGTTGTAATAATGCCGGGACTATGTTGTTGACAGGTTTGATGGTCCTGAATTTATCATGCTTGCCGCTTCTAGAGGCCAGGATTTTCTGGGAAGAAGAGAAGTGATATCAGCCTATCCAGATGTGCATCTAAGCGCCATCATTGGAGGCTCCCAGAGTGACTCTCGATGAACCCCAATTGCCGTTGTTGAATGATCCAAACTTTTTTTTACAGCCACCGCCAAAGCAAGCTCTTACAACCACGTGGCGATTAGCGTCGGCGGTGGTGTCGGTATAAAATACCTCTACCGTCTCAAAGTGTGATAATGTGCGAGGTGCATATCTCGTGAGTGGTCTTGCATATATGCATGCAGGTATCTGGATCTGGATTAGTGCATAGAGTTACCGCATAAGCGAAACATCTCACAACTCCTTTGACTCACCGAGTAATGTCCAATGACGGTCTCTATCACAACCGAACTCTTCAAATTATTCAGTCACTCGGTCACAACACGGTCAAAGTATCTCCCCATTGACTACTTCTCATTCCAGACTTCCTGTTGCTAGGCACCTCATCAGGACATCATGGCTCGGTCCGCATCAGCAACTGGCGCTCATGCATTGGTATTCGGCGCATCCGGTCTAGCAGGCTGGGGCGTTGTCGACCAGCTTCTTTCCAATTATCCCGCCCCAGGCGCTTTCTCACACGTCACAGCATTAGTGAACCGGCCTTTCAGCGTCGCCGACTCTTGCTGGCCCGATCCCTCGCCGTCACGACCGAAGCTCCAGTTGGTCTCTCATGTGAATCTGTTGAAGGGGTCAGTCGAGGATTTCACAGCTTTTCTAAAGTGTGAAGTCGAAGATATTGGGAGTGTTACGCATGCATTCTATTTCGGTGCGTGTTTGACCTTTGAAGGCGATTCGACTACCCATAATAAACGCTATAAGCGCACAAGTCTCCAACTGACATGAAAGCTTTCTTGGCATTCATCAGCTTATAAGCAGGAGCAAGAACCTGATGTCGAAACCAAGGTCAATCGTGACATGATTGAGCGTGCAATCGGCGCCCTGAACATTCTTTCACCAAACCTAAAGTTCGTGGTATTACCCAGCGGTACCAGGGTGAGCTTTTCACAATGAGCGCCCAGATATTTTGGTCTATCGAGGCACTGAGAGCCCTACACAGGGTTATGGCATTCACATTCCTGGTGGAGTCTTCAAAGCCCCTTTTAAGGAGTCCATGGGCCGATTGCCAGAGCCAATCGCCAGCAACGTTTTCTGCTTTGCGCATCAAGATGCGCTCGAGGAGATGAGCAAAGGGAGAAATTGGACGTGGTGTGAAGTCAGACCAGATGCTATCGTAAGTAGAGAGTACATTCAACTGTAGCGCGTTTCATCGTTCTCATACGCAATGTTTTCTTCAAAAAGATCGGCTTCGTCCCAAACGGCAGCACCTTCAACCTCCCAGCCCACTGGGCTACCTACCTCTCCTTGTACGCTCTTGTCGAGGGAAAAGGCGCCGAAGTCCCCTTTCCCGGTACGGTCCCTGCCTACAATTCCCTCTTCAACGATGCTTCCGCAGACATCATAGCTAAATTCTCCATCTGGGCTTGCCTGCACCCCGAGAAGTGCGGAGGCGGTGAGTTGTTCAATATCGCAGACCAGGCCCCTCCTTCACGCATGAGCGAACGCTGGCCGGCTATTGCGAAATACTTCGGCCTCGAAGGCGTTGGCCCGGATATTGACGGTAAGGACGTGCTGAAGCCGGGTGAGTATATCGAGAAGCATAAACAGGTCTTGGAAGCGTGGGGCGGGAAGGGTAGTAGGGTTTTCAAAGCGGAATATCTGGATGAGTACGGCTATCATTTTACATTCGATAGGCATATGATCTTAGAGAAGACGAGAAAGGTGGGGTTTGAGGAGGAGATTGAGCCGAACACGTCTTGGTTCAAGGCGTTTGATCGATTGAGATTGGCGGGTATGATACCGGGGTGAGAGGCTCTGACATTGCATGAGAACATCGGCCATGATGGGCCATCCATTCTTTTCACAACAAGAGTTTGGGAAATGAAAACAAGCATTCGCTCGTCATATAACCTGCCAATCTACGTATGTAGCGACTAGATACGCGTACAGCGACTACGATACGTATACAGCAACTGCGACACTAAACGCTAACTTCACCCTATCCATCGACCATCGCCCCAACTCCGACATTGCAGACAAAACAAACAATTCCCCCCTACCTCCCCCCTTCCCAAAACCCACCCCGCCCAGCTCCCCCCTCACCCCCATCCTCCTCCCCCGCCACGTCTCCTCAACATCCCCCTCCTCCTCCCCTCTTCAACCACCTTGGCCTCCCGCATGGTGTACTCCTTCCTGATCTTCGACACTGTGACGAGAGCGGTGGGGTAGGTCAGTGTCACGGATCCGAGGCAGCGCGAGGATGGGCAGGGCTACCACCAGGTTCAGGTGGCGCAGCGGGAGGTGAGGGTGGGTGGGGGCGAATATGTGGTCGCGTTGGGGGAAGGTTGTGTATTGGAAGTTGCACATGGTGGGGTTGTGGGTGGGCTGTGGATCGTTGGGTGTGAGGAGAGGACTTGGTTGTGGTTGTGGTTGAGCGGGGAGCGTGTGTGTGTTTGGGAAGAGGAGTTCTTTGCTGTGAGGAAATCTGTGTACTTTCACTGTCAAGAGTCGTCCGTCTCTTTGGTTGACAACCTTATTGTCATCGCTCAAAGCGATTTGAGAATAGTTTATTGTCATCCTATATCGAAGTATGTTTACGCCCAGGAGTCGTGAAGACAATGAGGAAAATGAAGTCAAAACTGGGTGTCTTGCGTCCAAAAGGTGCGACAACAATGGCCTTTGTATCGACAAAGAATGAGTGATGACAATGGCGGAATTCAAAAAATTTGATATTTCCCCCCATCGTCCTCACCGTTCAACTACCGTTCCCTGATAATCCAACTTCATCAAGAAGCATCACAACTCACAATCCACCCCACTCATTCCAGGCCGACCCCCGAAAGAAATTCATACCCACCGCAGCAAACCCTCAAACCATGTGCACCGCGAAAGCCCAAATCGCAAAATGTGGTCACACAGTCGATTACGAGATCATGATCCCCTGCAAGAACCACCCGGGCAGCGGGCCCCCTTGCGCCGCCTGGGACGAAAACCAAATGAACAAAGTCCTCTTGATAGACTACCCTCCGGTTTGCATTAAGTGTCATCTTCAGAAAGAGAAAATGCTCTGCAGGCAGTATGTCGATGCGGAAAGAGATCTTGTGAGGTTTGCGGAGCGGAGGGATGGGTCGCCGAAGGAGATTTGGGAGGAGAGGTTAAGGAATGGGGTTAGGATGCAGGCTGATGTTTATGAGTTGGATGGGAAGGTTGGAAGGGAGGGAGCGTGGCGGGAGGAGACGAGGAGGTTTGATTGGCGTAGGGTTTGAGTCTGTAGGTTGGAGGTGGTTGGGCTGTCAGTGGGTGACTCTGAGTGTTGCACAGTCTTACGTCTTTAAGTCGCTGCTCAAGCTTTCATTGTTCATGATATGAGTTGTCTCATGAGAAGCTGCTTACCTTCGTTGTGCAAGTGACGGGCAAGCTGATTGGCTCTGAAATTCCTGCTTTCGGTTGGACATTGAGAATCAGGGTATATTTGTTGACGGGAGGAGACATGGCACGCATAAGGTAGGAATAGAGAGTAAGCTCACGCGAAGTTGCCGCAAGAGCTGCCCCCTTCGTTTTTCCGGAAGCGACAACCCGTAGATTGCGTCGAGGAGTAGAGAAAAGGCCCTCGGATTTCAGAATACCAAGATCAGGAGAATGACTGCCTGGCGAGGATCAGCTAGCACTTTCGAGAACGACGCAATGCAACCGTAATGCATGTGAGAGAAAGTCTGTGTTTAGGGGGTATTGTAGATATACAACACAGGATCAAGGATAGCGACGAACTGAATGTACCTGATGTGACAGATTGCAACACGCGGTAGAAGCATACTACGTTTTTCCACAGGCTCTTCTCTAAGCCCGGACTTGCGTTCTCCTGTATACAGAGTATATGGCACTCACTTCCGGGTTTTCCCCAACAATATCTGCCCAAGGTCGACTGCTTTTGGAAGTGCGCTAGTGCCGGGCGACGCTGGTCTGTTCCTCTTTCGGGAGTGGACTTTTCGAATCACGAGATTTGTCAGCCGAGCATCTGGATCGTGACATTCCTGCTGCGATATAGCATGTCGTTACGCCACAAAGCCGTCATTGTCTGCGCGAAGGAGCCCGTAAGCGTTTTTGTCCATTGTAAAGAGACTTTCCTCTTTTTTATATTCAACCCTAGACTAGCGACTTCCGAGTCATTGGAATTTCTCTAGTTATTACAACGGAGATCGGCCGTTCCTCGAAGTCTACATCAGAAGTCGGCATACAGGGAATTGCTTCGTATTGCTTAACGCTCGCTCTTCTTGCCCTTTGATTGTCAGCTTCCGCAGGTATACTGCCCATGTCGACTGCCATACTTGTGTCGATGACCATGCTCGAGGTTGCGGAGGGTTGATTAACGATGAAGGATTACCCTTCAAACGATCAGAAGGAAAGGCTGGCAGCCGAAAATTTCTGACCATCAACGCAATGAACATTGGCAAGGACGATCCTATTCGATACTATCAAAAGGCCACAAGCACATGGATTGATTGAGAGCTCGGGCATCGGGCATCATGCCTGACCACAGCACTTCTTGAATTTCCGACCTGACCCACATGGGCATGGACTGTTGCGGGCCGTAGGACGCGCAATTATGCCACTGCCGGTATTGCTACCACCACTTTGTTGTTGTTCAACTCTGTCCACAACCCCCTTCAACGTCCTATCAGTGCCTTCCAGACTCGCGATGATCCGCCGTACAGAGATACCATCCCCATCCTTAATGTCCAGAGTTCCGCCATGTTCCAGGAACCACTGCAAAGCGCGGCCCGCTTTTTCATGCGCTACATGATCGTAAAGGAGCTGGACTGTGGTAATATCGTGGGCGGCTATTGCGCCAAAGCGGTCTCTTCGATTGATATCGGCCCCAGCATCGAACATGAGCTGTGCAAATTCGGGGTCGAAGTAGGGCTTCTGGGAGATGGAATGCATCAGAGCTGTGGTACCAGATATGTCGGTTCCTGTCATTAAGAGGTCAGCACCACGTCCGTTGACCACAGCTTTACGGGTGCAAGTCACGTATTGGTATCGGAACATGGTCAAAGGAACAGTTGAGATCACACAACACGATAGGGTGAAATCCCTCGCTACATACCGTCAACAGGAACTTTGGCCGTGTCAACAAGCCATTCCGCAATAGCAATGTACTTATATCGTAGTCCAGGATTGATACTTGTAAAAGCGAGCAGCACAACATAAACCGGAATACGAGTTGGACCCCATTTGACTTTGAACAATTCCTGTGCCGCTTCATACTGCCTGCCCTCGAAATGCTGGATACGGCTTTGAAAGTGCTCTTGGAAAGCGGTAAGACTCCCGTCCTCGAACAGAATACCATAGGAATCTTTGAGGTCCCTGTCAGGGTCCATATAGGCCGTGGAGCAGTAATTTCGCATTCTCATGGCTTCTTCACCTGAAAGAATATCTGAAGAGGCGAAGAGTTGTCCTAGAGGCCTGCGCATTGACGAATTATTAGCGCCTCCCTTTGCCTCGTGAAATGGCAGCGTACCTGGACATTGTATCGGAGTAAGCTGCTGGTATCTCGAAAAATGGTATAGTATACGGGTTGGAAGACGGTACTGACGTATAAAAGGTGGTGCAGTGTCGGGCGGCAGACCGCACAATCCTAACAATTTCTTTCCCATCGCTCTTTCCCTATTGCTGATTACTGGAGGTGCTGATTACTGGAGGTATTCCTTCCTCCTTCCTAGCCCACAGGCTACGTGCTTTATAAAACATCTTGCTCAGACGCCCCCGATGCTACAAGGATCCAAGGTGGAGAGTGAAGTCCTAGATCCATTCTTTTCTGCATCTCGATCAGAGCGCATAATTTCAGCAATTGAGTTACAGTCGTCTTGTTTCCAATCATTAGCGTCTACAATAGAGTACGGAAGATCTGCCGGCCCGATATCAGCTCCGTTCCTGTACGGCAGGGCTGCATATGTCCTCGCTGTCTTCTCCGTTGGTGCCGTGAGCGTGCCATCCGCTTGATTGTTGGATTCACCGCGTTTCCATCATCTTTTCATGATCATGACCCACTCGTTTGAGGAGTTGGCAGTCTGCTGTTCTTTGGGGGAACAAGACCGCTTCCATTCCTCCGAATCGCCATGAAACGAACCTCCCTTCGGCGCTTCTCCAGATCCTCTCGGACCAGAGTCTTTCGGGCCACGCTTCTAGTCCTTGCTCTCTTCTGCTTAATCGACGTCTTGTCCTTGATCTCCGCTCGTCAGCACCAAAACTTGCCTGCGAAGACCCCCGACGTCCGCGGTCAGAAGATATTTATCGCCAGCATCCATTGGAACAACGACCCGATCCTTCGAAGCAATTGGAATCAGGCTGTGCTTGGATTGGTGGACTACTTTGGAGCAGAGAATGTCTACGTATCAGTATACGAGAGTGGAAGTTGGGATGACTCAAAGGAGACGCTGAGGGTCCTGGACAACGATTTGGAAAGGAAAGGAGTACGACGGACTGTCAGGCTCAATGAGACGACCCACGCCGACGAGATGAGACAGCCAGAAACAGACGGCTGGATACAGACTCCGAGAGGCAAAACAGAGCTTAGACGAATACCATACCTGTCCAAGCTGCGCAATTTGGCTTTAGAGCCACTCAATTACTTAGGAGACGGCACGAAGTTCGACAGGGTGCTGTTTCTCAACGATGTAGTCTTTACGGTGAGGATCCCCATCGCTGCCTACTTTGGATTTTGTTGACACTTGCGGTCAGACTGAAGATGTGGCTACATTAATTGCAACCCGAGACGGCGACTACTCCGCTGCCTGCTCTCTGGACTTCGCCAAACCGCCTCATTACTACGATACATTTGCGTTGCGCGACGATGATGGACACGAAGCCATAACATCTACATTTCCATACTTCAGATCCAAGGCTTCCCGCAGCGCCATGATATCAGGCCAGCCTGTACCGGTGCAGAGCTGTTGGAACGGAATTGTTGCATTCGATGCGGCTCCTTTCTATGACCCACACCGCTTGAAATTCCGCGGCGTATCGGATTCTCTCGCTCTTCACCACGTTGAAGGCTCTGAATGCTGCCTCATACATGCTGACAATCCTCTCACCCAAAGCCATGGCGTCTGGCTCAATCCCAACGTGCGCGTGGGCTACAGCCCAGAGGCCTACGCCGCAGTCAAATCAGCCTTAGCGTGGCCTTCAATGTATCAGAGTCTGTTGGGCATTTGGTCAAACCGTCTGTGGCGTTGGACGACCTCAACCAAGATGAAGTCGGTGCGGATCACCAGCAGACTGAAATCTTGGTCCGAAGATGGTGCGGATCGTTCGGAGCCTGGAATGTTTTGCTTGATCAATGAGATGCAAGTCTTGATTGAGAATGGATGGGCTCACGTATGAGACGGCAAAAAGGATGGACTGTTTGATGCCAAAAAGGTCCAAGGCAACAGTACACCAGGTCAGCAAACGCACATTTGTGACAAACAGCTTGCTGATTGCTCCTCACCGATATGGCCTTGGACACTCGATGTATAATATTTTTCAACCCATTTGCAGCGTCTACAAAAGACCCATTAACTGGCAAGCAACGACTTCCGTCAAGTACAAACGACTTTCCTGGACGGTAAAATCGGCTAGAGATGGGTAAGTTGGCAGCCAGATTGACGATGTAGCCTGAGCAGGCATATGGACATTTACGTGAGACAACGCACCGCGGTTGATCTGAACACTCTATTAACAAGCAACCACTTATACAATTTCACGTTGTGAAAAGCACAGTCGCCCTCAAATGGAAACCTCCACTATCGATGCCTTCAGTAACTCTAACTTTGTTCTGATGCTGCCCTCAACCAGTCTATATGCTCCGCATTCCTTACCGCCTACTTATGTCTGCTCTGTAATCCCTCAACCCGTCTGCACACCATCCAAAGTCATAATGTCGGAATTATTCAAACCAAGCGAGTGAACAGGAAAGCCACCAGTGATCTCATTGAGTTGAGAGTTTGTCGACCACACAAATACCCCCATTGCAGAGTTCTTGCCTTGGCATTACGACTCCAATCAGCTATTTTTCCAAGCCAGTGTCATGAGAAAGAATTACCGGTCATAAGCCAACCCGCTGATTTGGAGACAATGCATGCCGTCTCAATACTCCTCGCCGCACTCCAGATATCGCGATAGGTGCTCACGTCCGTCTGGGCTCTATTATATTTTGTGCCTGCCGGCAGTTGCCCGGGTTGGAACCAATCCAGCATCATGATCGTTAGAACACAAGTTCCTAAAGAGCATCAATTTCCCCTCCGCCTCCACCAACAGAACAACAACATTTTAAACGGCGGATCGACTTACTGAAGATATACTTTCTCGGCGTTCTCTGGGAATCCAACGAAGACCTCGTCGGCGACACCCCCAGCGCAACGAACTCATAAGCTACATCCGGGTGCTCAAGCACTTCTCTGAAATAAAGCTGTTGCACGGCGATGTAGCAGTCTTCGATGACCCAGTCATTGGAATTCCAGCTGGGATATTTTGTGGTGCTGGCGCAGTTGCCGTTGTCGCTGGCGTTAAGGGGTAAGGAGGGGCGGAGTGGTGGAAGGGAATAGATTGGTTGGGAGGGAAGGGGGGATGTCGCTGGTGCGCATTGGATGACCTGGAACAGCATGGACGACAGCAATGCTGCAATGCTGGGATAGCTATGAAGGGAGGGCATGATGGAAGCTCCAGGGCTTTGGCCGCCCCACCTGTCAATGGGTGAATGGTATATGGAGGAAGGATGAAGTACATAAGAGCATTCGAAGCAGCTTTATATCTCCCCCGCTCCCTCAAAATGCCCGAGAATATCCTTATCAGAATCCTCCTTTCGGCAATACCTCATGCGAGCAGTCGACCGATGATAATCACTGATATACAATCCCTGGACATCCCACGCCCATGAAACAAATCCCACGCATTTCCTCCGATTATGCATGGCATTGCCTGGATCTGCTCGGTCTAACAGGTACATTACCCACCTTTTCTCCCCGAGAGTGTCCATCTGGCAGCAGCAGCTTTGGGCGCATAGAAGAGTCGCGAATGGCGCTTCGGCGCTACTGACGACAATGAAAAGATAAGGAATAGCTTCTTGAGCTGCTGGGGATGCGCGCCATTGGCAGCGGTAGGGGTCCCGCAGGGTGAAACAGATCTCGATGATGGGATTTTGGAAAGTTTCGGTGGAGAAAGATGAGGAGGTGCAGCTCTAGTGGCTGTCTGGGATACAATGATACCTATCGCACACGCTGAGGTCGAAATCTGCTGCTTGGATTTCTATCATGGATTGCTGAATGGTTCTGAATAACGCCCGAGACCCCTTCGCTGAAATGATATCGCATTATTTGAAGACCGTCTATGATCACCCTGTTCGATCCATGAAAATACGCTGCCTTAACGTGTCTGATCCGTGAAAGAATGCACCATCTCCCTTATCGATCCATCCTTCACTGCCATGTGTACACCCTCTCAAATGTATTCGATCCACCAACAACGCAACTTCTCCGGCACTGACCCCTCCGTCTCGCCAGATGTACCAAGTCTCAACCGTATTCGATCCGTCCAAACCGCAGCTTCCTCACCATCGATCCATCTCTTGCTGCATGCCATGCCATGTGTACACTGCACCGCCCTTATATCGCGCCGCTGGTGTCGTGTGTTTGACGTACAAACAACTCAACCAACTGGCTGCCCCTAGCTTGTCGCTGCTAACCTCCAGGGTGGTGACCTGGGGGGTGGGGTGATATAAGGGCTCTCGAATCCGTCCTTTGGTGACAAGTGTTTGACGCACAAACATCGTCAATTCGAAGGAACTGCCTCGTAAAACCGGTGGGCGAGGTCTATTGCCGTTGCTGTTGGATGTTGTTTGACGTACAAACCATCCAGGGCCAATAGACTGTCTCGTAGTTTCGGTTGTGAACCTCCATTTGGTGGTGGGGGGGTGAGGTGGATTCGAGAGGGGTGTGCGAGCGTGTGCTCGTGGCATGATTAGTCGAGGTCGATGTGGAAGGTGTCCGGCTCCTCGGTCTGGGGCCGGCCTTGCTGCTCGGGCGCATTTTGCTGTATGCCTTGCATTGAGGCTGCGGCTTCTGCGGCTTGCTCTTCGTAATTCTGCTCTGTCATGTCGAGAGCTCGTACCGTGGAAGACGGCTTGGTGTCTGAGGAGTCTTCGTTAGTCAGTGCTGAATTAAGGACTGGTAGAGGTTTGGATGCCATACCGTTTCTGTTGTCCGTGGGAGTATGAGCGTGGAGATCGATGTTCAGATCGTCGTCTCGGTCTTCGGGGTACAAGGCGCTCTCCCAGATCGCTTCGTCTGGAGAAGCTTGTCAGTGTGTATGCGCGGGGCGGAAAGGGTTGGCTATCTTACCATCGTCCTCGTCATCCGAAACGGTATGGGCCAGGAACCCATCGTCCAGCTCGGAATCTGAAACCTGGCCCTCGAACTCATAGACTTCGTCTTCTTCCAGGGGTGGAAGTCCTGGTAGAGCCGAGTCCTTGTCCGCCATAGCTGCTCCCAACAGCGACAGCCCTTTGAAGACTCGCTTATGGTTCGGCTGTGCTGGGGCTGGGGTGACGACGACTAAGCACAGTGTTAGTCGTTCCGGATAACCGTGTGAATTTGCGGACATGTGGTAGAATACCTGATGCTACGTCCCTAGGCACGCTGAAGGAGAAACCAGTGGGTCCTCCAGCGGTGGACGCGGCTGCTTCTTGTGCTGGAGCGGCCTTGTCATACTCATGAACCAGTCTCTCCTTTCGCTCCGAGGATGTCAGGTTAGATGTTGGCATCGGACCTGGAATCTTCGTGGGCTTAGGGTCATGGTTGTGCCCAGCCTGCGATGAATCTCCTGACCAAAGCGCTGGAGGGGTATATATAGGGCTACGTCGCTGGATGGGGGATGATGTTGGGCCTAGCAATTGGGGGCTGACGTGAGGCTGGTTATTGCTCTGTTGTTGCGAGGCAGTAGCTTCCCCGAGACGGTCTGCAGATGGCAAGTTAACCTGAGACACCGCCTTAGTCTCATTTTCGTCTTCATCAGCTTCTGGAGACGACGAACCTCGTGGATGAGAGAGACCAAAAGGAGAGCCCGTTGGTCTCAAATCCTTCTTCCTGGTATCAGGTCGCTTGGTCGATTCATCTGGAGAACCAGCATCCAGATTGCCCTTGCGTTTCAAGGGGTTGTCCGAGTTTGGGTCGCTAGGCATGGGGCCATATTGCATTCCCGTTTGCAAGGACCGCCCGAATCTATGCGGGGGGGGGAGACCTATTGGGCGAGAAGAAGGCTTTCGCGGTCGATTGAAGACATTGATGTCCTCATCTTCGTCACTCTCTGGTTCAGAATCGGAGCCTTCCATGTCCCAACGAGCCATCTCATCCCCTCGATCTTTGAACAGTTGTATGAGCAGTTCCTTCGTGTCCGGCGGGGAGCTTCTCTTGATGATGTGGTTCAGCTCCATATATTTTGCGTTGACACCGGCACATTGTTTGGTCAACACTTGACGATTCTTGGCATGCAACTTCTTGATATCTTCCTTCATGACCTCTCCGTCTAGGAGCACTGTCAGATATTGCATCTGGTTGGGCTCCCTGGCTGGATCTTTCAGCAGGGACTTGAGGGTATCGATCCGGTCGTTGGCATTGATGAGCTGGCGTAGCACGACTCGTGTCTCCTCACAATAATGACGCTTGAGGGACTCCAGAATTAGCGCGCGAGCACGGATCAGGTCCTTCTCCGTGGCTTTGGCCTCTACAGCCTTCCAATCGTCCTGGTAATTGGATCTCGTCGCGGCGGCGAGAGCATCATTCAATTGCTTGATCCGTCCGTCCTGACTCGCCTTGCCTTTCTTGTATTTCTCGACTTCTGCCTCGGCTGCCTGCGCTCGGTCGTGCTCCTCTTGGACTTTCCCTTCGGCCTCGTTGGCCCGTGTCTCCGCCGCTACTGCTCGGTCGTACTGCTTCGTGGCACCATCATAGGCCGTACTAGCCATTTCCCGGGCTTCTCTCAGCTCGCCATCAGGATTGTTGACCTTATTTTCAGCCTGTATCGCTCGTTGGACGCTTCTGTTGAGCTGCTCCTGAAGGGCGTGCACCCTCCCAACAGCTGCGTTCTCCACTGCGACGTTAAAGTTGGCTTCTGCGGCTTTAAGGTCGGCTTGCCATCCAGCTTCTCGGTGCTTCCATCGCTCTTCTCCCTCGGCAACCTCTTGCCGGACTGCGTTTGCGATCAAATCCCGAGCCTCGCGCTCGCAATTGGCAACCGCTTTTTCGTGCCCTTGCTGGAACAAAGGCTCGTCTTCCGGGTTGAGCGCCCGCGCTGATTTCCGCTGCTTGAGAGCATTAAGCTTTGCGAGGAGCTCTTGCTTCTCCGATTCCAGCTTGTTGGCTCGGGCTTCACTCGCCGAGTCGGAGCGCTGGAGACCTTTATTGGCCTCTGCGAGCGTCTGGACCTCAGCAAACAGCTCGTTCTCTCGAGTCGTGGGCGCATTCTGCTGGTCAGGATCCGGCAGATTGTGGCCAGCGGCCTCCGCGCTCTGGTCGCTGGGTGCATTCTCCGACATCGCCAGTAGATATCCAGATTGAAACGCACCCGAGGCCTCCTTGTTAGCCAACTCTAACTGTAGACGAAGGTTGCTGATCTCCGTCGTTGAGTCTTGGTTGGAAACATTTCCGGCGGCTGTGACCTCTGCACCGCTTTCCTTGCTCTCCTCTGCTTCTTGCAGCTTCTGCTCAAGTTCGGTCACCGTCGTAGCCGTCTCGGCAGCGCACCTCTCCGCGTCCCACACTCTCTCCTCCGCATCGAATACCTTTTTATTTATAGCCAGAGCTTCCCTCTCGAAGTTGGCAATGTTGTCGTTGGCTAGCTGAAGACCGCGCGTTGCTGTGTCTAACAGGGTCTCGGAATGCCGTCGTGCTTCAACTCCGTTGTCAGCCATGGTTTGGAGCTCTTGAGTTCTCGCCCTCTCGGCTTGAAGTTCGGTATTCAGACGGCCTTGAGTGTTGATGGCGTCACTCAGTTCTCCGACCACACCGTCAAGTTGATCCCTGACAACGTCATGCTGTCTTTGGGAGATTGCCATCTTAACTGCGCTCTCTGCGGCCAAGGTCCGCTCTTTGAGCGCCGCCTCTCTCGTCCCGGCCGATTCTTTGTTTCTCTCTGCCTCTTCAAGGCACAGGCGGAGTTCTCTCTCCAGCCTTTCACTTCGAGTACTGAGTCTCGTGGTCTCGAGAGACAACTTAGAGATCTTCTTGTCCTTCGCCGCAAGCTGCCCACTCTCTTGACGAGCCACTGCCTCTTGAAGCTCTTCCTTCTTGCGCTCTAGCTTCCTCGAGACACGGTTGAAGTCAAGTGTCAGGTCGTTGGCCATCGCAACGACGTCCGTTCTAGACGGATACAGGCCTTGAGGGTCCAGAGTAGCGCGTAGGTTCCCCATCAAACGGCTACTTCTTTGGTCGAGAGTCACGATAGTATCGCTTTTTCCGCTGACGGCTTTGGCAAGCATGGCAATTTCCGCATCTTTCCCTGCCGATTCCGCTCGGAGATCAGCCAAAGCTTGGTCATTTGTTGGTGGGAGTGGAGTGTTGTCGGGGATTTCTCCCGGTGATGGCCGTGATTCTTGGGTATCAAACCACTCGTCCTCGTCATCTTCTCCTGCTGATGTAGTTTGTGATGGTGTGGATCGATGCGTTCCATCGGTTGGATCCCCGTTGGTAACCTCTTCTTCTGGGGTTGTATCCCCGCTAATGACGTGTCTGGGCGCTCGAAAGAGTCGGTGAATGGACGTGCCAGTCCAAGTGACCAGTCGCTTGATGATCCTAAGTGAGGGTAGCAGGCCGTTGGTAAGCATCCATATGGCGGCCACGTTTATGAGCTCGTCGCCAAGGACGGCTAGTGCTGTAGTGAAGAGTGAAATGAGAAGGGACAAGAAGCCGGTGGTAGGAGGTGTTGTGACGGGCGAGACCATGATGCTGTGGATGTTGTTGTCCTCGATGGTGTCGATGATGTAGCCTGTGTTTGCTACTGGGGTGGCTATCTTCTCGACCTTCGGAAGGATTACAGCCATGCATAGCAGGCCGAACATCTCTCTAAGCGGTCCGCGGTGAGCCATGACGGTCGGTAGCGGTGGTGACGTGCCTCGAAAGACGCGTGAGGTTGGGGTGATGTGATGATGAGGATGTAGCTGTTTGAAGGATGCAGGGCCCTGTAGGATGATGCAGGAGGTGTTTGTGATACCGTAAAGGTGTATGGTGATGATGTTGTGGATGAGGAGTGTGGTTGTGGAAATGTGAAAGTTGTTGTGAGTCGGTGTGGTTTTGTGCGAAGTTCATCACAGTGAGTGTTTACGCGAAAAATCTGAGTCACCAGTGATGTGAATACCATCAACACTGGCGAAAAACTTGCCAACCCCGCACGAAAATTTCAAACGCGGATGGTTTCCGAAAGGCCGAATGGCCGAGCGAGAGTTCTGGCTGGAGCTGCCGCTGCTGTGGGTGAATGGTCGGGGTTGATGCCCGAGAGTTGGCTTGTTTACTGGCTCGAGGAAAGGTGAGTTGGGCTATGTTGGAGGATTTTCTACCATTGGTATTTAGTCACAAGAAAGGTAGATGAATGGGTCCCGGCTTGGACAAGACAAAGGAGGCTTGATTTGGACGATGGGCTTTGTTGTATGTTCATGGGTCCTTCAATGTCAGAGGTCCAGCAATGTCAGAGGTCCAGCAATAGTCGCTCCAGACCTCATATGCTGTCGAGGCAGATCTACGGTCACACAAATTCAGTTGACATGCTCGATGAATTAAGGCTCCTAGTAGAGTAGATGGGATTACACGTTGTCTAGAATACATGAGATTACAGGTCCCCAGTATTACTGTTGCCGTTGAAAGAATTACGACAAAGGCGAAGAAAGAGCCCTTATCCCTAACCACCTGATGCTTTCTGGCAGAATAAAGACCACCGCTCTTTCACCAACAATGCGTAGCCAGGATCACCACTACTTCACCCTGATTCACCTCTTTTATGAAAAATTGCCAAACAATCGAACACCTGAACATCCCCCTTTCCATAAGAGCATCTGCCTGATCTTTGTGAAAACATGCCGCATTCTCTAAATGGCCCTGTGCAACTCACTGCACTACCCTCTCATATCCCAACGATCTCTGACCGGCCCCGTACAGCTCACTGCACTACCCTTTCATATCCTACCAATATCATCCACCCCTGCCCATTCCATCATCAACTTGGAGATCCCATTCCATTTCTTTTGCAATTCTAATCCAGCTTCCAACGTTCATCCATCATTCAACCCTTCTCAGCAAAATTATCGTCGGTGGTACGATCAAAAATAATAGTAACCCCAAACCGCGTCCGTTGGCGGTACGCCAACAGACTATCTCTAGCTGTCATTGCTAACCTCCAATTGCGAAACTGGGGGGTGAGGCGATTTGGGGGTGCGGTATCATACGATACCAGCATTTGGTAGACGCGATGGTGACGTCGAAGCGGTAGTGTTAAGGTCCAGAGTTTTCAGCGCAAAGATTGCTCAACGAGAGGTTGTTGCCCGCCTGCCCTCTTCCTCGACGAGCTACATTCTCGGTTATCGGGGTTGCTCGGCTTCCTCAGCTCTCTTAGCTTTGGCGCGCTTGCGTTCAAGCACGCGCTTCTGGGTTTTTGTCATGGGAGCGCCTCCTCTGAGACTGGCGTCCAAGTTTGCAACCTGCGCTGTCAGTATTGCAGCCCCATTTTCAAAGCGCCGGATGCGATCCGCACGCCACACGACCAACTCTACCTCATGGAACCGTCTTGCGATCGCTGCATCGCTAGTTTCCTCAGTGATGCTAGTGGAAGCAGGTGGTGCGATAGGCTCTGCGCAGATATCTTCGGAGGGTTTCGCATAGGGATCTTCGGGAGTTCCGTAGCCATCTTTCAGGTACGCGATCTGCCATTCATGCCATTGGAGCTCATCCTTGGCATTGAGTAGCTCATGCTCTTGCTCTTGGACTTCGAGAGCTCTTGCAAGTAATGCGTCTCCAGTGTCCTCAGTGGTGCTAGCAGGAGGCAAGTCAGGCTCCGCAAGGTGGTCTGTACAGAAGGTTAGCTGGCGCGACGTTCTTGATGCAGAAAAGACCCACCATTTTGTGCATCACGTTCTTCTGAAGGGCTCGAAGGACGATCGGTTGGCCCATGATCATCCTGTTCACTGGCATCTTCGATGTCTGTATCCTCTTCTATTTCATCGTCCTTGGGGTCCACATCCAAACTTTGCGAGCCATCGTGATGAATCTCCTCACTGGTTTCTTTGATACCACTCTTGCTCTTTACTTCGGTCTCATCGAAAGACATATCATCATAACTTTGTGCGACAACGTGATGGTTCTGTTCGCTAGCATCCTTGATGCCGCTTTTTTTGCTTGCTTCGTCCTCGTTGGGGAGCTCCTCATTATCATCTTGTAAGACATTGTAAGGCTCCTCCACACTGGCATCGTTGATACCGCTTTCCCCTTCCCTCTCGTCCACATTGCGATCTTTGCCTTTAGAAACGTGTCTCGCTTCCTGCTCTGCACTTTTCTCGGCGATCGATTCCAGAAATTTCTGCCAGTGCGGTTCAGAATTCAGATCGGCATCAGGGCGGCCTTGAAAAGGCGCCGAAGATACAGAAAACTTCATGCTTAGGGCAATGGGCCCGTCAAGTGGTGAAAGTATGAACTTGTCATCCTTAGGAGAGTACTTGTCCCATGGGTACATACCCTGGCTATCATCGGGAAGTGCCAGTTTTCCACGTGAATTGTACAGACAGAGCGACCTTACCAGCTCCTCGTTCTCCGCATACGCTCTCTCTCGGTGCTCGTGCAGTAGACGAAGAGACTCGATTAGGTCATTTTGGCCGTCTATGACTGCGAGGTATCGGGTATTGCGCCCTTCGGGCCTTGACTCTTCAACAGCCATGGCGTAGGTAAATGAGTACAAAACACTCTTGAATATGCTAGTGATGTCTTCTCGCAGGCCTTCATTGATACCGACTTTGCCTAATCGACGTCGGAGTTCCACTTCAGCGTTCCGCAATGAAGGGCCAAAGCTGGGCTCGATGTTGGCTGTTGCAAACACATCCTGCTCGTAGGTCGCATTCAGCTTGTCTTCGTGAACCCTCCGCAATCTTCTGAATTCCTGATTTGCTATCCGATTTAGATGAGTCTTCTCCTTCGCCAAGGTCTCTTTGATATGTGTGTTGGCCATGTCGAATACTCTCCGCTTCTCGAGATCGGCCTGCACATTGGAAGGTCCCTTGACAACCTCGGGTTGCCGCGCTTCTCCTTCTTCAGACATAATCTTCAATGTGCAGGCATTGCCATACTGGGCCACCAAAAGTCTGTGCATTGCCGACATCATGGTGGCCGGATCTTGATGGCGCTCAAGGATGATCCCCGTAAACATTTCTGCGAGAGCGTTCTGGGTAGCATTGGTCCCTGTCGCAAGTTGAGCGTTTGCTTTTGACGTTACAGCCTTGCCAATGCCTTTGACACCTGTCCAGTTGAACTTCCCGAAATTCAGCCAATGCCGAAAGAAGTTTACCGTAGCCGTGGCAGAGATGACCCAAGGGATCCGGTAAGCGATGCGGCAAGCGATCCCCCAAGCTTGCCATAAAGTGGCTCGTGAGGACGGGACGCTCGTGGAGCACACGATTTTGATGATGTAGCGAAAAAGGTTTTGCCACCAGATGAGAAGAAGATCGAGCTTCGAAGCTCCTGGTGGAGGAATAACGTGGGCTAAAAACGGGGTTAATGCTGGTGCATCAGTCGTGGATGCGGGAAAGAGGACGGCGTGAGGTGTTGGAACAGTGGTAGGAGTTGATTTGAGATGGAGATTGAAGGGCGCTGCGTACGAAATGTGAAGAGGCAGCGTCGGAGTCGGTGCGTCGTGCAGAAGCTGCTGAACGTCGATCGGCCCACCATAATAGTCCAGAGGAGGTAGGGGCGGATGTACACGTCCGCTGTAGTAGTCGTTGGGAAAGCCCACGACACTGACAGCTGTCATACCCAGTCCGAAGACGAATAGAGCTACCACTGCTCTTAGCACCATTGCCATATGGGCAGCTGGGATGGGAGGCATTGCTGCGTGGTTGCCTTTTGACTGTGGTGTAGGTGACGAGGGCGAAAGAGGAGACCGTGCTGATTCTTGTAAGAAGCGCGACCAGGAAGCGTGCTTGATCAGTCGTGGCGTCTGTGAGGACGGCGTAGAGCTTTGTTGGTGCGAAGAGGTAGCAAAAATGATCGATGCAATGCAAGATGGAACGGCTGTTCGTTGTGGACGTGAGTTGGTGTAGTTGACAGAAAGGGTGGTGGGAAGATGATGTAAGAGGTGTTTAAGAAAATGAGGAGGTTGGTGTTTTCAAAAATCATCAACACAGCAAAAGAACTTCGGTCTTCAAACTTTTCGGCCGAAGAAGTACCGGCTTTATTACGGACATAGTGATGCATCATGGAGACAAAGGTCTCTGAAAGACGAGCAGATTCTGCGACCCTGTCTTGTAGGTTCGCTGCGACGTCAAAGAAATGCTTCTCCCAGAAACGGTCCAACATCCTCCATGCGTTTCCTCACTTGCTTTGAAACAGCTGCGAGCTATTCTCTGTCCCAATAGAACGAGAGTTTCGTCGCACAGCTATGCATCTGTACCCAAACAGGTCTCTCAGTCCATCACCGCTTCTCCAATCTCGCCGCAGCCGCTGGAAACAGAGAAAGCACGTTTCGACCTATTGCATCACGCTGACTTCTCGACAGACCCTCATACTCAAGCACCGCCTTCTTATTCGCTTCCATAGTCGACTCCGTCGAGCACGGTACACCACAGTCTGCGCCATACACCAAGTGATCTGGAGGGACCATATGCAACGCTGGTGCCATACCCGTAGGAGCAGTTGCCGCCGTGTCAAGATACAACCTCGCGAGCTGCTCCTCGATCTCCGCTTGAGTGATTTTGTTTGGGTTGGGTACCCAGGTCTCGGTGCCGAGAAGCTTCAGACGACCGGAGAGCACTGGCAACGCGCCGCCGGAGTGAGCCAGGATGAAGGCGACGTTGGGAAACTTCCGAAAAATGCCGGCGTACAGCATGTCCACGACTGTCCGAGTAGTTTCGAAGGCTACTTCGATCAAGGGGCTTGGGCGGCCCATTGAGGCTGGAGCATAGGCGTCTGGGTGGACGAAGACAGCGGCGTGCCGGCGGTTGAGCTCGGCCCAGACGGGATCAAGGCTGGAGTCTCCGAGGAAGACTCCGTTATAATTGCAAGTGACGGCGAAGCCATCCGCGTCGAGTTCGTGAGTGGCTCGATCAATTTCAGCCAGGGCAGCTTCAGGACTGTCCGTTGGAAGAGCCGCAAGCAAGCCAAAACGCTTGGGATGCTTCCTCACGAGAGACGCAGCGTAATCGTTGGACTCTTTCAGAGCGTCAAGCTGCTTGGGCAGGTTGCTAAGCATTTGCATGGCGATGCCGGCCTTGTCCAGGTATGCTAGAGTGCTCTCTGGTGTCCATTCGAAGGGTTCAGGTACCAAAAACTTTTCCCCTCGCATTGCATGCCATCTCTTTTCTCGATCTTCGGACGAGGTGGGAGGAGTGAAATGTCCATGGATGTCAATCCAGTCGTTTGCCATTGTGTCTCTCCTTTTCCCTAACGCTATGGACTTTCCGCTTGCTTTGTGGGTCTATTCCAAGGTCTTTACTGGGAACCATGCGGCGTCATTCGAGAAATTAGACTAGTTCGTATTATGCATACTTTAGGGTTAGGGCTACGAGTAGGGATACCTTAGCGGGCGTGGCAAAATTCCAACTGCAATTCGTACTTACATAGCTACATTGTTTGTGCATGCAATAAATCAAGTCCCCTAACTGTCATGATGCCTCTATTATTCGTGCTTAGAGGTTTTGACTCGACCGTGGCGAAAGGGACATTACGAGTAGTGAGCAAGCATCTTACGTCATGAAGAAGATGGAAAGTCAAAGACGAATGCATAAGGTAGGGTAAACCCATTATTACTACACAATAGGGCCTGTTTGAGTAATGACTCCTGAGTGACCTGGGCTCTGGGGTCTAGCAAGGCTCATAAGTGGTGATCTCGATGATGTGTCCTGAGAACGGCTTAGAGAGTAGGGGTGCTTGGGGCACATGGCAATAATAGAGACACGGGTGTCAAGGTTCGGCCTTCCAATGGTATACTCAGCGAGAGCAAAGATGACTTCCTGGACTCGGCTTCTTCTGTAGCTTTTTTGCGGGTGAAGTGCAAGCATTCTTACTCTACAATCCTCATAACTGACCGGGGCAACAGAGTCCGTTGACAGCTTCTCCGCTACTCGTATTGCATCGTTGAGAGCAATCTTCTCCGCGCCTCGGGGCCTTAGATTTACACGTAGAGATTCCCGTCGTTAATCCCGAACATGCTAATCCTAGCTCCCGCTGCCGTGTTTCCAAATGAGGTCATTGCATCCGCTGAGATGCTTCAACACTGCAGGTCACTCCTACGGGTACTTGGGGAGCAGTCCGTTGTGCTTGTTATTCCTCTCAGCAAAAGAGGATGCTAAGTAATGAAGAACAGTCCCAAGTATCTAACCTTCTAAGACTTACAAACATAATCATTCCCGAGTTTGGATGGACATTTGGAATTGAATGGATCTTGAAGCAATATGTGGCTCCGACTCAGTCGCAGATCGCTGATAGATGTGAGGACGTATCCTTGGCCATGAACGTTCTTGTGCGTCAGGTCATCTTTGTACACATCAAAAATCATGCTATCAATGCCGGGCAGAACTGGGCACCAACCATCAACCCCGCGGCGCAGCACCCACGTCTCATAGGCCACCCTAACCAATCGGTATCAACAGTTAGAAGTCATGAACTCCCCGTCTTCCCCTCCCCTCCCCTCTTTTTCCCCGACGTCACCCCACAATTTCTTGCCCTTGGCGCTAGCAGTCAGCGGCAGCAGCGTTCGGGGCCTAGTGGTAGGAAAGAGGTCCACGCTTGACTACGAATGCATTTGTTGACACCGCTGTCCGGGCAGGCGGGTTTCGTTGGGGCTTATCGGGAGCGAATCTGGAGTTTCTGGGGAACGCTGATGGAAGAGGGAAGGGTTGTCGAGGTAGGGGCGCGTGCTTTTGGGGCATTTTGTGGGGAGGTAGGAAGTGGAGTGGCTGTTGCGAGGGTGAGGAGCGCGATGGAGGGGAGGCAATGGAGTCGCATGACTTTAGTGATGTGTTTAAGTGTGTATGATATTTTGTAGTGGTGATTTTTGTGCGGTGAGGAAGGGGTCGAGTGGATTTTTCAATGGGAACGTCGAAAGAACATCTTAATAATAATAGCTACATCACTGGAGGTAAACATCTTCACGATCTTTCCAAATGTTTGCTCGTTCACTCGTCCTTCTCTGAAATCATCTACCATAGCATACATACATCAATACAACAAAACCATGCCATCTATGAGTGCGCAGAAGTAATCACAGCCCTTTCTCCTCTTCAACTACAAGCGTTCTTGCCATTCCCATAAACGATGTGGCAATCCCACCAGGTCACAAAGTCGTTGAGCCAACTGCGCCTCAGGACCGTTCTGTCGGAAGAGGCGAGCGCTGTCGAAGTCGAGGCATGAGCTTCGAGTGCTGTGCGCGAGGTGGGGCCAAGCGGAGTGGCGGTTGCGAGGGCGAGGAGGGCGAGGGGAAGGAAGGAGGTCAGGCGCATGGTTGGTTGGTTTGTGGTTTGGTTGGTTGAGGGGGGGGGGGGGCTGGTTGTACGCTGTGTGGTGGTGATGGATGTTTGTTTTCGAAGAGTGCGGTAGCGGGAGTGCAGGAACGGGGGTTTGACAACGAGAAGGGAAGAATGGACGGAACAACTGTCTGCGGATTCTTCATGGCAGAATAAGAATTGTGCGTTAATGCATAGATAATGATTGTTCGACGTTGCTATCGGTTTGTCAGGATTGTAACAATGATGTTTGAGAATGAAGAGAAAGTTATAGCCAATCGACTCCCATTAGTGAATAAAGACTGCTACGGTTATTGTTTTGTACGGGGCATGGAGCGCCTAGGCTGAGGCTCTGTTTCAGATAACAGCGTTTCTTTAACCTCTACTTTAGCTGTCAACAGAGGAATCAATAGAGCCCGCGGGACCAACCCACGCCATTAGCATCCGCGGCTTTGTTCGACATCACATTCAGTACCATTATGGAAACAAGGGGCGGAAGTGGTTTCGGGCTATTCAAGACCGGACTAGACGTCAATCTTAGACAAGGAACAATGCAACCGTCGTTGCATGAATTCAGCGCGTTCATCCGATACAATGAGCTAGCGGTTGCGCCTCGAATGTACAATGGGCTAGAATAGCGAAAGAGATGAAAAATGGGTTGGGTATTGATGTGGGGTCGATCTTCAATATAAGAGGTCTTGGTGAGGGAAGCTGCGATGGCTTCACAGAAGAAGGTATGCTACTTGGAGAGGAGGGCACCTGGTGTGGAAAAGGGAAATGGATCAAGGGGAAGTGAGGTTGGGAGTGTGCGAAGCTTGTGCGTAATACTTGAGACGTAGGTTGCGAGATAAGTGACAAGGATGGAGAGAAGAATATTTTGAAATGCAATTGACACGATGAGCTTGATCCCACAATTGGTCCTGGTCTTTTTGGCCAAATACCGATACCGATTAAGGGTACTCAGAGTTAATGCAGATGTGAGAACGGCATAGTGTGTGAGAAGGAATAGGAGAGGCAGGAAAAAGTAGAGTGGTAGAATTGAAATTATGCTTTTGCTGAAGACAGTATTGACCCAGTGAAAGCGGTTGTCCATTGGTTATGTTCCGCTGGTGGAAGCCTTCCCTTGAGACACCGCTCAACTCGGTCCGAGAACTTCTTGACGCAGCATGACGCAGCTCTTTTGCGGCTCCTAGCTTTCCAATGAGCACCCTACAGTCTGTTCCTCCTGCAACGGTTACACGCTAAGATTCGACACTGCCGGCACTCGAAAATGTACTGCGGAAGGTGATGATAGCACTCTTCACATTGGTGGGGTCCGGATGTATAGCGCCAACCGTCGTGTGCGCAATTGTGGCGTTCTCGCAGGTGGGCAACAGCTCGATCGCCTTATCGCTCTCTAGCTACCCCGACTTGAGGTTGGCCGCGAGCGACGACTTGGTTCGCTCTGGCCAAGAGCCGATCTTCGTGCCACTGGTCACATGGACAGGTCTTCCAGCGCTCCCCGCAGGTGTAGCTGTTAAGATCAATAAGCTAAAAAGAGACAGGGGAAGGAGGTGAGGTACCAGAACTGGGCTTTGCAAGGACAGCTGGAATTGAAGTTAGTGTCTGTTGGACAGCCATCTTCCACAGGAGGACGTACACCATGTGATTACATCCGACGTCAAGCTCAACGAGTCAGTGACAATTATAGCATCGTTGCCAACCATTTTCCCGTGCCGTCTCAAGCACTTGTTGAATTGCAAGGTCCTCAGGGCAATCACCATCATGAGCGTTGTTCTTGCAGATGGTGCAAGTCTGTGTGCCGCATTCTCTGCACATCGCTTGCTCGCCGCTGATGTTAGCTCCAGCGATGAACGATGAGCACGCTGGCCGGGAACAGTACGTCCTATCCGAAGTCTCGAATTCAATGCTCTTCTCTTCGAAGTTTTTAACCACGGCGGAACTCAAATAGATCTTGACGGACTGCAAGGGAATCTTCTCACGGCAACATCGAGGCGGAAATAGGGTTTCGTCCGTAGCTGACAGCTCGAAAAGGGTCTGTATGCATTCTTGGCAAAAAAAATGTCCACACGGCGTTTGGCAGACATCAAAGAGTGGTTTCGTCAAATCGCACGCGGTGCAGTGACGATAAGATGTAGTCGCGGGATTTTGTCTTGATGCCGCCCAAGCGGATGATTCTGCGGCCACTGGACTGTCACTGCGGACCGTGTCCTCCAACACGTCACCTTCGTTTTCCCATCCGGACTTATAGAGCGCTGCCAGCCTTGCTAAAAAACCATCATCTAAGTCATATGCTGCTGTCGATTGTTCCAAAGCTGCCGACGGAGCGTTGATTCCTGCCAATGACTGAGCCAAAGCCCGATCCCTGGCTGCGGCGTGCTCCTCTGCGAATGACTCGTTCAGTAACGCAGCGTCACTGATAACGGCTCTCGTTAGGCTTCTGCCCATGCATCGGTCAGCTAAGATTGTGTTCCTTGTTTGTAGCTCTTGTTGATAGGTCGCAACGGCGAGGTCGGCGTCTGAGACTTCGCCATCTCTACCCTTGCCTTTATTAACACCGAGGAGCTCCTCAAGATCTCCGCTTTGTAATTGCAGAATTAATGTAGCCGTTGCGTCATCAAGTTCGAGTGAACGAGGCGCCTCGATCTCCATGAGGATATGTTGCTGTTGGAAATGTATGAAGGATTGATTGATTATGGAAGAATATGTGGGCTACTTATACCATGAGAAGCCTGTGGCAAAACCACACTAGTCCTTGACACACCATGGTATGGCCATATGATCATTGCCACCATGAGGGGTAGCTACAACACTTTATGGTGCTGCAGCAAATTCCAATAGTTGCGTTCTTAGGTGTGAAGGTTTGGCAAACACAAAGCAAGGTCGGTGATTCTTATACTTAAGATCTTACCACTAGCGTGGTAGTGATACAATGCCTTGCGTTCCCTAAGGAATGGAGTGTACAGTAAATCCCCTTTAGGTGTTTGAACAAGTGTAGAGACAAGATCAATCTTGCGAGCCACCAGCTCGGGGCGCATTTCCAGTTGACATGATTGTAATTTTGACCGGCTTACCCACAAGGGGTGGCCGAAGGCGCTGTGTAAAACATTTTCGGGATTGGGAGGCAGAATAACTTGTGACGTTGCCGATCAAGGCTTGTGAGGAAATCCCCTGGTTCTATACTATACCAATTCGTCGGCGAGAGACGTTTCACAGTGTGTGGAAGAGATGAAGCGAGGATAGTGACAGCGAGAATCATACCAAGTCTGCTTACCAGGCTACACGGCATCAATCTAGCGCAGTGCGAGAAGAGTTCTGCCAGAGCTGAATTGTAAGGCGGGCCTTATTCTAGAAATACAACAGATTTTGGCATGGCATTGCAGCCAAAAGTAGCTTCTACATCCTCTTTACCTCCATGTAGCCTCTTCAACGTCCGAAACATGACACGGCGCAGAGAATCTGCAAGGCACTTGCCTAATAAAAATTGCGCATTATGGGCCACTCGGCTGATGCCGAGACCCGCCACTCAGGGGTACATTCCTTCGGCTCTTTAGGCTAAACCCCCCCACCAATCCAGCCCCGAGCGGCTGACTCTTCCCCCCTCTGAACGTGGCCTGTGCCGCCTCCAATCGGCCTCCTGCACAGCTAAAACATCCTTCCGATGTTTCATCGTCCAATCAGTCGTCGTAAGAGCTCCCGGTCACTATTCATGCACACCATCTTCACCTACTTTAGTCTGCCTGACTTGCACCATCTATCCGCAAAGCTTTCTCACACCGGTCGAATCACATGGCGCATATACACTCCGCCTGTTTCAGGCACGGAAAAATCTGACGGTGCAGAGACAGAATGAAGTTAGAGTCACGGCACATCCTGGCACAACTGGTTGAGGGGCCGAGGGGTTGGAACTGTACTTCAGGATGACTGACTGCTCTCGTTTCTCTCCCTTTTTTTCTTTCTGCTTCACGGTTTCAAGGTGCTTCTGCCGGGCAGTCATTCATTCATTCTCTTTGCGTATATACCTACTTTATTCATTCATTCATAAAATCATTCTTTGCTTCTACAGCTTATCCATTCTTTACTTCTTCCGGCAAGATGTCACTCATTCTCATCGTTTTACTGCAATTATCACTCCTTTTGCGCAATGTCATTTCAACCTGCTCCACTACCTCGGACGTAGAATTTACATTCTACGGCTTCCCTGATGGTCCATCTGACACCACTTCGTTCGGCTGTTCGGGTACGACTCAAGTCGCTGATGGTACCGCAGGGGGTAAGTTTTGACCAAATTTGTCCCCCCATCCTCCCAAGGCTACACCTGTTCTTGATCTGACAGGACATTACTTTTAAGGTGACGGCTCCTACGGCAACCCCGAGACCTTCGCTACCGCCCTAAGCAACACCAACTTCGTTCCCTGCGAGATCATTTACATCCCCCTGTTGCAGAAATACTTCCAATACATGGACCACTGCGAAGAATGCAACGTATTGTACCCCGAAACCACCCGCATCGACCTCTGGATCGGGACCGACGTCAATGGCGGACTGAAGCAAATCGCCTGTGAAGATGCATACGGACTGAAAACGGGCCAGACAATCGTCCACAACCCGCCTAGCACGTTGCAAGTCAACGGTGGCCAGCTGTGGGACAATGATAGTGGCGCTTGCAACGATGATTCTCTGGTCTTTCCGAACTACTCGATTTCCGAGGCCGATATGTGTGCTGGGGGCTCTACGTCTAGTTCTGGCGGAATACCAGCCGGTAGTCCGGCTCCGTCGAGTACTAGTCGCGCATCTGCTCCTCCCGCATCTACGCCATCTACGCCCGCTATCTCACCAAACAGCGGAGCACCAAGTATGGGATCCGGCGACACTAGCCTCGAAAAGGAGAAGCTCGACACCGTTGCTAATGTCGACACCGTCAATAAGGTTGCTGACCTTAAGGTGAACAAGCCATCACCCACAACCTTCGCTACCGTCGTCTCAGCTACCCCCAGCACATCCACATCTTCCGTACCGAGCCCGTCTGGCTCAGCGTCCGGATCACCATCATCAACAGATTGCGGCGTCACAGCCGAATGGCCGACTGCGTGGCTGGGTCACTGCGTCGGTACTCCGTGTCACGATTTCAACGACTGTTCCGGCGAATTGATCTGTCAGGGCTGGCCTAAACCTGTCTGCACGAATCCGGCGAATGGGAACTAAGGGCTCTCTTCGCCTGAAGGGATGAGTAAATGGCTCATTGGTTGTGACTGGATTTCACTTTCACAGACGGTTTCGCTTGATGCGAAGCTTTTGGGGTCGATAGATAGATAGAGAGGTAGATAGGCACAAACAAAGTTCTAAAGACTCGAGAGGCTGTGAGAATTGATCCGCCGATTCTCATCTAGCGAATTAGATCGCTCCGATTCCCATCACCGAAGCTTCCCCAAAATTTCCCCTTCCCCCTTCCCCCCTCCCTTTTCTAATCCGAGATCCAAAGTGTACACACAGCGTTCTCCGTCCTTTACCGCGCCCATCAACGATACAATCCTCCATTCCTTTCAGAGCACCATCCAATCGACCTTCGAGCCCGCCACGATCCACGCTCGAAGCGGCATCATGGTGATACTCTGTGTCTTTCCGAACGCCATCGGTGGCTTTGGATGGACGGACGGCTCGCTTCTAGAATTTATTATTGTACAAATTCACTTGGTGAAAGTCTCACGGCGCCGTGGGTAGGGTCTTTGCCGGCCCAAAATGGGGGTTTCTGGGGCATGAAACCTGCTTGGCAAATGGTAACGACGGCGATGGCGAGGTCTTGGGTAGGCGTATTGAGGGGATAAGGACACCATGGTAAGCGCAGGTCTTGGCGATTTAGTAGAGTAAGCAAATTGTGGCAAAACTACTTTAGGGCTCAACGACGGGAGATGAGCCGGCGCTTGTTTGGCAACTCATCGTCATCACCATCCTGTCGGGATCCTGTCGGGATGCCATGTCATTGCCAACTACCGCGACCAGGACAGGCTTAGGTCCCGCCATGTATGCACAAAATCCCCCCAGAAAGCATGGGCATCAAGCACCTCATCTGGCAGATCTCTCTGCACAAACAACAACGAGCTCCGCCAGTCCGCCGCCATGACTCTCAAAACTAACGATCCCTACTCCCCTTCAGCCCGTGATCCCTACGACAGTGCTATCGACAGCGTGGGACGCAAATTACAACCAGTACCCTACCGCAATGGCGCTGGTTCCGATGTCCTCGGGCCTCGCAATTACGCTCGAGAACGCCAGGCTCCGGATATGGTCAGGCCGCCGGCAACCGACAGTGGTACCATGTCCAATATGAAATGGAGCTTTGCCGATTCCCATACACGTATTGAGGATGGAGGCTGGGCAAGGCAGACAACGATCAGAGAGCTGCCTACGAGTAAGGAGCTGGCTGGAGTGAACATGAGGTTGGAAGAGGGTGCTATTAGGGAGCTACACTGGCACAAAGAGGTATGGAATGACTACGCGCCAGACGAGCTACTTGCTAATGCGACTGTGTGCCAGGCAGAATGGGCATACGTACTCGAAGGCAAGGTACGAGTTACAGCACTGGACACTGAAGGAGGCAACTACATTGGCGACGTCGAGAAGGGAGACCTGTGGTACTTTCCTGCCGGACATCCACACTCGCTCCAAGGCATTGGTCCCGGTGGCTGCGAGTTCCTCCTGATCTTCGACGACGGCAACTTCAGCGAAGACTCTACCTTCCTACTGTCAGATTGGGTTGGCAGGTTACCCTCACGGAACAAAGAAACATAGTCAAACAGCAGCTAACCCCTAACAGCGCACACCCCTCAATCAGTTCTTGCCAAAAACTTCCGTCTGCACCCCAGCATCTTTGACCACGTCCCCTCATCCGAGCGCTATATCTTCGAGGGATCTGTTCCTGGGCCAATTGACAAGGAGAATCCTATCGGTGTTAAGAAATCTCGCCACCGCTTTACGCACAAAATGCTAGCACAAGAACCGCTCAAGGCACCAGGAGGCCAAGTCCGCATCACCGACACCAGCAATTTCCCTATCAGCAAGACCGTTGCCGCCGCACATGTCACAGTGGAGCCACACGGCATCCGCGAGATGCACTGGCACCCAAACGCCGACGAGTGGTCTTTCTTCATCCGTGGCCGAGCTCGAGTCACTGTCTTCGCCTCATCCAACACTGCGCGTACTTTTGACTACATGCCCGGAGACGTGGGCATTGTACCTAAGAGCATGGGCCACTATGTGGAGAACATTGGCGATGAGGAGCTGGAGTTCCTAGAGATCTTCAAGGCACCGAAGTTCGAGGATTTCAGTCTGGAACAATGGCTGGCGGCTACGCCTAAGAGGAATGTGGCGGAGCATTTGTTCCAGGGTCATGAGAAGGCCGGAAGGAAGTTCGTGGAAGAGCTGGAGCTGAAGAAGATGCCTGTGAAGCCGGCACCAAAGCGTGCAAGCAGTGTGCCGTAAGCGGCCACACACTCCATAGGTAGCTTGCTCCTTAACGGCTGCTCGCCAGACAAAGTCCAATAATAACTCGCTCACATACCGGCGCTTTTGTCTCAAGTCTAGTCGACAGTGCTCCAAAGATTCGTTCCTTCATGGTGTTTAGTAGTGTTCTCCTCCTAAGCACATGATCGCTACTGTCCTTGATATCTTCGTCAGATCCGTTTGGTCTGTGGACTCATAAATAGGGCGGGTAATCCTGTATTTGTTTTCCAGCCGAGACGTGTGAGATCCAACCATGATCGAATCCCTCCCTCTACTGTTACATCATAATTTTCCATCCTTCGAACATCTTCCTCATTCCTCAAGTCTCATGTCGCACGCTCATAGTCGCCACGTTGAAAGTGGGGGTTGGTGACTCTGAGAATCTTGTTACCGTAGCATCTTCCCGACATCGCCGTCGATCAAGAACATTAAGAATCTATAGGGCTGGAATGTATTGATAGGATAGGGCTGGGGTTCATCTCCAACTCGACCTGCATGTAAGCCTTCAAAACGGCTTTTTAATCGGTCAATCTTATCTGATAGACCCATCTAGGTTTAGCGTAATATTAAAGCCTGCTGCGGAAGCAGAAAATAAGAAGCACCGCAACACCCTTAATATTGTACCAGCGCCATTAGGAATCGAACCTAATACGAACTAAATACCCCTAACAACAGAAGTCATCTACATCCCATCACAAACTTGATCGTTTGGACTCGGGTGCTTTCAGAAAGCCGGGTCGTTTTTTGTAGTCCTATACGCCCTACTTGCTCATTACACCATCACTGGCCCCAGAATTCCATTCAAAAGGGAGGCATGACCGATCCCACTTTCCGCCAGCACTCTGCGTTAGTGGCTTGCCATGCCCTTTCATACTCCTCAAAGCCCGCGGGATCAGCAACGTGATTAATCCAAGCACGATCAGTACAACTCTGAATACCCCGGATCTTCCTCATTATGTCCCTCATTATGACGAGTTGCAGTGTCTCCGCACCGTAACTCTCGGGTTTTATGCAGAATTGTATATCGGTGCCACAAAACTTGCACTCGCCTCTTGGTAATGGGGTTAATGGCGATTGTGATGCGCACGTCAAACACCGACAGGTAGGAGTAGGATTTGGTCTGTTCCATATCGATCGAAGCTTTTGACAATCTTGAGAATAAATACTTGCTACATATGCATCATTGAGGCGCAAATGCGGGCAGATTGGTGCGTTGAGTGGACGGAGAGCCTCCCTCACTTCTTCGTTTGATGGTGTGCCGTTGCGGGTTACCCGTATGATCGGCCACGATGTCGTGTATCCAGGGAGTACATGAACCGGATTGCTTCCGCATCTGTGGCTTTCGTGAACTTCCCTAAGGGTTTGCGCTTGGCCATAATCGAGAATCTGATGTGGACAAATCCACAAGAATCCAGCGCTGCCTAGGCAGCGACGCTTGGCGCTGGGCTGTGCGAGGGATGATACTGAGAACAGCGAGCAGTCGTGCGTATCCGCGCACCCACTGCAAATCGCTTTTGATGAACGAACCCGTCCGTCGCGATCTAGCATACAAAGCAACTTCAAACGCTCTGACAGATAAAGTTGGGTACGCGACTTGGACATGGCTTCCGAGAAGTGCGTGTTTTGCTTGTTACATATGCTCTCCAGATTCAGGAGGGGGATCGCGATCCGCTGTGTCTTCCAATTACTAGTTGAAGGGAGATGCAGAGCTGATGGCGGCGTCTCCAACATGAACAAGTCAAAAGACACGAGGCTGCTTGGCGGCAAGTACGCTGAGACGCCGAGAATGATCTCAGTGGGTAGATCGAGCAGGGTCTTCCGGACGGGTTCGATAGAGAACCCTCTACTCGTGCGAAAAGCTTTCGAGATGGCCTGGCCGATGCGCTGGGCGTAAGCTTTCCTGCACGGCAATGTGATGATTCTTTCACTTCTGGGTGGTCCAGGTGGTCTGGATTGGTACTGAGTTTCGTGTTCATGAAAGGTAACCAAAGCGCTTAGGCTCTGAGTATCTTTGACAGCGGCTCGAGTCTTCTTGAGAGCCGACCATCTTTGCCCCATGTCAAGAAGCAGAGACGGAACTTTTGCGGTTTTAGGTCGTTAGCTTGTGGATACGAAGATGTGTCCGTAACGAGCCCAGCTAGGCCTATGAATGTGGGCAACTCATACAAAGATGGCACTGATCAAGGCCATGAACTTTTCGGCTTGACAACAATTTGGGTTTTCCGGGCATCGAACCCCAAGATATTCGAGGAGAAACTTCTATAGGCGAGCTCCATTAGCGTCACCGGTACGAGCAGATTTGAGTGAATTTCGTGCCAGGAATGCTGATCCTTGGGCCATTTCTGCTCTCGAGATGTGTCATGACGACTCTGAAACTTATTGACCATGTATCCAACTTCAACTTCGAGCATGCAAGAACAGGCTCTTGTGAAAAACTCATCAAGAATCACGCAACAGGGATTGTGTTGAAGCCGGAGATAAACCAGCCCGATCATTTTCGCTGGCTTCCGTTCCCGAACATTGCTTGGTGGAAGACGGTGAACTGGCATACACATTGGCCATTCTGAACTCCAGAGTGTATTTGGGGTCCGCCCAACAGACCATCGGCTGAATTCAAGACGTCACGCAGTCAACGTTGGGCAGAGGGACAAATTCTTCATACGGCTGACTTTTGGCCTTGAAAGGGACCTTGGTACCGCGTGACTGGATTCACCTTAGTCTACATCGTGTCTTAATGGAAGGTTGGGATGGCTGAAGTTTTGGCTGAAACACGCTGCTGAGTGGATCATAGCGGTTGATCACGGGTGCAAAGCGAACGGACAAAACCCATTTGAGAGTTCAGTACGGCTGATTGAATGTACCCTCTGGAACCTTCCATGACCGAGACATTGGTGGACAGCTCGAGTGCGCTTCGTTAGAATCAACTTCGCCCTTCCTCATACGTGGGCTTCCGCTGACCTTGAGTGCGAGCCGTTAGGGAGTTTAGAATGCTCCACAGTAGTAAGTTGCATTCCGACAAGTCATGCCTTTTGCAGAGCGTCCCATCGAATATCGGGTTTCAAGATGGCAAGGTCAAATGTGACCGCTGGTTCGTTTCTTGGCTGGTCTTTAAAGTGTGAATAGAGTATTGAATTCTCAATACTGCACTTCTCGGTGGTAATGGTCCCTTGGTGATGGACGGCTTCTACGGCTGTAAGGCGAAATTCTTTTTTTGAGTGAGAGCGCGGCCGAGAGTTCAACGGCCCATGAAAAGTCTCAAGTGAGGGCAAATGCGGCTGAGAGGCAAAGATCTGCACTACAAGGTTGTGAGTCTGATGAAGGAATATAGGTAGAGTGCGGAGATAGAACTGCAGGCGAATCTATTGGCAGAGAGACCAGACTGATCGCGGAGGCTGAGGCGCGAAGTCGTCGACATCAAACTAAGAGGCCCCAGTCGAATGGAGTGCCTAAATTGGCGCCTCGATGTTCTAGCTTGGTTCACAGGATAGATTTGCAGAGGAGGCACAGAGCTGACCCCGAGGCAAAGGATCTGGTCGGAGAAAGTAGAGCCGAATGGAGGCACGAAGATGTTACCGTTCGGCGTAAAGTAGCACTTCGGAGGGACAGGTTTTATAGAAGAGTCTAGAAGCATTTTCGACCCGCTAGACCTAGGCCGTCTTGGTCACTTTAGTTGCGGACGAGGTATGGTTTGTGGTCCAGGCGTTCAAAGTTGAAATGTTGGTAAAATGACGTCCGAACAGGATATGGAGCATATGATTATGGCCTGGCATGAGGTGGCTGGAAGCGGTGCGACTTAGGTTCCATTGTTTTTATGCAGCGCAGGTAGGAATGCTTACTTCTGACGTGCCAGCCTGAGGTTTTCTTGGAGCTTGTCTTTGCTTTTCCTGACACTTCAGGATACTAGTCACCAGCACCACGGAGAGGTGCAAGCTCGTCGCTGATGAGGAGGGTGCCACCCACTCCTCCCCATAATTAAGGACTCTGGGGTGGCCCGTGCTTATAGGTATCACCCACCTGTCGCGGTCGAAGTCTCTCCAGAACCGCCTGGTGCCCAGCCAGACGGGCCGTGTACTCGACTGCGACGCATGAGCCGATGACGCAGCGCCCGAACCTGGCCCCGGAGTTCCTCGATCTCTAGCTGCTTAGCGTAGAGAGCCATGTCGTGGTCTCGCCTCTCAAGATCCAAGAGCTCCTTTGCATCAGGTCTTGTTGCGTCGAAATCCCGCCGCAGCTCGTCAAGATCCTTGCGAAGAGGTGCCACCAGAAGTTCCAAGTCCTCCGCAGCAGCATATCTCCTCTCCTTATCTTCTCTGTCCGCCTTCTCCCTTCTCTTCTCGTCCTTTCCATGGTTCCACCAGGCCCAAAAAATTGTCCACAAAACAGTCAAGCCTGCGACCACAATCGTCCTGATGCCTGTGCTGAGGATTGCGTCTGTGGTTTTGCGCTGATTGCTATGCGTAATTTTCTCCGCTACTGTCGGCGGTGCCAACGCTTCTGGTACTACTGATGGCGGTGCCATCTCTGCTCTCTCGCTCGGTTAAAGGACAAAAGTAACAAAGTCGCGCACTCTCCATTCATATTCAAAGGCAACACTCGCTCTTTCCATCTCATCTGGCACAACAACTAGCTGCGATCGTGAGCCGAAAGACCAAACGCCCCTTCGCGCCTTCCATCACTCACAGTTTGATGTCGGAGGAAATGCTCTCTACAGGCCCAGCAATAGAGCAACTGCAGAGGCCGTGCACCATAGCATCGCACATTGATCCAACGGTGAACTTGATAGAAGTAGCTATGAGGAACTGTGTAGCATTACAGGCGCAAACCTTTTCGTCAGCAACATGGTGTTAATCAACACCACCGATCAAACTACGAGGGACCTCTCTACAACTCAGTTTGGCGCCGATCTAGCCCGGCCAGGCGGCCGGGGAAGGTACCCTCTTGGGGTGGGCGAGACAAGGGTGCTGGTCTGGGTCCGTGAAAGTAATTCGGCTATTGATCAGCTTGACAGCATTGATATCGCCAAGCCGCTACAATGTGCGAGTGGCTGCAGAGACTCTGGTACACTGCAAGGTTTGCGAGCTTCCGACGACTGAGATTGATCTGTCGACTTCGCCCCCATCTACATTGCCTCAATACTAGCCGAGTAGGCAGAGCTTGCATGTTGCTTTTCTTTAAGGGCTGGCATACCTGATGAAAATCTTGGTCGGATGTTGAAGACTTGAGCGCAGTCGAAATACTACCGCCGAGGTCATGGCCGCTCTTACTCGGTCGCAGGCCAACGTCGAGGGAGTGGAGACAACGCCATTCGCACACAAGTACTTGCAGAAGAGACCACGCATGCTACGGCGTAGCACTTCGACCCCCAGCTCCGCCAGAGGCCTGACCGAAGGACTCAATCTAGGCCGCTTTCAACTCTTCTCCGATCTAAATTGGGTGTGTATCATCGGCAATCTAGCACAAAATTTCTCCGACCACGCTTTCGGCACCGACTCAACTCTCCGTATTGGTGAAGGCGTCTACGAGTTTATTGTTCTTTTCCTTATCGCCTGGCGCATTTGGAATCATCTCCAAGAGTTCATGAGCAAATACCACACACCAGCAACCTCGTGGAGCGGCTTTTCGTCATGTGGATCATCATCTTGGCCATGCTGTATGGAAACAATGCGCCCTATCTACTCGATACCCCAGAGTGATCCAACGTTGCTATTATCATCTTCCTTGTCGTCCTGCGCTCTTTCGTCGTCATTGAAACCGCCTATTCAGTGTATCTTCCTTTCCTCCGCCGGGAGATCGCCCTTCGAGTGGCTTTTGTAGCCTTCAGACTACCCTTGAGGATCCCAGCGTTCTTCGTCGCCGACAATACGAAAGCTGGCCTTGTTTCACGGCAGTTGTTACCGAGTACGTTACGGCAGCCTTTATGGCCACTCCTCCAGCCGAGCGTCTCCTCAAACAAAACCACTTTGAAAACTTCGATGCGGACCATTGTCATAGTGATCTGTCTCCCCATTGATCGCAATATGTCAGCACGTACATTTTTGAGCATTGTTGTGTCTTTACTATTAGTGTGTCTGTTTGGGGAATGGATAGCTGTTTTAGAACGTGATGGAAGGGTATTTGAGCCGTACATCGGTCTGGACAGGTGTTTATGAAAGGTTGCGATTCACCTTTCTGGCGTACACGGAACTACCCCCATCGACAACTGCAACCTTTTTTAGGACCCCATCGGCTTTGTTTGTCTCGAAATCAAAAGAGGTGCTGGGAGCATACTCGAGGCCGTTGGTCCGTTGGTCGAAAGCTTCAGGAAAGGACAGACTCAAAGGAATGGATGGCACATGATCTCTATGTCAATGATCGGCGAGTTGCAAGGCTACAAGGACAAGCCCATGAGAAATGCCGTAGCTGGAAAGAAGATTCAACTAAGAATGCATGTTGCAGAAGAATGGAGCGCTCGGAACACCACGTGTATAAATGTGCTGTTGTGCGAGGCTGGTCGGTTTCAATCTATCGCAGTTACCATCCCAATGCCCATAGGGCCGAGATGTCCAAAAACTTGGAAAATCTTCTGAAGCAGATTCGATCATCCGAGTCTCGAACGGCAGACTGGGAAAAAGAGATGTTAAACCCTAGATCTATGGATGCCCTACTGTTCAACGCTCTCTATCTAACCTCGAAAGCATGTTATACAAGTAACCCAAAACGCTTGCTTGTGATCGAGAACTCTCCTTGCAAGAACCTCCATCACAAGCGGGAACATTCAGCAGCATTCTCCAGCACCGTCCTTTCAGACGATACCCTGCGCACCCTTCTCCGCCAATACCGGCGGAAAGCTCGTCATCGGCTTCGTCTTCGCCTTCGCCCTCAACGTCGCCCGTATATCTTCCGTGCTCTTTGCATTCCACGCTCCATAGCTCAGTGAATACATCAACCGGTTCCCTTCCGTCGCGATGAAATCCTCCGGCTTCGGCGGCTCTTTGGAACTTATCACATTGATCTCATCCTCAATCTGTTTGCAGTACCTATCTAGCGGGAGATCGTTTTCGTCATAGCCGAAGGGGTCTTCGATCTCTCGGCCGATGGCGGCGATGCCCAGGATTATGTAGGCGCCTACGACCGTTCCGGGAATGGTGACCCAGCGCAGTGAGTCCCAGAGTTGGAAGGGCAGCGCGATGACGTACGTCCAGGTGATTTGACTGATGGCGATCGAGTACGCGACCGGGAGGGGTGTGTTGACAACGCGCTCCGTGCCGGCGAGCACCTCGTTGAGGGAGGCTAGGTTCGCCATCATCATGCCCTGGTGCACCCCGTTGGGGAGGGTCCCGTTGGCTATGATGGATTCCGCGTACGCGGATAGGTAGTGCAGCACTTGGAGCGGGAGGTTGCCGAGTTTCTTGCCATCCTTGTCCGCGCGCTTGATGTGTTTCCGCGGATTCGACTCCAGGAACTCGAGCCCGAGGTAGGAACCGATGGCTTTCGGAAAGGTCCGGTCGGGTTCTTCGACTGCGTGCGCGTCGGACGCTGCCCCCGCGAAGGTGGACAGGTTGCCCACGAGCGGCGCCAGGTCGTCGTAGTTGGCGTAGGGCTCGAACCGGAGTCGGCGTTTGAGCGAGACGGCGAAGGCGTTGATGAGGTTCAGAGCGGTCAGTTTGGCCAGCACATCGGCTTTTCCCGCCTCGGGGCTCCGGTCATGCCGCTCCTCGGCGTGGATCCAGATGTGCTGGGCCAGGTCCCGAGACGTCTGGATCAGCTGCGCCCAGTACTTGCGGCCTTCGACGTAGCGCTCGTAAGCGCTGGAGGTGCGGAAGGAGATCCCCAGCCCGACGACGAAACCGAGCACCGTAAGCAGCAGGCTGGATACCACGAGCTGGTACCAAAACTACGATATGCACGTTGTGATGTTCGACCAGATCGCAACGAAGACGAGGGGGACGATCATCCGCGGTGTGATGCTCCCTCTCATGCGGAGGAAGTAGGGCATCTTCCGGTGCTTTTCGATGTCGAGGGGCTTGCTGATGAGGTCGTCGATGGTGCTGGTGTGGCGGCGGGTCGGGGGCCGGAGCCGTTGGTTCGGGGAGGGCGAGGGTTGGCGCAGGGAGGTCGATTGGGGAGAGCTTGAGCTGGAGTCCGGGGCCATGGTGATGCGGGGGGTCTTCTGGGAGGGTTGGTTGAGAGGGCGGAGGAGGAGGGCCGCGCGTGGAGGGTTGTTGTTGCGGACATGGTGGATGGGTGTATCGCGTGGTGAGGGTGAAGGGGATGATAGGCTGGAAGAGAGGGCGCGCTGACCTGATCAAATGAGGGGTTGCGCAATAGTCAAATGATCAGAGCTCGTATTTATAACGCTGTCGAATACAAGGGATACTACAGACGAAAAATCCAAAAGGAGCAAAGGACCACCTTTTATCATCAAAAATCGAAAGAAAACCGCAAACGCAGTATTTATCATCACATCTATATATATTTCCATCCACATATATCCCAAATGCCAGTAAGTAGGCGGCGCTGTCTCGAAATCGCAATTTCCCATCTCATCTCCATTCAGCTTTCCCCACGTCGCAACCGTTGAATTCCCCTACCTCAGGTACGATACGGCCTCAGGCTTACCGAAGCGCCTTTCGGCAATCAGGCCCCCCGTGCGGCGCGCCCTTACTACCTGTCAATCCGGATGCTTGGTTGGTTGCTTGGTTGGTGCGGGGGGATTTTGGAGGGACCCAACTGAGCTGGAATGTCTGTAAGCATATAACAAGGGGTGAAACGTTTGGACGGTTAGGCAGTTGGGCGGGTTGGGCTGAGGCGGATGAGCGGTGTATTGACGACGGTTTCGGGGGGGAGATTTTGTACGACGTCGAGGCTGAAAGATTGGAATTATGGGTTGGGGTGCCCCCAGTCCCTTTTGCGTAGCGGCTTATTAATCGGGGTTTTGCTTGTGATTGGTGTTGTTTTGGAATAGATATGTTGCAAGCGATGATGATGAGTAATTGTTAAATGATTGTCGACGGTCTCGATTTAAATTTGGACTAGTAGTGTATCTCATATTACACCGGTCTTGTCGCCGTGTGCTTGTCATGTAAATGCCTTCCAGTCCCCCCTCCGCCTCGCCAGATTATCCCCTGAGTCAAAGTCAATACCGGGTCTAAATCAACTCAACAGTGATATCTTCGCCATCCATCGTCAATTGTACATATACATTGTCAGGCTAGAAATCGTCTCGCACAGTTGACCAAGATTGACGGATGGCAACAACCTTGATGGAAATGCTAGATTTGTGGCATAGCTGGGGTCGCGCATAAAAGCTTACCCTCCTTACCTTCCTCCTACCATAGAGGTTGTCCAGATCCAAATCCAGTTGCGTTCTGAAATCGAAGCGGAGCGTGCTTTTCAAACGAATGGAATGTGGTCGTGTTGAGTCTTGATACCATGATTGTATCCTGATCAAGGCATGACGGTGTTGTACGAATCAGGCGATCTGGCTTCTTTTGGGCTTGAGGTTCTCAAGAGCTTGAGCCGATAGGGTTTGGAAAGTGCGGCCGCTGTGAGGGGGGAGATGGGACGGTTTGTTGGGGGAGAGGGGCATGGTGATGCATCGTCGGGCTTTCAAGTTGTGCAAGGTGAGGGTGATGATGGAGGGATGCTTGGAAGGGAAGGGGACATTGGGGGTTGGAACAAGAGCTCGGTCGGCGTGAGAAGAGAGGGGAAGGGTGGTCTCGAGCCGTTTACGAGGCTGAATTGAAGGCGGGTGTTCTTTCCAGAGGCTTGCGGTTACTGGGTCGGCGCAATTTATGCATATCTGAAGCGACACAAATCTCGCTATCGGTGTGAACGGAGGAGAACCATGACTTCCTAGTCTCGTGGGAGATGCTTGCGGATTGTGGGATTGTTCGAGCACATGGCGGACACGACGACATTGAATAAGCTGATTTGAGTTTGGTGTTCCCGGAATCTCGCCGAGAGCCCCTTTGACATGGTTATCGTTCCAAGTCATGGGACAAGCGTCAAAGAAATTGGCGGTGTGACTTCGAAGCGATGGGGTTGAGGTTAGGTGGCACGCTTCTAGATGATACCAACTTTTAGCAATCCCGAACAGTTGTAATGAAGGTGTCGAGAGGAATAGGATTTGGAGAATGGGCGTTGCAATGGTTGCTAGCTGTGATAAGAACCCCCAAAAGGTATATAGTGTGAACGACCTCCGAGTTTAGACCGCAGGTTCCGCAACTCGTACTCGACCATCCGAAGCCTCGCTTCCGTCCTGGCGTGCCACAGGCGTTCGGGCTCGATCGGCCACCACGGTCCCCTCATCTTCACTCCCTTCCTCGGTCCAAACTTCAGGCCTGTGGAACGGACTCTCCTTCATCGACAACATCGCCATCTGCTCCTCCGCCCCCTCCTCTTCCACCTCCGTGACATCGGACCGCAATCTTGGCGAACGGAAGACGCTCTTGTTCGTACGGAGCACTTGCACAATCTCACCGTTTCCAGTCTCCTTGGCCATCTGCAAGGCGGTCTGCCCGAGCACGTTCTTGACGGAAAGATCTGCACCCATGTCGATGAGTTTGGAGACAGCATTGAGCCTGCCGAGTTCGATGGCGGCGAAGAATAGGGATTGTATCATGCTTGGGCTTGTAGGCATGGCACCGGCTTCGATCAGGATGACGGCGCATTCGAGGTGGCGGTTATGGTGCGCGATTTTGAGCGGCGTTTCAAGCCACCTGTCCTTTTGATCGTATTTGGCGTGGTGGTTGAGGAGGATGATGAGGAGATTGGCGTGGCCGGCTATGGCGGCGAGGTGTAAGGGTGCGCGGTAGTAGTCGTTGAGGGAGTCCGGTGATAGACCGGCTTGGAGGAGTTGGGTTAGGATTGTGGGATTGTCGGCGTTGACGGCGCAATGGAGAGCCGTGTTGCCCATGTCTGGGTCGCAGAAGTAGATGTCGTTGGGTTTGGCGGTGATCATGTGCGAGACTCGGTTTTGGAAGCCGAGGTTGGCGAGGGACCATATGGGTAATGCTGTTACCTGCGGGTAGGAACTTGGGGTTGGTTTGGCACTCTCCTCGATGATTTCCTTGGCTTCAAGGACTCTCATGACATTCAAGTTACCGTATTGCCAAGCAACAGTCCAGGGTGTCCTCCAGTGCATGTCCTTGATAGATGGGTCAGCAGCAGAATCCAACAGCAGTTTCGCAACTTTAGAGTTGCCATCTCGACTTGCGTCGTGCAGGGGGGTCTTTCCATTCTTGTCTTGGGCGTTGGCATCCAACCCTTCCTCAAGTAGTAGACGGACGATTGCTTCGTGTCCGTCGATAGCGGCGCTGTGGAGAAGCCCGCGATTCAGGTCATCGCGAATTCCGATATCGGCATTGTATTCGATCAAGAGTTTTACCATTGCTTCATTCCCTGCATCTACCGCCCTCAAGATAGCGGTCCCCCCACCCTCGTGATCCTTGATTGAGCTGTCGGCACCTTGCATTAGTAGAAGCTCGGCAATGAAAATTTTGGCCTCGGTCTCTTTGCGTCCACCTTTCGCAGTAGCAGCTAATATCAGTGCAGTGCTTCCAATTCTGTTTTGTGAGTCAACGGCGATGCCTTCTTGTTCCAAGAGGGATGAAACAACGTCAGACTGTCCTGCAATGGTAGCTAGGGACAGAGGTGTGTTACCGTCCAAGTCTTTTCGGTCGAACTGGACGCCCGGTCGGTCCAATAGAGCATTGACAATTTCCAATTTGCCACTCTGTGCTGCTAGCATCAGGGCGGTACGATTGGAGCGCCATGGGTGTATGGCGTTCACATCCAACTCTTTATGTGCTAGTAGCAGCTCGACGGTCTCGATGACACCGCTGTCAACAGCCTCGAACAAGGCAACGCTGTCTCTGTGGCTATATTGGTTCACATCTGCGCCACGTTCGAGCAGCTTGGCCACCGTTGCGCTTTGTCCTCGCCTGCAGGCGTACATCAATGGCGTCTGCTTGTAATTTGGATCCGTAGCGTTGACATCCAAATCCCCATCGAGCAGCCTGGAGACAATTTCCGTCAAGCCAAACCAGGCGCACACATGCAGCGCGTTAGCACCTTTACGAATGTCCCATTCAGCGCGCTCTGCAGAATGGAGGTACCAAGTGGCTTGGGTCCATGCTGCAATCTTATCGGTGTCGCTGACGTATCGAAAGACTGCTGCTTGTGTCTCTGCATGCGGTCCGGCTTCGTATGCATGGTCTCCCCAATACAAATAGGCATACTCAAGCAGTGGGTATGCTTTTCTTCTGGAATCGAAATCCCTGTCCTCGTAAATGCCTTCACAAGGCTTAGTGAGCTCTCCGAGACTCAAGTAATGTAGTGAGACACGAGCTATGTCAGCTGATGCAGCTGAAAACCACCGCTCGCGGGATTTGTCAAAGTACTCTTGTGCTGTTCGATGATTGAGTCTCACATTCCTCTCGTTAGATTCGATTACTATCATTCCAGCTGTGACTTCAAGAATTGTCGCCTTGTCAGGTCTGGCAGCCTTTCTGAAACCTGCTTTGTTCAGGTCGACCGCCAGCGCATCCCTAAGTTCTGCAAGACTAAGAGGTCTGTGGGCGTGGACCACCCATTCGAGCGTCTTCCGTGCCAGGGTGGAGGCACGAGTGTTCTCCGACTCTTCGGTGATACGCAGCATGTTGCGCTCATAGAAGCCATCATAACCTTCCGGCGGATTGTCCAAGGCGTCTTCGACTTCCCCTTCGCTTATGCATGCCCTCAATGTTTGCATGTAAAGGCCAGCCAGCGTGAACATGCTATTGGCCTTTGCGACGACAGTAGGGACGATCCTTTCCTGCAGGTCCGACCGCCTGCGGCAGATGCGTCCCAGTCGTGTCGTGCCAAACGACGACTTGGTGATTGTACTATCGCTGTGCTTTGAGTTTCCGAGTCGAAGTTCTATATCCAGCTCTTTTCGAACGTAAAGCTTGATATCGTCTTGGGAAGGCTCAATACTCATCCTCACCGGATCATCTGGTTGCTTTAGAATGTGCTTTCGGTCTTTGCAATATACATCTTTTGCCCTGCAGCTCTGGCAAATGTCGATGTTACAGATCTGACAGCGATAATAGACCTTGAGGGGCGGTAGAAGAGGTATGTTGGTAGGTCTGCCACGACCACAGGAGTCGCAGAACTTCAACTCTCTTGGGTCAGGCTCCTCTTCGATGGGGCGCGAGGTTATCATCAAGCTTGCTTTATCGGTAGGCAAGCTCAAAAGTCTGTCCGCCAGTCTCTCCTTAACGGCCGGAGACGCCTCATCATACGCGTCTACTACTATCATGACCCTGTACTCCTCCAACAATTTCTTTAGCATCACTTAAGACAGACGCGTACATAAGAGAGGCTGCCTACCTCTCAAAGTATCGAATCTCGGTTCGAAAGGCTTCATAGAAGTCCTCGAGTGTGGGGCGCGACTCGTTCTCCACACCTGAAAAGAGCCTCTTAGCTTCTGGAGATTGAAATTCAGCGTCTGGATGTTGGAGCAGTTGTTTCAGTAGGCTGCTTATCAGATTGTCAAGTGTCTGAGTACTTGGTTCCTTGTAATTGAGGTATATGTAGAGGATGGGTACGTTTCGGTTCTTGAAGATCGTCTTAAGGCGTTCAATCACTAGGGCGCAGAGTAGTGTCTTGCCGGCGCCTGGCTCACCAACACATTGTAGCATCCATGGAGGGCCGGATGTCCAGGCATCAAATTCCGGAGATGCTAACAAGCTTGGGGTGGAAACGTTTTGCTGCATGCATTGATTGTAGAGCTCAGACTGCCGGGCTTGGAAACTGAGTGGGGACAGCCAGTCGATGATTGCAGCTCTTTTCTTCTCTTTGGTCTCCCGTTCTCTCTCCCGGGCTGCCCGCTGCCTTTCCTCTGCTGCTTCTCTTCTGCTCCTTTCCCATTGTTCTGCTTCTTCTCGCCTGAGCCTTTCGGCCGCTTGAGCTTGATCATCACGGGCCTTCTGCCTCTCCTCAGCTTCTCCTCTCCTCACCTTTTCCCTTTCCTCCAAGTCTAATTCTCGCTGTGCTTGCCTTTCCTGTGCCTCTGCTTCTTGGTTCTTTATTTTCACCTCATAATCATAATCTGATTATGATTTTTACTATTAAATCAGACTAAATCTGATTTAATGATTTAATATTACTATTTTTAGAAACCCCTTAGAAAATCGTTTAAAATTCTATTTTTAGAAAAAAATTCTTAAAAATCCTATTAGTATATAGCCTTTTAAGTATTTTAAAAATAGAATATTATATAATATATTAATAATTATAATTATAAATAAGAGAAGAAGATTTTTCTATTTTTAGAAAACTTAGAAAGTTGATAGTAACTCGAGTATAGAAGTAAAAACCTTAATAAAAAATACGTTTTAAAGCTAAATTTCATAAAAATAACCGATATATTTAGAGTTCTATTTTTAGTAATATGTGACGTCAATATCGACTGCGAAGCCTATATAAGAGCTCTAATCCCCTCGTTTTTTCTCTCTTCCTACACATTTTTGACTAATTTTCGAAGTCATTATTTTTACCCCAGATTTTAGCTATATATATAGCTGAAATTTAAGATTAATATTCATATCATTTTCGTTGATATAATGGCCTCCTCGAAGTATAGAATCGATTTTCAGTTACCTTCTATTGAAAAGCAAGAATATCTCTTTTAACACGGCTTTTTTATATAAGAACTTCTTTCATATCAAGAAGGAAATCCTCGTCAGGTATTTATATATTATTATATATATTTTATCTATTATTAACTTTTTTTAGAAACGAATTAAATATACTCGTTATCGCTATTCGAAAATCGAAAAGGTCGATCAAAAACGCTATAGCAATTACTTCACACACTATTACAATAATTACCCTACAATTTCGATCAAGAAAGAATCCAAAAAAGGAGCTCTATTAGAAGGTATTTATTTATCTTTACTTTATCTTCTATTTTTTATCTATTTTTTTATTAACTTTTATTTCTAAAAATAGTTCCCGAGTTAAGTCAATTATAAACCTCGCTCGATTAATTCACTCAATATGGTCGATTAACTAAACGACCATCTGAAAATACTTTAAATAAGTAATTTACGAGTTTAGGTTTTAAAGAGAAAGTACTTCATTTTTTTCTCGAAAACAATGTAACCTTTAACGCTCTACGTTCGAAATCCTTTAAAGAAATAATTTCCTATTACCGAAAGTAAGTTTCTATATTTTTTATATATTATTATACTTAAAATACTTATCTTTTATATAGTGATGCTCCTAAGATTTACTACGAAACTCTTCGAAACGAGTTATCGATTCTCTTCACTCGAAATTTCCAAATCGTCAAATCCGAATTCTTCGATATACACTCCAAATTCAAATCGAAATTCTTACTCACATTTGACTATTAGATAGCCGATAATCAAAAGGAGTTCATGGGAATTATAATTCACTATATCAATAAGGATTAGAAATTAATTTCTAGACTTATTGGTATGAAATTGCTCGAAGAACCTTATAGTGCTGAGTATCTCGCGAGGGTTTTAGATTATATTCTAAAATCTTTCGGTATCGAAGATAAGATACAATCGTACGTATTTATTTTTTTGAATTTTTTTTGAATTGTTATACTTTTTTCGATTTTTCGATTTTTTAATTAATTTCTTATTAGATTCACAACGGATAAAGCTACTATAAATCTATCCCTCGCCTAAATCTTTCGAATCGATTATAAATATTAATATAACGAAGATATTTATAACGTCGAATGTGTGGCCTATATATTTAATAACGTAATTGGCGATGTGTTAGGTTGGCTACTTCTAAAAAACAAAGACGATCAAATGATTTATAATCTTATAAATTAATAAAATCTCGAGGTAGATAGTAAGAAGCATCAGCTATCTTTAGGTAAGTTTTTTTTTATCTTTTTTTATCTAAATTTCTATTAATTAAATTTTTAGATCTATACTCATTTCGAAAAATTCGACTTCTCGCTATAATATTTAAATATTAATTAGAAAATCGACGTATACTCGAATAACAAATTGAGTCTCATAATATTGAAGATTCACACCCTCTGAAAATTGGTAGGTTTCTCTCTTTATTAGAAATCTTTTATTAATAATTATAATAGATAAAGACGTTCGTTGGAATTCAACATACGATTTACTTAAAGACTTTCTTAATAATTAGCCGACTATTAAGACGTTAATCGAAGTATTACGAAAGATTTCGAATAAAGAACGATTTACTTTTAGAGATAACGAACTCGAATATATACGATAAACGTTCGAAATCTTTCGAATTTTTACTGAATCTTCCGTTATTCTTTAGGGCTCTAGTTATTCAACAATCGAATACGTATATCTATATATATATTCTATTCGAAAGAAGTTAGATAAAAGATATCGAGATATAAATCTAGTAAGTTTTTTTATATTTTCGTTTTTTTAATTTAGAAATATTTTCCTACTAACTAATATTATAGAATCCAATTCTTCGAAACGCCTATCTACGAGGTATTCAAAAACTCGATAAATGATTTCCAAAGTTTAATATTAATAAGTGGAAATCCACTTATCAAAACATCTTCTTTAAAATTATTCTTAATCCTCGTTTTAAAGATAAATATTTTTTAAACTAGGGCCTTTCAGATTAAGAGAGTCAAATCGTTATTAACGAGTTTAAAGAATTATTCGAAAGGTAAGTGAATTTTTTTTATAGAATTCTTATAAGGCTTTTTATTAACAATTTTTCTAATAGAACTAAAATCGAAATAAATAACGAGAATCCCACATCACAACCAGACGATTCTCGACATTTATATACGAATTCGAGTTCAGAAAGTTTAGATAATGAGATATTCGATAATCTTAATGTATCTCAACGTGTCGAAGTTAAGAAGTCTGAGATCGAGATTTATTTCGAAGAAAACCTTAAGTCTAAAAAGGTAAGTACTTTATAAATTTATCTATAACTTTAATATATATTAATTTATATATTATAGACTAAGCCACTCGATTATTGAAGGAATCGGGCTAAAGATTCTCCGATTCTAGCCCGATTAGCTCGAATTTATCTCGCTATTCCCGCTACTTCCGAACCTTCCAAATCAATTTTTTTAATAAAAAAAAATATTATTACGGATAGACGTAATAGGCTAGCTTCGGATATATTTAGGTGGATTATGTTATTAAAGAGTTGAGGCGTTATTAAAGATATCGACGATTTATTCGAAGACGAAAATTCGTCTATCGAGTAAATTACTCGAAAACTTGATATATATTCAATATATATATCTATATATAGTACTATATAGTATAAATTACACTTCTTGAAAATATAGCTTTTTTAATTTTTTTGAATTTTTTCTAAATTAAATTCTTAAGTAGTATTTTTAGAGAGAGAAACGTATAATTAGCTTTAATTATAACTTATTACTATCTTTAAATAAATATAATATAATATAATATATCTATATAATTTAGAATAGAATTATAAGTCTATAAAAATAACATTTTTTTAAGAATTTTCTCTAATTTTTTTAAAATCTCTATAAAAATTGAAGTTTTTTAATATTCTATCTAAATAATCAGACTAAAAGACATCGGACGGTTTCAATTCGTCCAAATATGTATCGTCCGATGTTCCTTCTGCAGAGGCCCAATTGGCTGTAATCGTCGCAGTAGATCCTCCTCTTGTGACGTTATTGCAGTGATGTACCATATCAATGCAGTGGGGATGACAGGCCAAGTTGCAGTGGTGTTCTCCGCTTGCTGAGTGATGATTTGATGTGGAACCGTGGAGAGCATATCGTCCGATGTTCCTCCTGCAGAGGCCCAATTGGCTATGATCGTCGCAGTAGATCCTTCCCTTGTGACGTTATTGCAGTGATGTACCATATCAATGCAGTGGGGATGACAGGCCAAGTTGCAGTGGTGTTCTCCGCTTGCTGAGTGATGATTTGATGTGGAACCGTGGAGAGCATATGACGTGGGATCTTGGAGAGCTGAGCCGTGTTCTTGACGATGGTGGCCTTGTTGCCGCTTGGTTTCTCCGCAGTGTTCTCCATAGTGTTCTCCGTAGTGTTCTCCCGCATTTGCCTGTTGTAGTTCCTTCTCTTACTCCCTTAAATAAGGAGAAGGGGAGTAGAGGCAGTGGTGGTGGTCGCTTGCTCCCGGGTGGATTGATGAATAAAACCCGGGAGAATATTAGACGATGTGAAGAGGAGGGACGAGGGGGGTGAACCTGGAGGGCGGGCTCTTGTTGGCCTTGTTTCCCCCCGCCTTCTTCCCCTTGTTCCCCCTGCACTGCTCCCCGCCTTGTTCGGCTTTTTTCCCTCTTTCTCCCCCCCTCTTGAGTATCAGACTAAGGGGTTAGCGGAAGGGCTGACGGAGTGGAGGACGGAGAGACTGGGTGTCGATTCACTTGCCTGGATATGGCGGTGAGGGGAGGGGGTAGGGTTGGTGGGGTTGGTTGAGGAGTAGGTCGGGGGGAGGGATGGATGGGGGAGAATGCGGGTAAAATCCTTTTGGGGCTCTTTCGAAGGCGTTTAAAAGCGGTTAGGAGAGGTGTTGGATAGGGGTAGGGCTCGCTTGGGGCCTCGGATTTGCGGAATCGCGGCCGTAGGGGGCCGGGGAAGAGGGGGGAAAGGAGAATGAGGCCGGAGGCCTTAATTACATTTTGGCGGGGAGCAAAGGAGGACTGTGTGTTGATTGTGGTGGTAGTAGTGGAAGTAGGAAGGAAAAAGAAAAGAGAAAAAAAA